GGGAGAGAGGAGAAGGAATGTAGGTAGTAGAGGGGAGGTAAGGGAGGAGAGGAGGTATGAGAGAGGAGGAAGAGGGGAGGTAGGAGAGGGGAGGTAGGCGGGGAGGGGAGGTAGGAGAGGGGGAGGTAGGGGAGGGGAGGTAGGCGGGGAGGGGAGGTAGGAGAGGGGGAGGTAGGGGAGGGGAGGGAGGAGGCACCCCGGGTCGTTAGGGTCGATCATCATGCCGGCCGTCGGGTCGATGACCATGCCGGCGGGCACGCCGGTCGGGACGAGCCCGCCATAGGCGCCTGAGGAGAGGAGGGGAGGAGGAGGGGGTGGAGGAGGAGGAGGAGAGGGGCAGGGGGAGGGGGCGTGTGAGCGTCCGTGTGCGTCCGTGTGTGTGTGTGTGTGTGTGTGTGTGTGTGTGTGCGTGCGTGCGTGCGTCCGCGTGTGTGTGTGTGTGTGTGTGTGTGTGTGTGTGTGTGTGTGTGTGTGTGTGTGTGTGCGTCGCCGCTCTTCTCCTCGCGCGCGCCTCCATACGCGTCGCCCCACTGCGCCTGCGGCTGCGCGAACCCGTGCAGCCCGTCGGGGGCAAAGCCTGCGAGCACGGGTGCATGGCAGTGAGGGCGGGTGGGGGAAGGGCTTTGCGCCGCCTCGAGGGGACGGCTGCGAGGGACAGTGCTGCGAGGGACAGTGCTGCGAGGGACAGTGCTGCGAGGGACAGTGCTGCGAGGGACAGTGCTGCGAGGGACAGTGCTGCGAGCGGCTTGGAGGCGGTGGGAGACGGCCGCGTGTCGTGAGTCCGGCGGTGTGCACGCTCCATTATGCATCTAGGCCGATGCACCGCCCCAGTACGGCGGAGGAGCTGCACTCGGCAGCGGAGGAGCGGGAGCGGCGGCCTGGGGCGGCGGCTGCGAGCGCGGCGGCGCCTGAGGCGACTGCGGCGGCGGCTGCGGCGGCTGCGTCTGCGTCGGCGGCGGGGCTGCTATCCCCGCCGCCACCGCCCGGCGCGGGCCCGGCGCACTTGCTGCTCCTCGGGTCCCGTTGTCTTCGGTGTGCGGCGGCGGCGGCCTCCGAGGGTCGGAGAGCGGGGAGGAGGCGATGGAGGAGGGGACGGAGGAGGGGATGGAGGCGTGCGGGTCGTCGTGGGGAGGGGGGTGCGGCGGCTGGGGCTGCAGCTGCGGCTCGCCGGAGGGAAGCGACGCTTGCTCGGCCCCGTCCAGGCGGGCGCCGGAGAGGGCCTGTTGCAGCGCTGCGACCGGGCCGGAAAAAGAGACGCGGCGCGAGGTCTGGCCGGAGGTGGGTGGCGTGGGGACATCGCCCGAGACGCGCGTGTTGGGACGAGGAGGCTCGGCCGCCGCCGCCGCCGCCGCCTGCCGCAGCGGCGTGGCACCGGGAGGGAGCTTGAAGCGGACGGCGATGGCGGAGCGAGGGTAGGCGGGTCGGAGCTCCTCGCCGCCGAGCATCGCCGGGCCCGGGAAGCCCTCGGAGCGCGAGCGCGTGAGTGGGGGAATCGTGTTCTGCTCCGCCGGCGGGGGCAGGCCAGTCGTCTCGGACGACTGGCGCGGGGAGCCCTGCACGCGTGGCGGCGCGGCGAGCGTCATCGCAAAGCGGATGGCGTGCGCACGGGACGGCCAGAGCGACTTGATGGACTCGAAGCCGGCGGTCTTGCGCTTCGCGGGCGTGGCACCCGAGGCGCCGCCCTTGGCTTCCTCGTCCTCATCTGCGAAGAGGCTCTCTGCCATGTCGATCGCTGACGAGCGGGACGTCTTGAGCGACTGCTCCTCCAGGTCGTCGTCGGGCGGCATGACCGAGGCCGTCGCAGCGGGCGGCGCTGTCGCCAGCATGGACCCTCGAGCAAGGCGTAGGGAGATGGCAACTCCTGTCCTTGTGTCGGACTGATGTAAGCAAGGTCGAGGCGGGCTAGGAGTTGGGTGGGACGCTGCCTCAAGCGCTCGTTTTTTTTTCTTACCGTAAATGTTCTCGAGGTTCTCGAGGTGGATATCCTTTGGCCGCGTTGGGTAGCGAGGATTGGTGTAATGTGAAACATACATAAATGTGTCTTGAGAGCTTGTTTGTGTCTGTGTGTCGCTCGTGCGTGTCGTCATCATCTGTCTTGCGTCCACCCATACCGCGTTGGTGTCCAGTCCGAGCCTGGCTGTTCTTCACCTTCCTAACTAACTAACTAACTAGTCAGTCTTAATACACACCTCCAAGCAAGGAGGACGGGCCCACACGCACACACACGTTACACACGAAGTACACGATCGGCTCGGGAGCCGACACGAGGCACACTGTCACCGGCCGTATCACCGGGTCCGGACTGCTGGACACACAGCACACAGCTCACAGGAAGGACAGCTCACGAGGTGGCGCTATATAGTGGGGTTCTCGGGGACTGGCAACGGAGAAGAAGGTGGGGCATAGGGATGGGGCCACAGAACTCACGAACTGATAACCCACCCCGCGCCGGGGGCGGTGGCGCGCGCGCGCGCCGGAGTGCTTTGGACCCGCAGTCTGGCAGGCGCGAGGCCACAGACCCGCCGGCAGAGCCTTGGGCCGCAGCCGTGATCCGCGCCGGCTCTCAGAAGAGATCCGGCGCGGTGCTGACCGCTAGGAAAGTTTTTTCTCCTCTTACGGACATAGCCGAAGGTGGAGTAGCTGTTGCAGAGTGAACTCAAACCTACATCCTGACCGTAGCCTGACCGTCCTTGTGTAACCGTCTCATGTTTGGTTTGTCCTGCCGCGCACATTTGTCGATGTTCCTTTCCTTCTCCTTCTAGGTGATCTATCCCTTTTTCTCTCTCTCCTTACGTACGGATCACTCCCTATAAATGGGATACAATTTTTCTTTGGTGCGAATAGAGTTTTCTCGGAAAACCTCTTCTCTTTGCGATGGCTCCGCTCTCCTTGTCGTCCGAATTCGGCTACGCGGTCGCGGTGGTCGGAGCTTCGTACCTCGCCAATATCTACGGTGAGCATTGCTTTTGCTGTGCCCGCCAGCACTGCGCTGCGCGGGTCGTCACCGCACGGAGGCTCACCGCACGCGATGCCACGCTTCACGTCTGGCAGGCGCGATCAAGGTCGTCACGGCGCGGAAGAAGTACGACATCAAGTATCCGACGCTCTACTCGACCGGCACCACCAAGAATGACGAGATGTACAACTGCGCTCAGCGCGCCCACCAAAATACGCTCGAGGGCCTGCCGGTGGTGAACCTGATGATGCTGTCCTCGGCCACCGTCTACCCGCGAGCGGCCGCCCTCTTCGGTTTCACTTGGGTGGTGGGTCGCTTCCTCTACATCCGAGGCTACACCGAGGGAGGTCCAGAGGGCCGGCGGATCGGTGGCATCGTGAGCCACCTTGGCGATTTCCCGCTGCTCATCACGACCTTCTGCGCCGCCTGGCACCTGCTCCGAGCCTGAGGGGGAGCGGTGATCATGTGTTTGGCGAAGGCGCGCAAGAGCCGGACAGGGAGTGACCGAAAAGTGACCCGAGTTCTTTTGCGCAGTCGCTGGCCGTAACACAGCGCACGAGTCACACAGTCAGCACACGAGAGAGACGCCCAGGAGTCGCTAGCGTAGGGACGCTGGCTGGGTCGGTCACACACGTTTTCGTCACAGGTCGTTTCACGTTTGCACGCATGTCATACCAGAGCCACAAAGAAACACAATTTGAGGCACAATTCAATACAATTCAATGCCATCACCCTCGCCCAGGGATCTACAACGCTGTCTCAAGGTCCGACAGGTTCGGCACCGGGCACCGCCTCGGCAGGGCTGATGCATTAACGTTAACACGGTGTTCACACGTTAACGGTTAACACCACAGCCGTAGAGGTGTTAAAACGTGTTAACACCGCCCCTAGGGAGGTGTTGATACGTCTCGATGTCGTCTGCTGTACTAGAGAGAGGTTGGGTGAGGGTGTGCACTGCAGTGGCCAAGTTGCGGTTGCACGCATGGGCACTGCCGTCAAAAACCATGACCTCCTGCGGTCCTGGATGGCTAGTGGTTGTGAGGCCAGAGCTAAAACATAGATTCAAAGAGCGGGTGAGCATACGCTCGAGACGCACTGTGGTTCCACCTTGTCTTTGACCCGGCGGCGGCTATCGAAATGAGCGACACCATTGGGCAGTGCCTCCAGGACCGGTCGGGCAAGTGTATCGGTCAAGTGAGACACCGTGCGATTCGTGTGATGATTCCTGACAATCCTCTCAGTCAGCTTTTGTCACAGTTCCCAGAGAGTCTGAGAGGAAGTGCGGGTCAGCTCGACAGCCGGAGCTGTGTCGCCGACGCCTGCGCCTGGGCAGGAGGCAGGCCGGCGCTGCGTCACAGCCGCCTTCTTCCACGCGTGGGCAGTACATGGTCCAGTGTGCGTATTGAGCAGACAGATCAGTACCGCCGCAGTTGGCGCAGGGGCCCTGGGAGTAGGGCGCGCGCGGCATTGAGGCGGACCCAGGTATTTCTCGGGTATACCCGGTTTTTTGCAGGTACTAGCAGACCTGGCGCGCACGCGCGCCGTATTTGTTTTCCGGTCTGCTTCCCGTCGGCTTCCCTCCCCTCATCTCTCCCAGAGTTCACACAGGGTGGTTCAATAATCCCAGAGTGGTTCAATAACATGCCGCCTCTCGAGCGGAGCACTATCGCCACGTGCGGCGTCTGCGCGGAAGTCGCGCTTGTAGTTGTCCCACTGCTCATTCTGCTCCTCAAGGCTGCCGGTGAGCTCCTTGCATGTGTGCTCCCTGTACCACCGCGCGCGGTGCCGATGATATGCTTTCTGCCCGTGCTCACCGAGGTCGTACTCGGAGCGCTCCGGTGGTTTGCCCTCGGTGACAGCCACGTCGGCTGGCGGATCGCGCGCCCACTCCGGATTGGCGACGCTGGTGTGTCGAGTAGTTCGTATTTGCACGCGAGGTTGTACGACGTGTCCTTGTAGTAATAGTACGGCATGTCGCCCTCGTCAAATGCCTGCAGGAGGCGGTTGCTGCCACTTGTCGCTGGCGGCGCCGGCGGCGGCAGCGTACCTGCGCTCCTGTGCTGCGCCTCGAGCTCGAGCCTGCGCTGCTGCTGCTGCGTCTCCAGATCTGGGAAGGCGCCCAATCCGATGCAGTGGCCGGCCGCGTACTTGGTACAATACGCACATGGTTCGACGGAGCCGGACATCACGTTAACCAGTGATTGCGACCAGCGCGGTGTGCACGCCGGCGAGCAATCATAGGCCTTGTGCAGCTGCAGCGCCTCCCGGTCAGAATAGAAGCATTCACATCCAGCATTGCAGTTCCAAATAGGTAGGATGTGGCCGCAAGTTGTGCAGCGGCACGGGTCATTGGCGGGTGGCGGTGGCGGCAATGCAGCTGGCGGCGGCGGCGGCGGCGGTGGCGGTGGCGGCGGCGCGATGTTTCTACCCTGTGGCCGCCAATCAGTGGGCTTGCTGCCATAGTTCGCGAGCTCGTGGGTGGCAATCAAATCGCGCGGTGGCTCGCGCAGCAGCTGCTGCAGCTCCTGGAGGTAGTCGCCGAGAGGCACGCCGCGTGCAAGCCGATCGCGCATCACGCGCTGATCCCACGCCATCTGTGCCTCGCCCGGCCACGTGTCCTCGCCGTCGGCCACGCGCCGCCGCAGCTCGTTCAACGGCAGGCTGTAGACCTGCGGCCCGTCGTCGTCGCCGCGCACCGCGCCGTAGCCGTCTGCGCGCAGCTCGAGCTCGGCGGCCTCGAGTGTGCCCGTGTCCTCGAGCAACGGCGAGCCGCTACGCTCAATCACCAGCTTCTCCAGCTCCTTCTGAAGCTCACCCTCGTCCACCTCGTCGCCAACTTCCGCCACCTCGGCCACCTCGGCCACGAGCTCATCGAGCAGCGACGCAATCACCTTCTCGGGGGAAGGAGGTGAGAGGCGGAGGAGGTGAGGAGGCGGAGGAGGTGAGTGAGGAGGCGGAGGAGGTGAGAGGCGGAGGAGGTGAGAGGCGGAGGAGGTGAGAGGCGGAGGACGTGAGAGGCGGAAGAGGTGAGAGGCGGAAGAGGTGAGAGTGGGTGGTGAGGGTGAGGGTGAGTCTAGAAGCGATGCAATCACCGTCTCGGGGTCCTCGCTCACCTTCTCGGTGTCCTGAGTGTGATGCGCTAGCCGTCGCCCACCCTAGGGAGTCTGCCTCTTCCTATCTCTTTTCGCAGTCTCTCGCCGATTCTCGCTGCAACCTTCATGCCACCTCGCGGCCGTCCCATTCTCGTCGTTCTCTCCCTTGTCACTTCCTCCGTCGCGTCATTCTCTTCCGCCTCGTCCTGCGCCGCCGCCGCCTGCCGTTCCCTTGTTCTCTCGGCTTCTTTCGCCTTTCGGCGCAGCTCCGCCCTCCTTGCTGCATATCCTGGCCCCTCGAGTCTATCGAGCTCCCCTCGCGCAAGGACCACATTTCTGACTCCCACTCCGATCATTTGCCTACAGGTCATGTTGTTGCTCAGGTCCACTCTCTCTTCGAAGACTCGTGCCTCTACGGATGATGCCGGCGCTGGGGTCCCCTTCGGATGCATCGTGACATCTGACAACTGAATTTCCACTGGTTCGTCCTCCTCGGAGTCATCTTCCCCGTCCTCCTTCCGTTCGGCTCTTCGCTCGGTACGTTCAGTGTGGCTCACCCTCCATGCCGTGAACAGGCGCTTTATCCACCCTATATTCTTCTCTCGTTCCTCTGCCCGTGCCTTGGTCTTGTCGTTGTTTCGCACCCATGTCTGTAGCTGTGTAGCCTTCTTTATCAACCCGCACCCGGTTTCTTTTCTTTTCCGTTCTGCTCCTTTGCTGGGCTCCTCGGTGTCGGTCGCTGCGCTATCGCACCTCACCCTAGCTCCTCTCCACCCCTCTCTCTCCCTCTCTCCCTCTCACCGGCACCGCGCTCCCCCAACCAGGGCCATGTCTCAGACGCTCGCCGTGGGCGCCGTCTCGCTGGGCGCCGGGCTCTGCCTCGGGCTCTACCTCGCGAGGAGGCGGTCCAAGGAGGGCGCGCTCGGTGCGACGCCGGCGACCGCGTGGCCGGCGGGCAAGCCCGTGCTGGCCACGCCGGCGGACTACCCGCGGTACGACTACGCGGGCGATCCCAAGGGCTCGTTTGAGGCGATCTGCGACATGCTGATCGCCGAGGTCAAGGCAGAGCTGCCGGCGCTGTACGAGCTGCCCGAGCGGGAGAATGGGTGGATCGAGCGGATGCTGCAGTACAACACCAAGGGCGGCAAGATGACGCGCGGGCTGATGGTGGTGGAGGCGGGCAAGGTGCTCTTTGAGAGGCGCGGCCAGCCGGTCGACAACACGACGCTGTGCAAGCTGGCGGTGCTCGGCTGGTGCATCGAGTGGCTGCAGGCGTGGCTGCTGGTGGCGGACGACATGATGGACGACAGCGTCACCCGGCGCGGCCAGCCCTGCTGGTACCGGAGGGACGGCGTCGGCTCGATCGCCATCAACGACGCGGTGACGATCGAGGCGCTCGTGTACAAGGTGCTCAAGCGGCACTTTGCGGCGGAGCGGTGCTACGTGCGGCTGGTGGACCTGATGCTCGAGACGACGCTGCAGACCGAGCTCGGCCAGCTCCTCGACACCATGTGCGACAACCTCACCCTCGCCGACTTTTCGCTCGACCGCTGGCGCGCGATTGTGACGTACAAGACCGCCTTCTACTCCTTCTACCTCTCGGTGGCCTTCGCGATGACGTACGCGGGCATCGAGGAGCAGGGCGCGTACGACGCGGCGCGCACGATCCTGATCAAGATGGGCGTCTACTTCCAGGCGCAGGACGACTACCTCGACTGCTACGGCACGCCCGAGCAGATTGGCAAGATCGGCACCGACATCGAGAGCAAAAAGTGCGGCTGGCTCTTTTGCAACGCGTACAACGGGCTGACGACGCCGCCGATCAGCCCGCAGCAGAAGGCGCTGCTCGACGCGCAGTACGGCAAGTGCAAGGTCGGCTCTGCCGCCGAGAAGTCGATCAAGGCGCTCTACGAGGAGCTCAACCTCGAGAAGCAGTACCGCGCGTACGAGCAGGCCTGCTACGACGAGATCATGGCGCTCCGGCCGACGGTGACCGAGGTGCCGTGGGAGGTCTTCGAGGTGTTCCTCAAGAAGATCTTCAAGCGCTCCAAGTGAGCCGCCGCACGCGCTTCGTGTCTCCCGCGCTCGAGAGAGCACCCATGCTTTCTCCACGGAGCGCCAATTAATGTATTTGAGTATTGAGAACGGGAGGTTCATCCAAGTTGCATGCATGCCAAGTACGTAGAGAGAGAGAGAGAGAGAGAGAGTTAAATTCCTCGTAGCTACTCAAAAATCTGCGAGGAGATGTGAGCTTCTTGTTGCTTATCAATACAAACTTGGAGCACCTGGAAAAAAAGAAAGAAAAGAAGACAAAGGGAGGGATGGGAGCGGAGGACGGCACGCGCCGCCACCACACAGGGATTCTAGGGGAGAAGTGTGGTGCTAGCCGTCGCCCACCCTCGGGCGTCTACCACTTCCTATCTCTCCGCAGTTTCTCACCAATTCTCCTCGCGTTCTTCCCACTCTCCAGAAAGAAAGAAAGAAAGAAAACAGACAACCCAAGGGAGGGATGGTGGGAGGACGGCACGCCGCCACCACACAGGGATTTTAAGGAGAGGTGTGTGGTGCGCTAGCCGTCGCCCACCCTAGGGAGTCTGCCTCTTCCCATCTCTCTTCCCACTCTCCAAGTGCAGTCATTAGCCTGAGCAACGATTTTTTTTTACAGCGGCTCTGTGTTCGACTTGTGTGCCCGCAGCCGCCTTTTGGGGTGGAGGCTTTTGTGTGTCCCCTGTAGCGCACAGCCGCCGGGATGGAGCCGCCGGCATGGTTGCCCGACAGCTTTGAACGCTCGACCGCGCCGCGCTCTTGGGCCGGTGTCGTCCTGACCGCCGCTGGCAGCCTTCTCGCGCTTGTGCTGATTTCCTCCTCGCTGGGCGAGTTCCTGATGCGCAAGGAGGTGACCGAGATGAAGATCGAGTCGACGCGCGGTCTGGCCTTTCCGCTGGCTCTCCGCTGCGTAAACGAGGACGGCTGCGACCTCCAGCATGAGTATGCTAGCAGCCGGTGCCGCGTGCAGGTGCCGCGTGCGGCGCCTGCGGGATGGGCCGCGAGGCGGCACCTGCGGCACGGAGAGGTTGCGACGGCCTTACTCTGCGGCTCTGACCACTGGCTCGACGGCGTTCGCGTCAGCGCGCCCGTGCAGGCCCACCACGCCTTCGCGCGGGTCCTTTACCGCGGCGACGGACAGGCGCGAGCGGGGCGCGGGGGAGGTGCCTCTGTACGGGCGGCGGACGGGCGGTCGACGTGTGTTTTAGGCCGAGTGGGTACGGCTGCCGTACTCGCCGCTCGCGCAACGCGCTGGCGGCATGTCGACCGCCGTCGCCATGGCGCGCCGGCTGCTGGTCGAGGGCGAGAGCGAGGCGGCGGTGTGGAGCGACTCGCAGAGCGGTGTGCAATCTCTCTCTCAGCCTCGCGTCCACACCTTGTTTGTGCTGGAAATACGGACCACGTCACCACGTCCCTTTGACGGCACAGGCAGCCTCACCTCCACGCCGTGCGCAACCTCGTACGCCATGCAAGCCTCCACTCGTGTGACCGGCCCCGAACCGCCCGAGGGCGAGGACGCGTTGGACGTGCGCCCACAGCAGCCCGCGGGCGCAGGGTAGCCACGCCCGCTCGGCGGAGAGAGCCCTCTCGCCCCACTGACAGGCGCCGGACCCGCTCGACCTCTTGGACGACGACTCGGACGGGTCGGGCGAGGACTGGTCGAGCGAGCTCGCCGACGCCGACGGCATCCTCTGCTACCAGCTGCGGCTCGACCCGCTGATGGTGCGACCCGTGCATATGACCCCGCTGCGCACCTTTCCATCCAAACGTGTAGCAGTGCAATCTGGCACACCTCCCTGCCCGGCGGCACCCCCGGTGCACACCCGCGCCGCGTCTCACCCGGCAACAGGCGCGTCTCACCACGGAGCCCGCGCAGTCGTTGACCGGTCCGCCAGCACCTGCCCCCCACACACTTGTGCTCACGAGCATGGCCGCCCGCCCGCACTGTGACGCCCGCCCACCCCTCCCGCGCACGCAGGCTTGCTCGACGACTGGGGAGGCGCGTACGCCCTCGTCTCGGGGCTGTGCGGCCTGCTGCTGCTGCTGCACACGGCGCGCGAACGCCGGCGGGAGCAATCTGGGGAGCAATCTGGGCCGGCGGGCGTTGGCGGCCCGGGCATCGGCGCGGCAGGGCCGGTGTGGCGGGTCCCTCTCGAGCACGGCAGCAGGCTGCTGGCGAGGGTGCGCGACCCGGCGGCGTTCGAGCGACACGTCGAGGAGAAGGAGGTGGAGGAGGGGCGAGGCGGCGCCGCGGGAGCAGTTGGGAGAGAGGACGGAGAAGAGGGAGAAGCGGGAGGCGCCGTGCGCGTGGTGCCGCCGCCCAACCGGCACAGCTCCGTCGCTGCAGAGAGCATGATCCGCAGCGTGCAGGCGTCCATCGGCGAGGGCTGACTAACTATGACTGGCTGTGAGCGGAGCCGCTCGTAGTCCTAACCCAAGTGACACAGAGGAGGGATTAGATCTAAGAGATTCTTTTCCTAGTTTTGCCATCTTTCTCGTCACAGTGATCTGCACCCCTCTTGTTCAGATACTCCCCTGTGCTGAATCCGAGAGTGCGCGAAGAGAAGGCCGTCGCATCGACAGAGCAGCAGTTCGTCGCAACGTGCCCGCAGAGCAGCATGCTCTTCGTCTGGCTCGCAGCGACTATATCGCGAGTCATAACGGCACGGCACTTCGTAACGGCGCCACGTGGCAGATATTCGCATGCTCAAATGGCGCCCGTCGCCGCGCCCGAAGAGGAGTCAGTGACGGCAGCGGACCTGAGCCAGTCTAGGAGCGATGCTCTCTTTGAGAGCGTTGCAAAAACGTGCGAGCAACTGCTCGAAGGCAAAGCGGACGACTCCTTCATCGACGTTCCGCAGCGGCTGCGAGAAATCTTCGATCTTGACCACGAGCGGTACGTCAGGGAGACCCGTGCCGGCGCGAGCGCACGGAACGTGACTTGCATGCGGCCAAAGAACGAGGACGAGTACTTTGAGCAGCCTCACATTCGCGGCGACGGGCTGATGGACGTGGAGTGCGAGCCTGGCCGCGTCTGCAAGGATGGCTGCTGCACCGGCGAGTGCTCTCGGGTGGTCCTGCCTAGCTTTGCCACCGACTCAGAGTGCGAGCTGCTCTGCCGCTTCGCCGCGGATCTGATGCCGATGCCTGACCCGGAGGCTGATCCGTCCGAGAGGTGCTTTGTGGAGGACACGCAGGCCAACCTCGCCATGTGCGCGGCCGCGGGGCAGGCCCGGCGGATGCTCACCGTCTGCCGCGTGGTGGAGCGGCTGCGTCGCGCCGTGGCACATGAGTACGGTCTGACGCTCGCCTCGCTGGCGCCGCACAGCTCTTTCCTGTCGCAGTGGGTGTCGCCGCTGCTGGTTGGGGAGAGCGGGTGCGGCTGGGGCACGCCAGTGCACGGCGACGAGGCGGCTTGCGACGGCTTTCACTATTCGACAATCATCCACCTCTCCTCCAAGGGAGACGGCTTCGAGGGCGGAGACTTTTGCTTTAGCGACGCGGCCACGGTGGCGGCGGCGGCCGCTGCGGCTCGCGCGCCGCTCGCCGACGCGGTAACGGAGATCGGGCCGGCCGCCGGCTCGGCCGAGGCGGCGGCCGACGCGACAAGGTCGGAAGTGGCGCGAAAGAGCACGACGGATCGGCTGCTGACGCGGCTGGAGCCACAGCGAGGCCGCGCGATGGTCTTCACTTCTGGGTGGGAGAACCTCCACTTCGTGGACGAGATCACCTCGGGCGTGCGGTACGCGATGCCCGCCTTCTTCGTCACGAGAGGGGCGTGGGCGGCAGAGGGGCCCGAGGACATGCGTGGACCCGTGGGGCGGTCCGAGGCGGCGGGCGCATTGCTCGAGCACGTGCTGAGCGCCGACCACGCCGAGGATCGGGGGCAATTCACGCTGCTTTGGCATTCGCTCTTTGCCGCGCCGCTTGAGGACGCGGGAGGGGCGGGCGAGGAGGGCGGGTTCGGGGGTCGGGACGACGCGGGCATGCCCAAGCCTGGCTGGGAGGAGCGCAGCGTGGCGCTCAACACCGGAGCCAGCATGCCCGCGCTCGGCTACGGCACCTACCGGCTCGAGGGGGAGCCGCTGCGCCGGGCGCTGGTCTGCGCGCTGCAGCAGGGCTACCGCCACATCGACACCGCTGCCGGCTACGAGAACGAGGCCGTCGTCGCCGCGGCCATCGCCGAGTCAGGCGTGCCGCGCGAGGAGATCTTTCTCACCTCCAAGCTGTGGTGCACCGACCACGGCACCGAGGCGACGTACGACGCCATCCTCGCAAGCCTCGCGGCGCTCAGTACCGACTACATCGACCTCTATTTGATCCACGCGCCGACCAACTTGGGCGAGACGGACGAGGAGATTAGGGACCTGCGGCAGCAGAGCTGGCAGGTGATGGAGCAGCTGCACGCGGCGGGCGCGCTCAGAAGCATCGGAGTCTCCAATTTTGAGCCGCGCCACATCGAGCAGCTTCTTCGCGGGACGGGCGGCTCGCGGCGCGAGGGCGCCGTCCTCCCGGCGGTGAACCAGGTCGAGCTTCACGCGTACCTTAGCCAGAGCGACATTCGTGAGTACTGCGAGGCTCAGGGGATCCTCGTCACGTCGTACGGCTCGGTTGGGGCCGCCTCCGGCTTGCTCGACGATCCAACAGTCGTCGCCATCGCGAAATCGCACGGCAAGTCCGCCGCGCAGGTCACGCTGCGCCACTCGCTGCAGCGCAACTGCGCCGTTCTGGCGCGCTCGACCGCGCCGCAACGCATCACTGCGAACGCGGAGCTCTTCGACTTTGAGCTGAGCGAGGAGGAGGTGCGGCAGCTAGACGCGCTGGAGCGCGCACAGCGGACGTATTGGGACAATAGTGAGGTGCCGTGAGGCTGCGAGAAAGGACGGCTGTGTTGAGTTTATTGTTTCTCTACGTCCTTTTCTTCTCCTAGTACCTCAGCTCTCCGCGACTGTGGTTCAACAAAATAAATCCGAACATACATGTATCTAGATACAAATAAATCAACATTTGAGCTCAATCACCCGCCGTTCCTGGGGTCAGTATGCGAGGACTGCGAGGACTGGGAGGTGGTCTGAGATGACTTTCGCGTTCCAAAACACCTCAGCGTCGAGCGTAGTAAACTGGCCCACCGGCGCAAAGACAAAGTCGATTCGGTGTTTGCCCTGCGGGCTGCCGTACGAGCCCGCTCCATCGTAGCTCTCGCCATGGATGTCCTGCCAGGTGTCGCGCATGGGCAAGGGGTTGGGCTGGGCCGCCCACTCGCCCCTCAAATAGTTCTTGAAGTGGCAGTTGAAGTCCCCTGTTGCAACCAGAGGATACTGGGGAAAGGCCCGACTGCGTATGGTCTCCATCATGCGGAGGCCGTGCCCCAACCAGCCGTCGGCGTCGGCGTCGTAGTGGTTCCGGTGCGTGTTGTAGTGGTAAAGATGCTGCCCAGTCAGGCCGTCGTGAAAGAGCGCCCAACCCACGTGGCGCCAGGGGACGAAGTCGGAGAGCGTCGTCCGGCCCGAGCCCCTCACCGTGAAGCGGTCAGCCTTGTACAGGATCGTGTTGACCATGTCGCCGCCACCCGAGACTGCCGCGTAGACCGGCCGGTCCTGCACGAGCCGCGAAGAGGGATAGAAGCCGTGGCTCGCCCCACCCGCCGGATTCCGCGCGTCGTTTTCCTGGAGGCCGATCAGGTCCGGGTCGAGAAGGTCAATCATCTCGAGGATATTGTCGCCCCGGTTGGCCCAGTTCCACTGCCCGTCGGCCGAGAACAGGATGTTGAAGGAGAGGACGCGAAGGGTCCCGGTCCCGACCGGGAACCTCGGCGGCGGCGGCGGTGACGGGCGAATCCCCTGCGGTGCACACAGTCCGCACAGCGGCGAAAACTCCTCGCCCACCTGCTGGCACGCGTCAGCCTCGCTCTTGCCTAGATTGTCGATCACCCATTGTATTCGGTCGCCGCAGGTCGCCTGAGCGTTCAGACCGATCGCAACGGTGGCCAGGACGACGGCCGTGCATGTGCTCATGCCGCACGCTTGAGAGGAGGGTAGCGGCGGCAGCGATGGCGTCGGCGGTGGCGATGGCGTCGGCGGTGGCGATTGCGGCGGCGGTGGCGGCGGTGGCGGCGATGGCGGCGGTGGCGGCGATGGAGGCGGAGGTGGCGGCGGCGACGCCGACGGCGGTGGTGACGACGACGGCGATGGTGACGGCGACGGCAAAGGGGAGGGGGACGGCGCGGGTCCAATCTCCGCGGCGGAATCTATTCGGACAACGGCGACGATCGGCTGGTGGTCGGAGCCGCCCGGCGCATCGGCGACGGTGGCGGTGGCGATGACCCCGAATCGCCCCTCCTCGGTGTAGATGTAGTCGACCCAGTTGTGGTGCGCCAATGTGAAGGTGACGGCGAGGCCGCCTCCCGTGAGGCTCGATGGCGCTGGGTTTGAGGGTGAGTCCTCGTTGAGGTCACCGAGTAGCAGCACCGGCGCGTCGCCGCCAGCAGCCTTCTCCGCCGCCGCGTGGTTCGCAATCATTACCGCGTTCTGCTCGTGATAGCCCCACACCTCCTCCCCGCCCGGCAGTTGGTGCATGCCGTAGACGAGCAGGTCACTTGCGGTGGCGGCATGGCGAAGCCGTGCCCATGACATGGCCCGAGTTCTGTCGTAAGGGACCGCGCCGTCCTGCACAACAGACCACGTGCCGGCGCGGTAGAGGATGTCACCGTCCCAGAGCTGAGCGGGTGCGTCAGCCGCCCACTGGTAGTCACGGAGGTCGTCGCCGAGGGAGTGCAGGGCAGTCAGGCTCGCGGCAGAAGGCGGTGACGCACTCTTGGATCGAAGCCACGTCGGGCCGCTGCTGAGCGATGGCGGCCGCCAGTTGGGCGTTTCGCTCCGGCGACTGCTCTGCAAATCGGACGTTGAAGGACATTGCCTTGAGCTGCACCCCGTCACCGCCGCCACCGCCATCAGGGGGCGGCACACTTGGCATGATGTACGTGTCGTAGCCAACATAGTCGGCCACGCAGGAGGAAAGCTCCACATACCCGCGTCGGTAGCAGAGCAGCGGCGAAGTCGACGTGACGACGACCGCCTCGCAGCCCGCCGTCGCGGCGCACTGCGCAAAGCAGAAAAGTACAACACGGACTCCCGCCCGGCGTCTCGAGGTCCTCCGCGCCAAAGCCGGCGTAGCAGTTGGTCGAGGCGTGCAGCGTCCACGTGGCGGGCTGGCCGGCGGGGTCGCAGCCGCCGCACTCGGCCGGAAACTCCACACTAGCGACTCGCTCGCACGCAGCCGTCTCCACCATACCGCCCCCGTTGGCGCTGCGAAGCCACGAGATGCGGCTGCCACACGAGTACTGCCCGCCTGCGTCCGTCGCCAGAGTATTCCAGACTGCGTCCGTGCACGACGCCGCGCCGCAGCGAGCCTCCCCTTGCGGCGGTGGCGGCGGTGGCGGTGGCGGAGGACGAACGGGACTCGATGGGAGCGGAGGCAGCAGTTGGATTGCATGCGCCACACTCGCTTGGAAATTCATTGACGGCGACCTGCGTGCAGGCGGCTTCGAGGCCCATCCCCGGCCCGGCGGGGTCGACTTGCAGCCAGATGATCCGGGCACCACAGCTTGCGGTCACACCCGGCCCAACAGCCAGAGTTGCCCACGTCGCATCGTCACAGCTCACAACCCCGCAGCGCAAGGTGGGCGGTGGCGACGTCGACGGAGGTGGCGACGGCGATGGGGATGGCAACGGTGGTGGCGAGGGGGAGGGGGAGGGCGAGGAGGAGGGCGAGGGGGAGGGTAAAGCCGCCGCCGCTGCCTCAAAGGAGGCTGCCACGAGGGGGTGGTCGCTGAGGTAGCCATTCACCGAGCGCCATGAGGTGGCCTCGGCGCCGTTTGTGAAGATCATATCGATCCCGCCGTTTGCCACCAGGTTGAGCCCGGCAGCGTCGTCGAGCATGTTGACAGCGGCGGAGCCTGCGCCGCAGTTGAAATCGCCCGTGTAGACTAGCATGTCTCCGGGAACGATGTTGTCGGTCACGGCGCCCCACCAGTTCTCTCCGAGGGCCGTCGAGCACATGGGAGGGTTGGCGGTGCCTCCGTCAGCTGGACCATGCGTGTTAGCAAAGAAGACTGTCGCTCCCGTCGCACGTGCGATGAGCCTGACCCAGGATGTGATGCGTACGCCCCACCGATCGGAGCCGATCTGGCGCCAGCCCGCGTCCAGCTGCTCAAACTTTTCGCTGTCCCACGCGACTGGGTTGATTGGCATGCCTGGAGGCGTGTATGAGTCAAACCTGCCTCGCATTCGCCCGACCCCGTTGATGATCTGGCCGACATTGTCGCACTCCTGGAAGCCGATCAATTCGAAGCTCTGGGAGTCTACTTTCCTATACAGGGCGTCCCAGTTGTTGTTCTGAGCGACATTCCACCAGAAGAGGTTGTAGGTGACCACCTCGAGGCTGGCGCTTGGTGGACCGCTGCCCGCCACGAGCCTCGGCGACCCAGGCGGGGACGGCCGGATGCCCAAAGGCGCGCACGGCCCGCACGCGGACGGGAACTCCTCGCCGACCTGCTGACAGGCGTCGAAGCCAGTCTTGCCAAGGTTCGCAACCACCCACGCGATCCGGTCGCCGCAAGAAGCACTCTCGGTGGCGCTACTCGCAATGGCGGCGAGGATGGCGGCGGGGATGAGCTCATCATGACACGCGGCGAGTTTGCGCCTCTTGGAAGGCGCGGCGCAAATCGGGTTGTGGTTGCCTCGGTGCTCCTGTGAAGGCTTTTCGCTTTCCTTGTTTGAGCTTTCTCTCCGGCCCAAAATTTTTCTTATTCGCCTGCTGGGCGTACCTCCACCGATGGCCTCGGCCGATGTATGTATGCACATTAGCAACGAGAAAGCATGAGAGCTCCTCGCCGCAACCTGTCGTGCGACAGTCTCAGTTCCCAGGCCCTCTCTCCCACCGCCAGATCCAAGACTCCGCCGCCTGTTCGGGAGGGCAGCCCGCCCAAGCCTGGCCGCGAGCCGCAGCTCGGCCGAGAGCACAGCTCGGGAGTGAAGGCGACACCGGCCGCGGGCATCATCCTGCTGCGCGAGCGGCCCGCCGTGTCAGAGCTCGACGACGCCGCGTGGGAGAGCCAGGAGCTTGAGGTGTTAATCGGCCGGTACCACGTCGTGGACGCGCTTCGGTCGGGGAGGGACCGCCTGGTGGCGCTGCGGTACGGCGGCGAGTGGCACTTCCCCGGAGGCGCCAAGCGGCAGGCTGACCGCGGGCCTCTGCAGACGGCGTGCCGCGAGCTGCACGAGGAGTTTCTCGGCGGCGCGGGCGACGCCGCTCCCGAGCTCGCCGCGACGCTCTTCGCAAAGGTGTCGATCTCCGTCTCTTCGCGGCCATACGTGCAGTATGTCTTTGTGGCGGACGAGGCGGACGCCCGCTGCAGCTGGCGCCTCCTCGGAACCTTTCCAGAAGCTTGCGAGCCCTCCTGTAGGCGGACAACCGGCCGCTCCAGCTGACGGCGGAGCGGATCAACCACGGGCTGCGCCGGCAGCGGCTCGCCTTTGAGCGGCTGGTTGCGTCGGGCGAGTGGTGGGAGATGGCGCGGTCGGCAAAGGTGGCGGTCGGGCGGCGAGGCGCGGGACGGTGTGGACAGGTGGCGCCTCTTCACCGCTTCGGGTGTGGACAGGCGGCGGTCGGTCCCGAGGTGCGGGAGGTGCGCTGGCTCTCGCTCTCGGCGGCCATCTCTGCGCTCGACCCGAAGGTGCCCTCCACTCCACGAGTGCCACCTACTCAGCACCTGGTTAACGAATCGAGTGAGTGTGTGGACCGCGGCGCTCGCCCGGAAGGTGCCCTTCGTCGACGAGTGGCAGCGGGAGGAGCTCGCGCGCTGCGGCGTCTACTGGCGCCAGATCCCGCTCGGCACGATCCAGATCCTGCGCCAGCTGCAGCGGCTCGGCACGATCGCCGCCATCAAGGCTGCTGCAGTCGAGTCGCGTCTCGACCGCGTCGCGACGGCGAGGCTGCCGCCGGAGCTGCCACCCCTCACCGCCATCTACGGCGGCCGCACCGCGCAGCCGCCGGGCCTGCTCGGCCCTCTCCTCGCCTCGCCGCGGCCGAGCAGGAGCCCTCGCAACGCCAGGAGCCCTCGCGACGAGGCTGCGCATAGTTCACGACGGAAGGGATGACACTTTGATTGATGGCCGAGCAGGAGCCTTCGCGACGAGGCTGCGCTCGCCGAGGCGGCGGCCGGCGGCGAGGCGAGCGGCGGCGCGTCGGCTGCCGGCGAGGCCGCCAGGCTAGCTTCGGGCGAGGGCAGCGGCGGCGGCTCTGTCCTTGACGCGGTCTCCGGCGAGGGCGGGAGCGGGGACGCCGGCACGGGCGGCGACGCCGGCGCGGGCGGCGAGGGCGGCGAGAGCGGCGAGGGCGGCGAGGGCGGCGAGGGCGGCGAGGGCGGCGAGGGCGGCGAGGGCGGGGACGAGGGCAGCGGCGAGGGCGGCGGCGAGGGCGGCGGCGAGGGCGGCGGTGAGGGCGGCAGCGAGGGCGGCGGCGGCCGAGTCGGCGGGTCGGCGGCGAAGTGGGCTGCGCCGCAGTGGCAACAGGCTCTCGCGCAGGTTGGGCTGCACGAGTTGTGGTACCAGCCGGGCTTCCCAAAGTCGTTCAACGTGCACCTCCTCTCGTACAACCTCAACATCCTGCCGTGGGGGGCGAGGCTCGCGGCGGGCGCCGGCCACGACCACTCTTCGGAGCGGCTGCAGGAGTTCATCTCGCGGCCCGAGCTCAACACGCTCGACGTGCTGCTGTTGCAGGAGGTCTTCAAGACGCCCCTCCTGCGCGGGCTGCTCTGCCAGCAGGCGAGGCCATCGGTGCACTCGCAGCCGTTGTCCATCGTTGGTTGAGCCCAGCCGGCGTGGCGTGGCTGCAGCCGGAGACCTGGTGGCTTTGCCTGCAGGCGTGGCTGCGCCGGCAGCTCTCCGAGCGCGGGTTCGTCCACCAGGTCGTGATGCCCTTCCGGCCGGGCGTGCTCTCGTGGACCGACTCAGGGCTCGTCATCGCCTCCAAGCTGCCCATCGTCGACTGGGGCGTGCAGCGCTTCTCGCGCGGGATGCACATCGACGCCGGCGCCGCCAAGGGCATCCTGCACGCCAAGCTGCAGGCCGGACCGCGGGAGGTCTTCGCAGCTGGAGGCGTGCACGGCGTCTCTTCACGCCGCTTGCTGTGGACAGGTTGGCTCGCGGCAGCTCTTTGTCTTCAACACGCACCTGCAGGCGTCGCACTCGGGCGGCGGCGGGCAGGCCTTCGTCCGCACGCGCACGGCGCAGCTCGAGCAGCTGCGCGCGTACATCGCGGACGTCACCCGCCACTCGGGCGTGCCGTGGCTGATGGCGGGAGACTTCAACATCGACGCCATCGCCGACCACGCCGTGGCGGACGCGTTTGGCTACTTGTGCGACACGCTGCCGCAGGAGTCGGACGAGTACCGCCAGATGATGGCCACCCTCAGCGGCGGCGGCGGAGGAGGGATCGGCACGGTGGACCGCGGCGTGACGGCTGCGCTGGGCGGCCCGTCCGCCGGAGTCGTGCGCGACTTGCTCAAGGAGGCGAGCGGGCACCACCCGTCGACCCGGCCGCCGCGGCTGCAGTTCCCGCATAAGAGCGAGTACATCTTCAAGCACAAGTACCCGCAGCGGCTCGACTACCTCTTCTTCTGCGACGCCGACTGCGTGCGCCCCTCGGCGTCTCCGGTTGGCCCGCGGCTCGTCCCCCGAGATCGGCCGAGCTCGCCCGAGCTCACCCGAGACGGCCCGAGGGTAGGTCGGCTCGCGGCTCGTCACATTCTCCGTCGCGCGCCGCGAGGGGACGCACTCCTCCTACACGCACCTCTCGGACCACTACGGCATCGCAACCACGCTCGCCATCGAGAACGACTTCTTCTGGCGGGACGACTCGCCCGGCACGTCGCCGCCCCTTGCAAAGACGTCCGTCATCAGCGAGGCAGCCACGTCGGGAGCCGCCGCGGCGGTGTCAGCAGCCCTCGAGGGGGGCGGAGGCGTGCTGCTGGCCGGTGCGGTCGCGGCCGCCGCCGTCGCCGCCGCGCTCCACCGCCCCACCGGCGGGGCGGAGGACTTCGCCTGGCCTCCGCTCGCCGTCTTGCTCCCGGCAGCGGTGGCCGCGGCGCTCGCTCTCTCCCGCGGGGTGGCAGCCGCCGCCGCGCACTCCAACCGCGCGGAGCGGGACGCCGCCGCTGGCCGCGTGGAGAGCGAACTGCCCGCCAGGCTCCCGAGGCCGCCCCGGCCTCCGCGGCCCGCCGTCCCCGTCGGCCGGCCAACCTCCCTCTCCGCCCTCCTCGACGACTCCTCGCGCGAGAGCCTGGTCGCCGCAGAGGGATCGTCGCCGCGCCGCAGGGCTCCACACGCCCCCGCCCTCACCGCCGCCGACTCGGATGGCAAGCTCTCCGCCGCAGCCTCCACCGCGCCCGTCGCCGCCGCCGCCGCCGCCGCTCCCGCCGCCGCCGCCGCTCCCGCAGCAGCGCCCGTGGCGGCCAGCGCCCGTGACGAGCTCACGCGCGTGCACCGCTCTCCGCTGTCGGAGAAGGAGACTGCCTGCCGCGGGGCTAGCAGCCCTCTTGCGTGACGCGATTGCCTCGAGCGCGGGCGCGATTGCCACCGTAGGAGCTCGTGTGCGACGACGAGGAGCTCGGCGTGTCGACCGTGTACGAGGCGCCGCTCTCCGCCGCTTGCCGTCCGATGGGGGGGGGGGGGGGAGGGGCGCTACTTCGACAAGCGTGCCGTAGGCGCTGCTCTCCGCCGTCAACCGTTTCGGGCGGCGGCCGTGTTTGGGCGTGCGGCGGCCGCTGTCGGTCGAGCGGCTGGGGGCGCGCTTCGGCGACTACGTGTGGGCCACGTACGACGACCTCTACCGCCGCGTCCTCTCCGTCGGGTCCGCGCTGGTCCGGCTCGGCTTGGCTCGCGGTGAGCCGATCGGGCTGCTCTGCGACAACTGCCCCGAGTGGGTCGTCGCCGAGCAGGCGTGACTCAGCGACCGAATCTCTTTGCTCTCTCTCTCTCTCTCCTCTCTCTCTCTCTCTCTCTCTCTCTCTCTCTGTGCGCCTGGCCCCGAGCCCTCTCCGAGCTTTGCCTGACCCCACTCCGACACCCCGGCCGTATCCCATACCCCCGACCCCGACCCCGGCCCTCGAGCAGGCGTGCCATGCGTACGGTCTCGTCTCGGTGCCGCTCTGGTTCACGCTCGGCGTCTCGTACGCGCTCAAGCTCCTCCAGGACTCGGCCGTTGTGTGTGTCGTGTGCGGCGAGCGGTGGACGGGCGCGCTGCTTACGATGGTGCACGAGGGCAAGCTGCCGGCGTTGCGGATCATCGTGCAGCGCGAGCACCTGCGGTACGAGGAGCTCGTCCTCAAGGAGACGCTCGAGCAGGCTGCCCCCCCCCCCCCCCCCCGGGCCGTCGCTTGAGCGACTGTCGCACGCCGCGATGATGCACGCCTCGACCCCTTCTCCCCTCACCGCACACTCACACACAACATCTTCGCCTCCACTCCTCCCTCTCTCTCTGAGCCCTACCCTGCTCTCCCAACCCTGTTCGCTTAACAGGCGCGCGCGGGGGGCGGCCCTCTGCCCGTCCGCCTCTACGACTTTGGCTTCGTCGAGCGGATGGGCGAGTGCCAGCGGCTGCCGCCGGCGCCGCCCGCGGCGTCGGCCCTCGCGACGATCGTGTACCGCTGGCGGCTCGACGCGGACCCGGTGGGCTGCCGCCTCTCGCAGGCCAACCTCGTCGCGTCGATGTGCGCGCTGCGGCTGTGCACCCGTCCGCTCCTCGGCGAGCGCGAGACGCGCGCCTCGAGCCCTGCCTCAGCCCCGCCGCCCTCACCGCAGTCACTCGTCGCCTCCAGGCGAGCACGACGTCCACCTCTCGTACGTGCCCCTCGCGCACATCTTCGAGCGCTCCATCCTGCTGCTCTGCCTCTCGTCTGGCGCCGGCGTCGGCTTCTACCACGGCCGGCAGACCGCGCTCCTCGAGGACGTGCGCGCGCTGCGGCCGACCTTCCTCGTCGGCTTGCCCGGCGCCTTCCGGCAGATGGTGCGAAAGTACACCGCGGTGCGGCAGCAGTGGTCGCGGCCGTACCGCCTCTTCTTCGAGTGGGCGTGGCAGCGCAAGAAGCGCGCCGCCGAGGCGGGCCACCCCTCGCAGCCGCTCCTGGACCGCTTCCTGTTTGGCGGCATCACCGCCTCGCTCGGCGGCCGGCTGCGCTTCCTGCTCGTGTGCGACCGCAACTTCGACACGCAGGTGCGCGACTTCTTCCAGGTGGCGCTGAGCGCGCGCGTGCTCATCGGTTTTGGCTTCCCCGAGGCGGGTGGACTCGTCACCATCCAGCCGGCCGACTCCGCCGCCGCCGCCGCCGCCGGCGCAGCCGCTGCCGCTGGAGGCGAGCCGCAGTCTCCAGTGACCAACTGCACTGGCCTCCCCCTGCCGTGCAACGAGCTGCGGCTCGCGCCTCTCTCGCCGCCTCCGGGGCCCGCCCCTCGCTGCTTGCGCACCAGCCGTACCAGCCGCACCAGCCGCACCAGCCGCACCAGCCGCACCAGCCGCGGCGGCTCCCTCGCCGCGTCAGACACCTCTGCAGACGACGAGTCTGCAGGCGGCGCGTCCGGTGTGGACGAGGGCGACGGCGAGGGCGACGGCGGCGGCGGGGATGCGAGCAAGGATGAGGGCGGGCGCACGGGCGCGGGCGCGGGCGGCGCCGCGCCCGAGGGCGGGCTCGAGGCAGCGAGCCTCGAGGCGGCGAGACTGGAGGCGCTGCCGGGCGTCGGCGAGCTGTACATCCGTGGCGCCTCCACCTTCGAGGGGTACCACGGCAAGGAGCACCTGACGGCGCAGGCGTACGACGAGGGGGGCTGGCTCAAGACGGGGTATGTCTGCTCGTGGGCGCCGTCGGGCGAGCTCCACATCCTGGGCAAGCGCAACGATTTTCTGCATCCCGCGGGCGGGCGGCTCGTCTCTGCGCAGCGGCTCGAGGCCATCTACGCGCACCGGTGCCCGCTGGTGCACCAGATCTGGGTGACGTGCGAGCCGCGCGGGCCGCTCGTCGCGGTGGCGGCGCTCGACGCCGAGGCGGTCTTCCGCTGGCTTCAGGCCGAGGGCCTCGACTTGCGTTCGTCGGACGAGCACGCGCCGCGCATCACCGCCGCGTTGCTGCAGCAGCTGCGGGAGGTTGCGGCCGCGTGCCGCCTCGAGCCGTGCGAAGAGGTGAGCGACGTGCACGTCGTCAAGTCGCTCGGCCAGTCGGATGATGACTACCGCCAGCTGGCGACGCCAACCTTTGTGCTGCGCCGCGGCCACTTGCGGCGCAGATACGACAGCGAGCTGCGCGCGCTCGAGATCCGCCGGGCGGCCACGACGTCGGGTGGTGCGCCGGGTGGTGCCGGATGATGCGGCGGGCAGGGTGGAGGAGAGGTGGGCGAGACGTGCGCCGTTCGATTGCTGTGTGTCTGGCCAGGAGAGGTTTTGTTGTGCAAGCTCTCGTTGAGTCTCTGACGTGTGAGCTTCAGTTGTGAGCGAGATCTCGCCTCTCGACTCTCGTTGTCGATGTCGTTCTCACATCTCAGTCGCAGTGTGAGGGCTGACTGAGGCTTGTTTTTGTGTGTGTCCTCGACCTCGTCTGATCGTCGTCCTCTTTCCTTGACGCGATCAGGTCTACGTGTTAGGTGTTACGTGTACGTTTGAAATGTACCGTGTGCTTACTTCCATGTCCGTGTCCATGTCCATGTCATGTTTAAAGCTGTGGCATCGCCATCGGGCGCAAATGTCTCCATCATCAGTGTTATAAAGCGAATCAGTACAAAGTGTGCACACACACAAAGACCCCGCCCCCACGTGCCACCACGAGCGGGGGGGGCGCGTGAGGCGGAGAATACACACAGCATGCCTGGATTTCTATATGGCACCCTCACGCGTCAGGTGTGGCACCCTCTGCTCCCTCCCAGACTGAGTCAGAGAATCCAACAGCGGCCCGCGCGTGCCCGTCAGGCTTGGGCGTTGGGGGTGACTGCGCAACCGAAGGGGGAGGAGTAGCGACGCGCCGTGCCCTCGGCCTCGCCCTCACGAATCTTGGACCTTTGACACTGCGCTATACGTCATACTGGACGCCACCTCCGAGCCTTCGCCTTCGTCGTCCGCGAGCCGCATCCTGCGGGGCGGCTTCCTGCCCGCCCGCGCCTCCTCGCCGCCGCTGCAGCAAGCTCTCGCGGCGAGCACGAGCAACACGATGCACGCGCCGGCGCCGATGCCGAGCTGGAAGAGCGACGAGAGCGACGAGTCGGTGAGACTAGCGAGGCTGAAGAGGGCGGGCGGCGGCGCGGGCGGCGCGGGCGGCGGCGCGGAGGGCGGCGGCGGCGACGGGCTCGGCGGTGGCGGTGGCGGCGGCGGTTTCGGGTAGGGGGCCAAGGGTGACGGCGTGGGCGGCGGAGGGAGCGGCGGAGGGCGCGGGGATGGCGAGGGCGGCGGGGGCGGGGTCAAGGAGCCAATCATGTCCTTGATGGCCTGAGAGGGGCGGTGCGTGTGTGGGGCGGTGCGTGTGTGTGTGGCGGGGTGGGAGGGTGGCGGTGCGTGTGTGTGGCGGTGCGTGTGTGTGGCGGTGCGTGTGTGTGTGGCGGTGTGGGAGGGTGGTGTGGGTGTGGGTGGGGGTGGGTGGGGGTGGGTGGGGGGGGGTGGGGGGGGGGAAGCCGAACAACGTGAGGGATATACAAGCGGGCAGCAAGAGTGGGGGGCTAAGTGCGTGTGTGTGTTGCACGGGCGTGGGGCGAGGGGCGCGCCTGCAGCAGGAGGGAGTACGGCACGAGCTCGTCCAAGGGCAGCTTCGGGCCGGCGCCGTCGATCCACAGGGCGTCCTCGATGGGCCTCCCGGCTGAGCGGCGGCGGCCGAAGAGGCCGAAGGCATCCTCGTCGTCGTCGCGCGCCGTGTGCGAGCGCGCCTGGCGGGGGGGAGGGGAGGGGGGGGGGAGGGGAGGGGGGAGGAGCAGAGGGGAGGGGGGAGGGGAGAGGGGCAATTGGGTGTGTAGGTCGGGTGGCGTGATCTTCTCACTCGCCAGTGGGCACGGGTGGGTGAGCTACACCCCCCTCCCCCCCTCCCCGCCTCCCTCCTCTCCCGAGAGCTGGCAGCGTGTGGTGAGAGAGCGCGACGTCTGCGCGCGCGCCTTCCACCACTCGTCGCAAAACTCGAAGTAGAAGGTGCCGAGCATCAGGCGGGAGTGCTCCAAGTAAGCCGCGCGGAGCACGAGTGCCGCCCGCTGCGCAACCTCCTCCTCCGAGGCGAAAGCGGCGACGCCTACAGGAAGGTTCCAGGAAAGGTCCAGGAAAGGTCTAGGCGAGCTCCTCCGAGGCGAAGGCGGCGACGCCCGCGTGCGTGAAGCCCGCCTCGCTCCCCGCGTCCGCCACTCCCGCAGTCACGCCCGAGTGCGCCCACCCGATCTCGGTGAGGAGGAGGGGCTTGATCTGGTCGGCGATGGCCGGGGCGCCGTAAGAGAGGCCGCCGCCCGCAATCACTCCGCCGCCCGCGCTGCCCATCACCGCCTGGAGCCCTGCGGGCGAGGTCTGGTAGGTGTTGAAGCCGAAGTAGTCGAAGGCGCCAGAGATCTGCGCCAAGTACGTCTGGCCCGCCACCAGCGAGGCGCCGTCGGGCGAGCGGGGCGAGGCGCGAGACGCGAAGCCGAGCCACTGAGGGATGTCGTGGAGCGCCCAGCCGACGAGCTTGCCGGGCGCGGCTCGCTTGACGAGCCGCGCGTACTTGACGGCGGAGCCGTAGAAGAAGTCCGTCTCGGGCGTGCCGGACGGGTTCGGCGCCGCAGCGCCTGTTGCTCACGGCCGGAGGTGTGAAGGGGACCGCGGCGGTGTGGGGAGGGGGCGTGCCGGCGGGCAGCGCCGGGGAAGGCGTTGAAGGCGTCGTCGAGTTCGTTCATGAGGACGAAGCCGAGCGTGGCGGGGTGGGAGCCGAGGTCGCGCGCCGTCTCCTCGAGCACGCTCTCCCACCAGCTGACGAGCGACGCGTGCGCGCCACGGCGGTTGGAGAGATGCCACATCTCGATCGGCATCGGGATCCCGACGAGCACGCTCAGGCCGTGCCTCGCCGCCTCGTCCAGGAAGGCGGCGTGCGTGCGGCGGGTGCAGTCGGCGGCGGGGCTGACGACGCCGCGCTGGATCGCGAAGACGCGCGACAGCATCGAGTACACTCGCACCGAGTTGAACCCGTACGAGGCGATGGCCTGCAGGTCTGCACGGCCGGCACCGCGCCCCCCTGTGATCGCGGTGCCCGAGCCCCAGAGGGCGCCCCACGAGAGGTGCGGCGCTTCGGCCGGCGCGTCCCAGAAGACGTCGCCAAAGCTGCCCACGTACTTGGCGTCCCCGGAGTCGAAGAGCTCCGTCGGCCCCGCGCTCCCAATCTCGGACGGCGAATAGCAGACCCCGTGCAGCACGTGGGGCGAGCCGTTCCGCTCGAGGACCCAGCCGCCGGCGGCGTCGCGCACGGTGCGCCACGTCGTCGAGGGCGTGGAGCCGGCCAGCGCGGATGACAGCGCGGAGAGCAGCATCCGGCGCGCAGCCGAATGGCGAAGTTATCGTTGCCGCCGAGGTAGGAATCGAGGCGCCGCTCGAGAAGAAGACCAGTCCGCCTCGAGAACAAGCAAGCGGCAAAACGGCCTCTTACCCTCGGCCCCAATGGGGGGGTGCCCGCGCCGCCTAGCTCTGCGGACGGGCCCCTCCACCCTTCACGTACGGATCATGTTCATGTAGTCCCCAAAAACTGCCGTCGGAGGCATCAAGCTTTCTCTTCACTTCAACGGCGGGTAGATCGGCGCCTTGAAAACCCGGCGCGGCAGGAATCCAGCCCACCTCCTTCTTCATGACGAGCGAGGACCGCGCGACGCGCACCTCTCGCCGCGACAGCGCGCGCGAGGCCGCCTCGGACGCGCGGACGCGCGCCTCGGAGCTTCGCATCGAGGGCCTCGACGCGGACGCGGACGTGCTCGACAAGCTCGTTGGCGTGCTGGACGAGGTCGCCGCAGGCAAGCTGCGCGGCGCCACGACCGGCAAGCTGGTAGACAACGCCAAGAAGGAGATTGCTCGTCTCGGCGTCAAGAATCCGACGAGCAAGACGCGGGAGCTCTTCCCCTCGGCGCCGTCGTCGTTCGAGGGCTCCTTTGATCAGGGCCACGAGGAGGGGGAGAGCGAGGAGACCCTCCCCGCCTACGTGACCTCGGAGTACGTCGCCTCGCCGCGGCAGCACCAGAACGGCGCTGTGACGGTAAAGTTTGCCTGCCGCCCCCTCCACTCACCCATCTCCCCCCGCCTTTTTCACTCCCTCCACTCCCACTTCGCCCGCTCGCCCCCACCCCGGCCCTCCTCTCGCCTCCCCTAGGTGAAGCGCGGCCAGCTCGTCGACGTGATCATGAACGTCGACCCTCCCCCCCCAAACGGCTGGATGTCGGTCACCGCAGCACGGCCCAGCGAGAGGTGCCGGCAGCGGCGCACGCATCGGTGTGTGAGCTCCTGCTGTAGGTCATCGTGCGGCCCGAGAGCGGCGTTGCCGGCGAGGGAGTGCGCGGCCTCGTCCCCAAAACAAACCTCGCAACGGCCGACACCTCGCGGCTCAGGCGAGCGAAGTTTCCGAGACACTTCCACCACCACTGCCCACTGTAATTGCCGCACCACGCACCGCTCGTCCGCCCGCTCGCCCTCGCTGCGCCCCCAGCTGACCCGCCTCCGACCCCCCCCCCCCCCACACTCAGCTTCACCGGCCCCGAGGTCGCCCCAAAGTACTCCTCCGCCGCGCCGCACGCAAGGTCCTCCCGCCACTCCTCCTCCTCCCGCCGCTCCTCCGCAAGCTCCCCCGACGGACCGCACTCGAGCCGCAACTCGCTCGGAGCAACCTACCCGCCAAAGGGCAAGCGCCACGCTGCCCCGCCCCGCCCGTCGACACGGCTCTTCCCCGACCCTCCCCTCGCCCCTTCCCGCACAGGCACGCTCGCCCAGCCGCCCGTCGAGGAGCGCACCTTCAGCTCGCCGATGGACCCGATCGGAGCGACGATGTCTGGGCGGCTCGGTATCCCCGGCATCGCACCGACCGAGGCAGAGTTCAAGGCGCAGCCCTCCTCTGAGGACGCCCCCCTCCCACCACTCTTGCTTGGCCCGAGGGCCGACTGGTGCATCGCTCCAGGCGCTCGCCTCGCCGCGTCGGGTCCCCGAGGCCAAGGAGCGGCATGTCCCTGTCCGGCGCACTCCCCACCAGGGCTTCGGCCTCGAGATTGACGCGGCGAGCGCCAGCCACACCCCCTCGATTCGGGGCGAGGGCGCGCCCGCCGGCCCCCCCTCCTGAGCCGTCGCCGCCGGCCTTCCTGTAGGCGAACGTCATCGTCACCATCGTGCCCGACGGGCCGGCGGCGGAGGATGGGCTCGTGCGGCGCGGGGAGCGGGTCGTCGCGGTCGACGGAGAAGCCCTCAACGGCTGCCAGAACTGCTCGCGTCTTCGTCAGACGGACTCTCACTCCTCCCTAACCGCCGCTCATGCGGAACACCAGGCTGCCAGATCGCACAGCTGGTCGGGGAGCGCCCCTTCCGAGAGGTGCACTTCTTCACGCTCGTGCCCGGCGCCGCTGCGGTGCCGCGCACGCCGCGCCAGGCGAGCTCGGCTCTAGCTCGGCTCTAGCTCGGCTCTAGCTCGGCTAGTCAGAGCTCGGCTAATCAGAGCTCGGCTAGAGCTCGGCTACCCCTCTCTCGGGGATGTGGCTGTACCTGCTGCGGACGCTCTGCTAGGCCATCTCGCAGGCCTTCGCTCCGGCGAAGCGCGCACCAGGCGGCGGAGGAGGAGGCTGCTGCGCCGGCAAGAAGGTGGGGCGGACACCCCCCACCACCCCCCACGTGGTCAAGCCCCGGCGAGGCTCTGCCCGGTCTACCCGGTCTGATGCGTGTGTCGAGTGCGTCAGGCGGCGGACGATGTGGTCGAGCCGGCGGTGGCCGCCGTCGCGGTCGCCGTCGACCCGGGCCTCAGCAAGCGCGACTCGGACGCGGAGCGAGAAGTCAACATTACCCGCACAATCACGCGGGTGCGCTCTTCGACCATTGCGTCGGAGGCCTCGCCGCCGCCGCCGGGCAGGCCGCCGCCCAAGCTCGACCTGAGCGGACTCCGCCCCGAAGGGTGGCCGCGACCCTGCCGCGCCCGCCTCCAGCGCCTGCCCCGCACACCTCTCACGGCTGTGTGTGTGTGCCGCACCGGCGCAGGTCCCCGATCCCGACCCGAGTCAAGAGCCCCCTCCGCGACGCGCCGCCGAGGCGGCAGTCGGACATGTTGTCGCCCTCCCCGCGCGGAGGGGGGAGCCAGCGCCGCTCAGACATGCGGCGGTCGGACCAGCGGCGGTCGGACCAGCGGCGGTCGGACTTGCGCGGCTCCGCGGTGGCGGAGAACCACTCGGAGCGGTACTCGGCGGAGAACCAATCGGCCGGGGGCAGGGGGGTGCAGTACTCCGACTCGGACAGCGAGGGAGAGCACTCGGAGCGCTTCTCGGCGGAGAGCTACTTTGCGGGCGAGCGCGCAGCCCGAGGCCTCCCTCTTCCCTTCTCTGCGCCTCCTCTCCACCGCAGCACAACCCCTCCGCAGGCGAGCGGAGCCCTCGCGAGAGCTCGCGGCTCTCGGCGCGCGGAGGCAGCCGTCGCCAGTCCGCAGAGGTCATCTCCTCCGGCGGATCGACTCCTCGGTCGGCGCGCGGCGAGGCACCCGCGAGCTTCGAGCTGCAGATTGGGGGCGGCGGCGCGCCTCCGCCCGCGAGGCACCCAGTCAACCCGTACCTCCACCCGGCGCTCTTCGACGCCTCGGGCGCGCCTCAAGCCGCCCGCCCGGGCCCTAGGCCGGGCCGCACACGTCGAAGGGGGGCATTCTTACTCACGAGTGGCGAGCTAATGCAGGCACGCCCAAGCCGCTGCCGCTCAACGGCCCCCCCTCCCAGTTCGACCCGATGACGGAGTCGCCCCTCGCGACCACGTCGTCGGGCACCTCGCCGCGCCAGGACAGGCCAAACCACCGGGCCAGCCGGGCCAGCGCCGCCGAGGGCCGCCCCCGCCCCCCTCCCGCATGCACGAGGCCTAGTCCTGTCCACCAGTCATTACTGCCCGGCATGCTGACTCTAGGCTCCCCCCGCGCGCGCGCGCGCGTCGAGACCAAGCTGCGCCGGCACATCGGGACGGGCGCCAACGGGTCGGTGTACGTGGGCGAGTGCGGCGGCGAGGAGGTGGCGGTCAAGGCGCGAGATGAAGCCGAGATCTGGCTGAGATCTATAGCCGAGATCCTAGCAGGTCAAGGCGCGCTGAGTCAACTCCTACACCACGCCCTCCCGCCCTCCCCTCTCTCCCCACCTCTGCCCTCACCCCTTCCCCGCCGCCAACCCCCCCTTAGGTGCTCTCGCTCGAGCCCGCGACCTGCGAGGACATCAAGAACGAGATCCGCATCCTGCGCAACTGCGACTGCGAGCACATCGTCGCGTACAAGGCGCGAGAGCTGCCGAGATTGAGCCACGGTTGAGGCCCCAGGCACGGCCGAGGGAGGCCCGGGAGTACGCGGTGTGTGTTGCGGTGTCTACCTCGCCGCCCGCTCCCGCACCGTGGCACACGTCGAGCCTCGGCCTCGATGGCGCACGCTCCACTCCCCCCCATCGCCCCGGCCCAGGACGCCTTTGTGCGCGAGTACCAGATGCGATCGACGCTGTGGGTGGTGATGGAGTTCTGCGAGGCAGGCTCGACCCTCGACGTGATGCGCAAGGTGGGGCGAGGCTTCGACGAGCCGTGCGTCGCCGGCATCTGCCGCGGCGTCCTGCGCGCGCTCGAGTACATGCACGTCGAGCGCAAGGTGATCCACCGCGACATCAAGGCGGCCAACGTGCTGCTTGACGCGCGCGGCGGCGTCAAGCTCGCCGACTTGGGCGTGGTGGCGCAGCTGCAGCACACCATGTCCAAGCGCGGCACGATGATCGGCACGCCGCACTGGATGGCGCCGGAGAGCCTCGGCCTCAACCCCTCCGGGGGGGGTTACAACCCCAAGGGGGGGGGGCGCCCCCCATGCCAGTTCCCCCCGCCCCCCGCCGGGGCTTTTGTTGCCTTTTCCCGGGGGGCCTGCCCGGTGTCATGCCCCGGGTCCCCGGGTCCCCGGGGCCCCCTGACACGGGGACACCCCCCCCCCCCCCCCCCCCCCAGGTTGACGTGTGGGGCCTCGGCATCACCGCCATCGAGCTCGTCGAGATGAAGCCGCCCTTCAACTCCGCCTCCTCCGTCTACGAGGCGCCCGCCCACCTCGCCCGCACGCCCACCCCTCTCCTCCCACCTCACTCGCCCTCGCCCTCTCGCCGCCCCAGGCGATGATGCACATCTGCCAAGGCCCCGCCGCGACGCTCAAGCCAGAGACGGACGCCTCGCCGCTGCTGCGCGAGTTCATCTCCGCGTCGCTGGTCAAGGACCCCAACGAGCGGCCCGCCGCCGGCGACCTGCTGCAGCACCCCTTCCTCAAGAAGGCCTCGGCCGAGGCCCTCGCGAGCATCGTCGCGAGGCTACTCGACGGCGAGTTTGACGCGCCGCCGGCGCCGCCAAAGGCCGTCGAGTCGTTGCGCGACAGCTTTGACGCATCCTCGAGGCGATCCTCGTTGCGCGACAGCTTTAGGGACAGCCTTGCTAGCTTTCAGTCGGAAGTGTGAGAGTGTCGCGGGTTGTTGCTTCGGAGAGGCGCGGCAGTCGCGCACACGGTACCAGACAGAGCTCTGCCCCTCTAGCCGTATCGATACGTCTGATCGAAGGATTTTGGTGTTGTCGCACCCAGTCCCACACAGCTAAAAAATAAACCATGATTCCCGACCAAGGCCAGGGGCACGTGCCCCCCCCCCGGAAACCACTTTGGCTGGCCACTGCGCGTCCCGCCGCGTGTCTTTTATCTCCGCCTGCCTGCGCCCACGGGGCACAGCTCACAGCGGGAAGAGTGGTGTCGGAGCGAGTCTGCGGGGACTCAGTCGACGGCGACGTCGATGAGCGACGCGGGGCACGCCTCCTCGGGCGTGAGCACCTCGGTCACCTCGCCAATCACCGCGGCAGACGTGAAACCGAGAGCGCGCAGCTCCCGCACGCACGCCTCGGCCCGGTCAGCCGGCACCGACGAGAGGAGCCCGCCGGCGGTCTGCGGGTCGAAGAGGGCGGGGTACGCGGGGTGCTGCACCGCCTGCGCCTCGTTGGAGATTGCGCGCCGCAGCCGCAGGTTGGCGGGCTGCAGCGACGAGAAGATGCCCTGGCCGATGCACTCCTCGACGCCGGGCAGGATCGGCACGTCGCCGAGCCGCAGCCGGACGCGCGCATTTGAGGCGGACGCCATCTCGAGCAGGTGGCCGAGCAGCCCAAAGCCGGTCACGTCGGTGCACGCGTTGCCTCCGTGGCGGATCAGCGCCTCCGCCGCGGGCGCATTCGAGCGCACCATCCCCTCGGTCGCCGCGGCGAGGGCCGCGCCGGGCGCGGCGCCGCGCATCGCCGCGGCGAAGAGGACGCCCGTGCCGAGCGGCTTTGTGAGGAGGAGCGCGTCGCCGGCCCGCATGCCACCCTTGTGCATCATCGCCTCTTTGGGCGCGTACCCGATGACGGCGAAGCCGAGGGCGAGCTCTGCGCCCTCGCACGTGTGTCCGCCGAGTAGCGCGCACCCCGCCTCGCCGAGCGTGCGGCAGGCGCCCGCCATCATCTGGAAGAGCGTCGCCTAGAGGGAGGGGCGCTCCGAGACGGGTCCGAGAAGGCTCCGAGAGGCGGTCCCCGCCACACCCCTCTGCGGGAGCGGCGCGCCTCGACCTTCGCCTCGAGCCCGTACGGGACGACCGCCACCGCGAGGGCACCGGCGGGCGGCGCGCCCATGGCGTGGCAGTCGGAGAGGGCGTGGTTGGCGGCCACTTGCCCGAACACGAAGGGGTCGGGCAGGAAGGAGCGGAAGAAGTCGACGGAGTGGACGGACGGCATGCTCGACGGCGCGAGGACGGCGCAATCGTCCGGCGCCTCGAGCCCGACGAGGACAGTGTGGTGCCTCGCCTCGGGCAAATGGCCCTCCGCGCGCAGCCGCGCCATCACCCGCGAGAGCACCGTCGCGCCAACCTGCGCCATCGATCAGCCGAGATGAGCCGAGAGGAGCCGAGACCGGCCCGCGAGAGCACTCCGCGCCAACCTTTGCACCGCAGCCGCCGCACCGCATCGACGCGTGCGAGAGCGTGCGCAACGCCTCGTCGCCCGCCGCCGCCGCCACCTCGGGCACGGCGCTCGCGTCTGGCGCGGCGTCCATCTGCGGAAGGCCTGCGGGGAGGCCCAGAGAGGGCTGAGAGAGAGAGGGGCCCCCTCGCGGCGGGCGCTGCGTCGGTCTGCCGCTCGCCGCTCGTGTACGCGGCCATCCACGTGCGGTCGATCCAATCCTTGAGGCCCCACAGCCACGCCGCCTAGTCTCGGACAGCCTTGGTCGTCTCGGGCGAGCTCCAGCCCTCGCCAGGTGCCCCACAGCCACGGCGCCTCGAGGCAGAGCGGTCCTTTGGAGGCGACCGCGCCGCCGTCGCCCGTGCCGATGATGCCCAGGAAGCGGTCCTGCGGCGTGAAGGGCAGCAGCGGCTTGCCGAGCAGCTTGCGCCGCAAATTGGTGGCGAGGGGCGGCCCTTGCCGCACGGCAAAGACGCCCGCCTTCGGCCGAGATCACCCGAGATCATCTAAGATGGCCCGAGACGACCTGCGCGCGAGCGAGGACGTCCGCCTTTGGCCGCGGGTGCTTGAGCACGGCGGCAACGTCGCCGGCGGCAAACACGGCGGCGGCGCTGACCGACTCGAGCGTCTCTCCCACGGCGACGAAGCCGCGCTCGTCGAGCTGCAGCGGCGTGCCTGCGTGCACAGCCGCACTTGTGAAGAGACGCTGTTCACAGCTGTTCACAGGGTGCGTGCGCCGAGCTGCAGCACGCCGGACGCAAGCCAGGGCGGGGCGCCGCCCTGCGTGCACCAGATCGCCTCGTCGCAAGGCACCTCGCGGCCCGAGGCGCAGCGGAGGAGAGCGCCGCCCTCGCCGCCCTCGCCGCCCCCGCCGCCCTCGGACTCGATGGCCACCACCTCCTCGCCGAGCAGCGCCTGGCTCGACAACCACTCGGCGGGTCAGACGCTCGAACTCGGCGCCATAGCGACCAATCCCCCCCCCCCCCCCCCCCCGGCCCGAGGAGCGCCTCGACGCGCCGCTCGGCCAGGATGCGCTCAAACGCCGCCCGCACCCCCTCCGAGTGCTGCGGCATCAGCCGGCGAGAACGCGAGACGAGGCTCACTCGCAGCGCGGACGCGTCCCGCCCTCGCGACCTTAGCTCGCGCCTTAGCCGCGCCTGACTCAACGAGCCGACGCCTCAAGGGACGGGCCTCGGCCCGCCGCGAGTGGCGCCTCGTCAGTCGCGCCTCCATCGCCAGCGCCAGCTCGACGCCGCCCGCGCCCCCGCCGACGACCACGACCCGCACCGGCGGCGCCGCGGCGTTGGCGGCGGCGGAGAAAGTGCGGGCGAGGATCGCGTCCCAGCGCGCGCAGAAGCCGTCGATCGGCTTGACCGGAGTGACGCACGCGTCGGCGGAGCGCGCCACGGCCGCCTCGCGCAGTGGCCTGGGGGCCGTAGCTCGCATGGTGTGTGTGTTTTGTGCTGTGCGTGTGTGTGTGTGTGTGTGCGTGTGTGTGTGTGTGTGTGTGTGTGTGTGTGTGTGTGTGTGTGTGTGTGTGTGTGTGTGTGTGTGCGTGCGTGTGTTTTGTGCTGTGCGTGTGTGTGTGTGTGTGTGTGTGTGTGTGTGTGTGTGTGTGTGTGTGTGTGTGTGTGTGTGTGCGTGCGTGTGTGTGTGTGCGTGCGTGCGTGCGTGCGTGTGTGTGCGTGCGTGTGTGTCCTCTCGCCTCGGTGCCGATCCCGTGTTGATGGAGAGGACGTCGTACGGGAGGGAGGGGCGGCCGGCGAGGTGGACGAGCCTTGGGGAGACGGTTCGCGGAAGGTTCCACGAAAGGGAGACGGGTCGGGAGAGAGCGGCGAGGAGAGAGGAGAGGAGTGGTAGGAGAGAGGAGAGGGGCGGTGGGAGAGAGGGGCGGTGGGAGAGAGAGGCGATGGGAGAGAGGCGGCTGGAGGGAGGAGAGAGGAGAGGGAAGAGAGGGCGAGAGGAGAGGAGAGAGGAGAGAGGAGAAGGGCAACTGAGGCGGCCTGGCGCGAGTGTCCACGCCGGTCGCTTCGGCGTGGATGAGTCGCGCGCCGGCAAAGGCCGCGAGCCGCGCGAGGTCGATGTGGCACTCTCGCCGCGAGTACGCGCCGGCCACGTACCCTGGTAGCATCCCCGAGTAAGGCGTGTCGACGTCCCGCGTGATGAGCGTCAGCTGCACGCCCGGCTGCGGCTGCATGCCAAACATCTTGAGGACGTGCACGTGGGAGTGGCCGCCGCCGACGAGGACCAGGTCCTTTATCACCATCCCGCCGCTCATCCCGCCGCCGCCGCCCATCCCGCCGCCGCCTCCTGCCGCGGCAAACGGCCACCACCAGCGCCTCCCGCCGCCCCGCTTGACGCCTGTGTCGACGTGACCAAACGAGTCGAGGCGATGCGAGGCCTCGAGCGACAGGAGCTTGAACAGTTCGTACTGCACCAGGGGCCACGCGGCAACGCCGCGCCACGAAGAGAAGACGGAGCCGCCCTCTGACAGACGGAGCAGCGAGATGTGCACAAACAAGAGCTGCAGCCTCACCGCGGCCCATCGGGCCAGCCGCGGTCCTGCAACGATGGCGCCTACGGCGCCTAGCGCGGCGATGGCCGGCCAGGCAGCGTCGAGCGTGGGTCGAACCAGGAGCATCGGACCAGCCGCTGCCACGATGGCGGACGAGCAACACGCACGCGTCTTTCTTTATTCCGCTCGCCTGCTAGGAGAGTGCCTCGCCATCGGACGAGTCCTCCGCCATCGCTCACTAGAAGACGGACGGCAGGGTCCCTACTTTCGTTTTTAGAAAAAAGAGAAAAACTATAGAGGAGTCCGCTACGCGAAAGCATGCGCGACGCTGCCTCTTTCTTTGTTTGCTCCGTCCGCTCGCTCGCGGCTGCGCTCAAGAAAGACTGGTTTTCGTTCGTTCGTGTGACGTACCACAACATCGGAAAATTCTTGCATTTTTGCTCCCGGCTAAGGGAGCAAGCAAGCCCACTCAACCCCAAGTACTCACCGTTTTACAGTGGTGTTTTTGTCGCATCGGCTGCAGCCTCTGCTGGGGCGGAACGCGCGGGGTTTTCGGCGCGATGCCCTCGGCGAGTACACGCTACAGCACCGCCGCAAGCTCTCCTGCGCGCGCGTGACGTGTGGGACTCGTGCGCTGCGCTCAAACGTCGCGATTTGGCGATAGGCGTTCGAGCCGGCGCACAGCGGATAGGTGCGCCGCGCAGGGGGGGTCGGAGGGGTGCGAGAGGGGGCGTGGGTCGGGCGCGCACCGGCTGGCTCCGGGAGCGGCCGTCACGTCGAGGAGTGGGGCTGTCGGCGGCTCGAGCGCCGAGGCGAGCCGCTCTGCTGCGCCGCCGACAGCCCCTCTTCCGAGCCGGCGCGTGGAGGCGAGCCGCGGCCGGTGTCGCTGGTGTCGCTGGTGCGGTGGCGGCGAGGGTTCATCGGCCGACAGCGAGAGCGACCGTCATGAAAGGAGGGGGGGGGGCTGTCGGCGGCCCGTGTGGCTCTAGGCGCGCCTACGCTGCGCCGCCGCGAGCCTCACTGCCGATCCGGCGCCTGGCGGCGGGGGCGAGCCGCGAACAATCGTCGCTGGTGGTGGTGGTGCGGCGGCGGCGGCTCGCCCTTCACTCCAGCCGCGGCTCCGTTCCCGCCGCCGCCCACCGTGCACCTACCACACGCTGCCGAGCAGGCACCCGGCTCAGGGTGGAGTCGGTCGGGCCGTCGGTGCCGGAGCGGCGGCAGTCCATCGTGTACGTGCACGGCGCCTTTGCGCGCCGCGTTGCGGGGCGAGGCGCGCTTGGCGGAGCGTGTGGTGCGTGGAGAGGCGTGTGTTGTGGGGCTGTCTGTCCTTTGTGCTGGCTGCAGCCACAGCCTGCAGCTTCGGTGTTTGTGTTACTCAACTTGTGCGGCTGGCCGCATTTTGGCACTGGTTTCTCGGCCGCCACGTTCTTCATGCCGCCCTGTTCGCGACGCCGCTTGGTCGTGGACTGCCGATGCGCCTCCATTCCAGGCCGATTGCCTTGGAGACCAGGCGAAGCACCGTGGCCACGGTGCCCAAAGGCGAAGCGTGGCGTGAGCGGCCACTGTTGGGAAGGTGGAAGTGGGCCGATGGCGGTCACGCCGGGCTGGGTTGAGCCAACCACGAGGCCCTCTCCTCCGCGATCCCCAGCCGCACCATGCTGCGGCTGCTCTCCGGTCATGTGGCCGAACCAACAACACCGCCGAGCGTTTCCTCTCGACACCCGAAACGTTATGCTGGAGGCTGTTTTCCGATGGTCAAACCCGGCGATGTGCCGATGTCCCCCCCTCACCCTTGCGGGGAAGCTCGAGCAGCTCTACATCAGGCACTGGCAACCCGCCATCTCCCTCTGGCCGAGCGTCGCGTGGCCGACGTACTCCCACGCCTCGCGCTTCGACCACTGGTACACGACCAAGGAGCTCCGCACCTGCCGCCTCTGCTTCGCCCTCACCGCGCAGAAGATGGACGCCGAGGTGCACGCGGTCCTCCTCGCGTCGCTGCACGCGCGGCTGCGCCTCGAGGAGACCATCCCGGAAGACAAGTGCGACGACTTCATCGACGGCCTCGTCAAGAAGGGCGAGTACGGCACCGCCGCGGACGAGGTCAACTTCGAGTCGTCCGAGCAGCGCCGCTTCATCGAGGAGAAGTTGAAGAGCGACCTCCGAGAGAGCCGCGCGGAGCGCGGCTGGCTGTGCGGCTGCACGTCGCGGCACCCGATCTGGCGCGAGGGCGGCGCCTATGGCGGCTGCCGCGACTGCTTCGACGCGCAGCTAGTCGAGATGATCGAAACGCGCGCCCTCGGCGCCGACAACCCGCGCAAGAAGGCGTGGGTCGACGCGCGCACCTACGAGTGGGACGTCCACTACTTCTACCCGATGGCCGACGAGGCGGCGCGGGAGCTGATGCAGAGCGGCACGTTCACCGAGTCGCACAAGGAGGAGCTCAGGCAGCGGCTGCGTGCCGCGCGCGCGGCGGATGCGGCGGCAGAGGCGGAGGCCGAGGCGGTGGCTGAGGCGGCAGAGGAGGCGGCGAGGGAGAAGGCGCTGGCGGAGGCGGCGGGTTGGGCGGCGGCGGCGGCAGAGAGCGCGGGGCCCGACAACGCCTCGCTGCCGTCGGCAGCCGCAAGCGTGGCCGCCACGCCGGGCGCCTTTGCCTCTCGCGACATGCACATGTGCCCCGACCCCGATTGCGCGGACTGCGCGGCGGAGTTTGAGTGTATGGCGTGCGTGGGGGAGGACGAGGGCGGCGTGCTGGTGTGAGCGTGTGAGAGGGCTGGCTCTGTGACACGCCTCTTGCTGTTGCTCTTCGGAGTCTCTTCGGTCCTCGCTCTTCCCGGTCGCGCGCGGAGTCTGGATTGTCGCCAGTCGCGAGTGCGCGGGTACGCGTGTGCGTGCGGGTCGGCGTGTGCATGTGTGCGTGGGGACGCGTGCATTCTTAATCATTCTCTTTGCGAACTTACAATACACACTCTCTAGCTGTCGCGCTGACTGTGGACTCGCGACAGCTGTGGCTGTGTGATGAACACACGCGCTCGCACAAGGTCTACCGATGCACAGTAAATTCGCGCCACCAAGACCGCGCGGCACGTACGCGCACTTGCCGGCCTCGAGGCGCGCTCTCCCATGCCCTGTGGTGTCAGCGCTTCGCCTCGGAGCCGCTCGACTGTACGAGAGTCGGGCTCCGGCCCTCGGTACCACGGCAGCGTCGGCGTGCTCCCTTCCGGCCGCGACAGGCGCGAGGCGGGTGGCGGTGCGGCGGCTGCTGATGCTGCTGCCGCGCAGAGCTGTTCGTGCAGCCGAGAAGTGGCACACAGCTCGAAGGCGGCGTCGGCGACCGCCGCGCTGGCTCTCTCTCCTCGGCAGACGCCGCGTCGCGTCTCGGCGGCGGCAGCTACTTCGCCGCGAGAATAGCGAGGCGACGCACGCGCCTCCGCTCTGCGGCAGCAGCCTCTAGCGAACGCGCCGGCATAGCGCTGGGCCGGGCGAGGGCGAGCCCAGAATTTTACAACGAACCGAGAAACACGTGGTCACGGCCCTCGTGTGAATCGCTTATCCGGCGCTCGAGGAAATGACACCGTTCGGGCTTCAAGTTACTTCGAAACCTGTAACGGCGAAAGAAAACGGAGGTAAACGCGAGAAAAGAGAAGGGCTATTGCTCGGAGAGAGACTGCGAAGAGAGATAGGAAGAGGCAGACTCCCTAGGGTGGGCGACGGCTAGCGCACCACACACCTCTCCTTAAAATCCCTGTGTGGTGGCGGCGTGCCGTCCTCCCATCCCTCCCTTGGGTTGTCTGTTTTCTTTCTTTCTTTCTTTAAGGGCTATTGCTCAAACTCTCTCTGAGAAGAATAGGTGTGCTGCGCTGTAGCGGCGACAGGCGACGGCAAAAATGCAAGCCCCGCCCCTGGCCACTGTTCCATGGCTCAACCCGTCTCCATGCCAGCTGCTCATCTCGCAATAACTCCCTTCTTTTGTTGAAATTAGACATCACAGGTCACGCCCGTGTGCTGGCCAGGTGCTGGCGCTCACACCCCGCCGGCGCCGCTGTCCCGCTGACTGTGTGATTGATGAGCGAAGGAGCGGGCAGCCAGCGGCCAGACGTCTGGGACTGCGCCTTTCGCTACGCGGCGGCGGTGGCAGAGGAAGGGGGATTGCCGGCAGCTGCGCCACCGCGCACCGGGGGCAGTGGACTGTATTTTCGCTGGATCTGTCAGGAGATGATCTGTGTCACAACTCAAGATAATAACACATCGATGATAAAACAAACGAGGTGGCCGTCCTTACTTCCCCCTGCAGGAAGATGAGATCACACAGGCTGTGCCTGTGGCTGTGCGGGGGGCTGGTTCTCGAGGCTGGTTCGTGGTCGGCGAAATTCCTGCCGCCGCCATGCAACACTATGCTTTGCAAGCGCATGCGGTTAGCCTAGCGGTCAGCCATACGAAAGCGGGCGGCCCTGCGAATGCTGATAGTGCAGCGCTGCATCTTCACAAAAACCTGACGTGGTCACACCGGGGGCAGCCGCAACTAGAAAGGCGGCGAGACAATGAACATATGCATCGTTTGCGCGCCCCGCAGCTGCGCTCTCCTCATTTTGGCCCAAGATCACCAGATTCCTCCGGCGCAAAGCGAGAGCACATCCTCCCTTGTCTTTGCGTCGACGGTGACTTTCCGAGCGGGAAGCGTTACAGCCGATTCTGGCATCGCGTTGGGCTCCGAGATGGGCTTTGATTTCCTGGGCTCCGGCGTCGTGCCGTCGAGGCGGACGCGGCTTGCCACCCCACTAGTCTCAGGCGCTGACTTGCCCCTCCACATTGGCCAGCAGAGGGTACTGTTCATCATCGTTGCAGCGCAACGGACCACGAAAACTTGCCGCCTGCTACCGTAACCACCACAATCATGGCAATCAGAGCCGCACAAGGCGTAAAATTTCAGTGTCAGTGCGCGCTTCTCTCTCATGGCTCTTATGAACATACCCGAAGGTCGAGCTGAGAAGGTTTGCGATGAGGTAGGTGCGATCCCGAGATGCGTGGTGATGAAATCAATCACACGGCTACGTCATGGTAGAAACCGCTACGTTACTTGCGGAAGAGCGCTACGCCGCCAGCGGGCAGCGGGCTCATACTAGCACATTCTCAAATCTTCTGGTCAGAGGGAGACGCTGACCCCCCCCCCCCCGAAATCCGCTCCCCGTACCATATTCAATGTGTGTGGCTCTTACGCACATATTGAACATTTGACCCCCCCCCCCCCCTTCCCCCTCCCTCCCCCCCTTCCTCTTATCCATCCACTTCTCCCACGCGCGCCACCTTGCCCCAGCTCGACAGAGCCCAGGGGCGGGCGGGGTGTCGTATCCTGGTCGTATCATCGCGCACTCAATAGGTATGAAAGTCATCAAACGCAAAAGACGCGCCTGCCTTTTTAACCGGAATTGGAGATGCAACGGATGCCCCCTAAGTTTCCCAAAACTACGGGCCGCCGGAAAGAGTGGCGAGCGATCGGCTCTTTACCGATTTATGAGCTTTTCGGCTGCGGCGAATTTTGCCTCGCCGTGGCGGTCATGATCGCGAGCGAGAAGTCGGCATGGAGTGCGACGACGCGGCCGAGGAGGAGCAACGCCGGGCGCGTCGCTGAGCACCGCAAGGTGTGTGTGCTGCGCTGCGCAACCCACGCCGATGCGCCCGGGGGGCTGGCAACCCACCCCCTCTCCGCGCGATTCCCCTCGCGTCCACAGGTGGTTGAGAAGGCGGCAAAGGGGGCAGGGGGGGCCAAGCAGCCTGCTGTGGTCGGCAGCGCGGTGGCCACTCCGGAGGCGCGGCCGCACAAATGTAACATTTGCGGCGGCGCTTTCAAGCGGCTGGGTGCCCTCACAGAGCACCAGTGCGCGCCCGGGCGCGTCTGCACCCCCGCCCGGCTCCCGCCCTCACCACCATTATCCCACGCGTTAGGCGGATCCACACGGGGGAGCGGCCATTCAAATGCGACCTGTGCGACGCCGCCTTTGCGCAATCCGGCCACCTCGCGCGCCACAAGCGGACCCATGCCAAGCGGGAGGGCGAGGACGCCTCTCGCGGTGGCGCCAGCTTGCAGCTTAAGCGCGCCGGGGGGGCTCCCGTCCGAGGTGGATCCCACCCACGGCCTCACACCGCCGGCCGATGTGTAGGCGCGCTCGCACCGTCCAAGCACGTCAGGCGGCTGCTGTCGGCGTTGTTCCGCCCGCGATGACCTCGGGTGTGAGCTGCGGCAGCAGCAGCAGCAGCAGCTTTGACAGCAGCGGGGGGTTGTCTGCGTTCACCAGCGAGGCGGTGGCCATTCCCATGGCCTTGGCGGGAGCATCACCGGCGACGCTGTTCGACGCCCAGCTGGCGCAGGTGCCCACGCCGGCTGTGAACGGCGTGGACTTCGACGGACGCTGGCTCTACTTCAGAGTGGCGGACGATATCGACAACTTCCTGTGCGTCGACACGCAGGACATGGCCACCTGAGCGATTGCGCTCGGCTCAGGTCACCTGACGGGAGAGCTGCGCGGCAACGCGGGCCTTCGATCTGAACCAGGGTGGCGCTTGCTCCGGTGGCGAGCTGCTACGCGCGAGCTCGCCGAGCCTCGCCGCTCTTGTTGGGATCAACTCATCCGCAGCTTTGCGGGCCTTTTTTGTGCCCGGAGAGTGCGCCGAGTTGAGCGCGCGCGAGAGACCGTGCCTGTCTGCTGGAGTTTGGAGGGGTGGGACTCAGTCTTCTATCTGTGTATGCGTTGGGTGTGGATGTGTGGCTGCGTTTCCTGTTCCTGCGCGCCGCAGAGCGCAATGTTGCGCGTGGGCTCTCTTGGGTGGATGTATCGTGGTGGAGTCGGGGTGGGGGGGTGCGTTCTTTCTTGCAGCGCCGCGCTTTGTACGTGTCTTCGCGCGGTCGTCGTGTACAGAACTCATCCGCACAGGAGAGCCGCGGCGGACTTTCTCTCGATGGACCGAGATAATCTCGGTCCGCCGCGCCCCCGCCCGCGCGCCCATGCCGTCTCACACCACCCAACCTTACATGCAGCGAGCGAGCAGCGTACGGCGAGAGCGACCGAGAGCAATCAAACACACAAATTGCTCGTTGGAAACGACGCCTCAACAACGTCATGATCCCCAAATTGCTTTTTACACGCTGGAATTTTGGAGAGCGGGGTGTGCGAACGATATGAGCTTAGGGTACCCCTAGGATTCTGAGGGCCGGATTTTTTAAGGGCTTTTAAGAAATGAGGAGGTTTGGAGGCTTAGATTGCCATTTAAGAAATGAGGAGGCACGGGGGTCCCTCTTTTAAGACCGTTTAAGAAAATCGGCCTCGCCGGCATCCGTCGCGCTGGGTTCCGCGCCGTTTTCTCCAATACTGCCGTTATTAGGCACAACCCGCCTCTGAAGACACATCTGTAAGTCTGGTGCACTGGCAGGAGCCATACTCGCATAGGGGGCGCGTGCTAGCTGACTGTAGCCAGCTTCCCGGCCTCCGGCGTCTTACCGGGAGCCTCCCGGACCATCGACCTCGGGAGCTCTCCCGCACCGCGTTTAAGCGTTTAAGACCGTTTAAGGAATCGGCGGCCCAGGCAGCCTTAAAATGGGCCATGGCCCGCTTTAAGCCGTTTAAGCCGCAGGCGCCCCAGGGCCCACCCTTTTAAGCCTAGGGGTACCCTAAGGATATGAGATTTACTACATGAATTGAATTCACATGACACATACACCGGCCCGCCATCGTCACGACGTCGATGACGACCGACCGCGCGACGGCACAGATAGTGATCTACATAACAAACGTAGAGGGACACGCGGCCGCCCTCTCCCCTCCCTCCTTTCAAACGCCTACTAGGCCGCGTGTGTCGGGAGCTCGGGACGTGTTCGACATGGTGCGGGCGGCGATCCAGTACTTAGCGGCACAGACCTCTTGCACCTGTTTTAGCAGGAAGCGTCTTTGACGACCTCGACGGTCGCCAGGAGCTGGCGGTGGTCCACCGCTGGCGCCACCGGCGTTGCCACAGCCACCGGCACAACGACGCGGACGCCGTCCGGGCGGCAGGCCAAACCAAACGCTGCCGCAAGGCGCTCGGGCATGAGGCGCAAACGCCGCCGGAGCCGCGGGCCCCTCGAGCGGAGGCGCGAGGCTGCGTGGCGGCCGGCGGCGGGCGAGAGTGCGAGGAGAGCGAGAGTGAGGCCGCCAAGCACGGTGACGGCGGTGAGTGCGAGCGTGCCTCCAGCGAGTGTCGCAGCAGAGCCGATCTCGAGAGCCGCCTCGATGCTCGCGGCGACGAGCGTCGGCGGGAGGAGGACGGCGGCGCTGCACGGGGAAGCTCCGGTCGGCGTGCACCCCACGCGCCCTTCTCGTGCGGCGGCGGCGCCTGTCGTGAGGAGCGCGTCCACAAGGCTGAGTGACACGTCGACCGAGAGGACGGCCAGGCTGAAGGCTGAAAGCACGCTCAGCTCCACGAGCCCCAGCGGCTCGGCCGCTTGCGAGGCGGCCGAGGCGAGGGCCGACTCCCAGATGCGCTGGTGCTCGCACCCCTCGGTCTTGAGCCGCGAGTCGAGTGCCACATTCTCGGGATGTAGCATCGCCACCCACGCCTCGTAGGTCGCCTCTCCGCGGTTGCGAAAGATGAAGCCCCGTGCGTGCTCGTGCAGTAGCAGCGCAGCTTCGCGGTTGGCCCGGACCATCTCGGCCTCGCACGCCGAGTCAGGCATCGCAAAGCAGCCAACGGTGGGCTTGCTTGCATGCGCCGCCGTGAACTCGAGCAGGTCGGTCTCACCCAACTGGTCTGCTGCTGCCTGCAGAGCGACGGCATGGATGCGCTGCTTCCATTTGAGGTAGGCCGAGCGGGTCACGCCGTGCGCCTCCCATGCGTCCTGGTCGCGCAGATACGATCCAGGCAATTCAAGCCGCGCCACGACCGCCTGGACCGCACGCACCGTGCGGCGACTGGGCTTCGCCACACCCAGCGCAAGCGCTAAAGCGTGCGATGTGGTGACGACCTCTGCTTCGCCGTCGTTGCGGACCGCGTGTCGGGCGTCGTTGAGGGCGTCGAGAGCGGGCCGCCTCATAGGATCCATGTCGGAGCAGGTCGGAGGTGGAGCAGGTCGGAGGTGGAGAGTGCGAACTGAGAGCGAGGACACGGCCAGGGACAGTCGTCGAGAAAGTCGTGCGCCCTCACTGGTCGCGTTTTTCTTTTTTATTTTCTGTTACCTACCGCCCCCCCCCCCCGGCCGCTCAGACAACACATACAGTCTGTTGCGGGCATTAAGAAAACAGGATCCCGCGGCACGCCGCCGTTTCTAAGCCTTTCCACCCACCCCACCCACCCCACGCCGTGGTTTCTTAGCTTCGGCCGGCCGGCACCCAAGGTCAGAGAGAGAGAGAGAGATTTTTAGCAATACCATTTTGTTTTGTCAGGCAGGTCAGCCGGGATCTAGGAATTTTTAGGTAAAATGACAATGGACCGATGCGCCAGTCAGCAAACAACAAAACAAAATCTCTCTCTCTCTCTCCCAGTCAGCAGTGGTTGGGATGACAGGAAGACGCACACACCTCCATCCACACCGCCCAGAACACCGCAGACTTGGGCAAAATGACAAGTGCGCGCGCCGCAGGCGAAGGAAGAAAATTTGAGCGGGGCTCCTGTTCACACTCGTGTGTGGGCCCTTTCTTGGGGCCGCGCCTGCGGCGCGCCGTGGTTTCTTAGATTTTTGCGGAAATCGCTCGGCGTGGTTTCTTAATGCCCTGTTTTCTTAATGCCCGCAACAGACTGTACGAGCTTACTTCCTCTTGATCACAGCGGATTTTGGTCACAATTTTCACATCATCGCAGAGCGCACCCGAGCTCAAAAAGTAGCAGGAAGGGCTTAGAAGGCTCTAAAGGGGGCTCCCAGGCACTAAACTTGTCCGCCCGGCCGATGCAAATGTCGTTTTGGGTGTCCGTCCACTGAAAACGGACTCCGGCAAGCACTTTTTTGGCGCCGTGGCCGTGCTCAGCGCGCGCAGCGCGCGGAAAATCGTATAAATCGGTGCCATTTTAACCGTTTTCCACGGGATTTTCTTGTGCATGTTCGGCCTGCCCAGCACCACATCTCTAGGGTTACACAGGAGGACGGGACAGGTGAGCGGCGGCCCCGCGCCGGCCGCGACGGTGTTGACGGCCGGCTCACCGGGACCACGGGGACGGTGAGCCTACTGGTTGGAATCTTTGGGATGCGAGATCAGAAATAGTGGCCACGTAGAGTTATATCTGGAGTCTTTGCGACATATGAAGGCAATACCAAGCTATCCTCTCCTCAAACAACGCACAGTCTCTCACGGGCTCCGGCTCAGGTCGTGGGGCATAGCTCGGGTGTAAACGGGGTCTGGGGAGGAAGCCCCAGCGGCCCGCCGCAGGCGCCGCCGGAGGCTGGCCCGCCGCAGGCGCCGATTTTTTGGCGTTTTTTCTCAAAATTGAGGGATTTCTCATCTAAATTCTCATCCAAAATCGAGCTCGCTACGAGCTCTCTAACTGCACAGCATCTCCTCGTTGAGCCTAGCGGCGCCCGTATCGCCCACGGCCACATTCCTTTTTCTTGCCCTTGGCCCCCTTGCTGCACTCAGCCGCTCAACCTCCGCCAGTCTCTCCTTGCTCGTTGCTGGCGCTGCCGCCCCCAGTACTGCGATTGCAGCTCCTTGGCATGCCGCGCCGCCTCCATCTGCTGTGCTTCCCACGCTGCCGCTTCCTCTAAAGCAGCGCCGCCACTAAGCGGCGCAACCAAGTTCTCGCACTGTTTGCATGAGCATGTGTCCTGCTGGTGCGACGCACAATCCGCGCGCGGCGAGTGAGAGTAGAAGACTGACAGCAGGAGCTGCAGGAGCTGCAGGAGCTGCGCAGATCGGATGGGTGGTGACGCCGTGGAGCGACGGCGCAAAGACCAATCACCACCGCTGAGAGCCGCGACACGAGGCTGCTGGCAGCTGCACCTGTGAGAGCCGCGACACGAGGCTGCTGGCAGCTGGCAGAGCGAATCGCGATTCCGGCGGCCGCCGTCAGCCCGCCGACACCGACGGCCTGTCTGAGGTCAAACTCCCACCGCACGTCGGACCAGTCGTGCGTCAGCCATGGCGACGAGACGTCTGTATGCAGACAGCCCGCCACCCGGGCGATAGAACATGCCAGCTGGGCTCTTCCAGGGCTCTCGTGGCCCGTGGCGCGTGCCCAGTGGAATAGGGCGGGCTGCGGCGGGCGCAATAACTATTCACAGCTAATGAAAACTATAAAAACTCGCGGCTTCATCAAAGTTTGAGGTGGCTTCGTCCTCAGCACCATCAAGACAGCTCTATTCACACCCTGTTTGGTTTGAAGCCACTCGGGGATGCCCGTTTACACCCAACCGACGAGTCGCTGGGCCCTCTGACCTGAGCCGGAGCCACGCAGACACCCCACGGCACGGACACGGCAGCCTGCCACGGACGGAGGCCGCGCCGACCGAGCGGACAAGGCACGCATCCGGGTACGGTTGCTCGCGTGCTGCGCAGTGGCTGCTATACCACCGAATCCCTGACCCTCAGCTAAGCCTAGTGGCGATCACGCCGACAACAGGCTGGCGTATCCGAACTCTTTGCAGGAAGGCTCGGTGACCGCCTCGCAGCAACGAACGAACGCGTCTCGTCCGTGTGATGAAGCATTTGCTGGAGGCGATTGGCTGAGCCCACCGGCGACCGATCCGTGTCTGTTACCAGTCACGAGCGCGTCGGAAACTCGCGCTCGGTGCCGCCAATGGGGTGTCTGCAGGGCGGCGCAGCCGCCCCGAAGAAAATTTTGGCCGGAGGAAGTCTGGAGGCCGTCGTTTGCGCGGGGAGCCAAGCTGCGGGTATGGCGTCAGCGGCTTACCCCACTAACTCGACCACGGCGAAGCTATGTCGCGGGGTCCGACGACCTCAAGCCGACCGCATTCGGCCGATCGTGTTCACGTAAACGCACAACCATCACGGCCAGCTGATCCCGGGTCCGGCAAAAAGTTTTCTTTCGCCGGACCCCTTGGTGGGGCCCCTAAGCCCAAGGAGCACCCAATTTCGATTTCAGACTCAATGTATGTAGCTCTTTCGACCGCGTGAGATAAGAAAGTGTGGATTTTGGCACTGGGGTGTGCAGGAAGTAAGGCGTATGTGTACTAGTGTACAACTGTACGAGTATGTGTGTGTGTGTATATGCCTCACGCTCTCGCAACGCCTCTAAAGCTGCTCGCCGGCGGCGGCCTTGCGCAAGCACAAGTGATCAGGAGGCAAGCGTGTTTGCGCGCGCTGCTGCTCCACGCGCTGCCGCTCGCCACCCTCCGGCCGTCGCCTGGCGTTGCCGCCTCTGTGGACCCATTCTTCGACAGGCTGCGCGCTCGCTACATCTTGCTCCGGCCCGGCGAGACCACCTTTGAGGCGGCCGGCATGGTCGACAGCAACCCGATCAACAAGCAAGCGGCGCTGCGAGGGCTCACCGAGCAGGGCCGCGAGCAGGTGCGGGCCGCGGCCGAGGCGCTGGCGGCACGCGGCGTCACGAGCCCCGTGATATTTTACGACAACGGCGCCCGCGCGAGCCAGACGGCAGACATCCTCGCGAACAGCCTGTCGGTGCCGCGCAGGGACGTGGAGCCCGAGTTTCGCTGGCTAGAGGCGCGCGGCCTCGGAGCCCTCGACGGCACCGACCTGCAGGCCGCCACCGAGTACCTGCACCGGATCGACGCGGCGGACGTCGAGTCGGCCGCGGAGGAGGCGGAGGACGGCACGCCGAGCGACTCGGTCAACGACGTCTTTGGCCGCATGCGCAACACGATCGCAAAGATAGAGACGTCGTACGGAGGCGGCGACTTTGTGATCATCGGAGGCGACGCGGCCGTGCTCTCCGTCTTCGCCGCCGCCGCGTGCGGCACCGACCTGCGCGACCACGGCCGCTTCACGCTGCCGCCGGGCGGCTGGTACGACCTGCGGCAGCTGGTGGCCGACTATAAGGCCGGCCGGTTCGAGGAGGCGCCGCTGCCCGCCCCCTCCGCGGAGGAGGTGACGCGAGGGCGCGAGGCGCTGCGCGAGATGGGCCCGCGCATCTTCTCAGACACCGCGGCCGGCTCGTGCCTGTGCTGCAGCTGCAAGAGGTGAGAGCTTCCTGCCTAGTTTTTAGATCGTGTAATGGGTGTGGATGTGCTTACCTTATACCGCCACGATGACACAACGCTTGAAAAACCATTCTGACGAGCCGCCGAGCATACTTGCGTGGACGTTTCGGGCTCCTATCCCCCGCCCCGGATCCGTGGGCGATCGCACACGCGGCTGGGGGGCACGGCGCGGAGGTGCCAGGTGGCGCTTACCACTGAAAAGGAGGTTTTGGAGCCCCTAAACGCGTCATAATAGCCGCACGTTTGCCCTCGCCGTGCCTTGCCATCTCCGAGCCGCGCCCCCTCCTTCAGTTTTAAGGCGAATCGGGTGCCGAACTCGGCGTCGACAGCTTTGGCTCGACATCTTTACCATTTTGGCGAGAAACGCATAAGCCGCCCCAGCGAACTGGCCGATACGGCCGAAATCGGAGGCAGCGCCGGGGCGGCTTATGCGTTCCGCGGGGTCGTATGTTTGAGCCGGATATCGACCTGGTGTCCCGTGGGGAAGGTATTGAACTGCCTTAAAACGGAAGGGCACGTCCTGTTCACGCGATGGCCAGCCGTGGTGTGAGCCCGAAGGGTCGGCGAGAGTCGGCACCCTCGGTCAATATTGGCTCTGACGCCGTGCCAGTAGTCGGCGCGCCGCGATCTGCATACCTGTTCGTACCTCTATAGTAGTGCGGCCACGTGTATTGCTGTTCGGCGAGCCGCGTTCCGCTCTCTCGACCGTGAGGCCAGTTGGCGGGCGCCTAAAGCGCCTGGTTTGTGCGTCGAGCGGTGAGCTCACAACAGACACCGTCCGAGCCCGATGCACGCCAGGCGTCTCATTCCAAGCCCACTACGCATTCCCACGCGCTCAGGCGCCGCTCGAACCCCACCTCTTTGAGCCGGTTACCCCGCGGCAAGGCAACTCGGCGCTCTCGATGTGCGCACTAGGCAGTCTCAACGCCGATTACTGCCGAGCGCGCACGACTCGTAGGCGTACCGGCGTGCCGCTGGCATACTACGCGACGGTGGAGGCGCGTGGGCTTGCTCAAAAGGCATGCATCTGTCGGAGAGCGTGCCGCAAGACCTGATGTGCCTCCGCTCCAGGTGTGAGGCAGTTCGATGGATCCAGTCTAGCGACCTCTACGTGACGATTGAGGACTGCTCTTCCCCTTTGGCCGAGCCTCCAGTCCCTGCCACCGTGCACCTGGCGCCAGAAAGCTGCATTTACATCCCGCACGCGCGATCGGCAGTCGAGTTATAACCCGCAGCTGTGCAGTGCGTGCGCACCACGAACCGTTGTTCGGCGATCTCTCGGCGACCACTCGTCGACTCGCGCTCAGACGCGAGGTGCGTGCTCGCCCGGCCCCCCGTGAGGGGACTAGGCCATTTTTAGCGAGATCGGGGAAATCACTCTCATCGCCCGCCGCTCACGCTTCCCTCCCTCTCCCGCTGCCGCCGTATCCGGTCCTAGCCTGCGATACATTGAGACCTCACGCCCCGCGACTGTCTTCCACGCTCGCAGGCGGGCCTATCCGCCGTGCCACTCCATGCATGATCACCGCTGGGGGCAGCGGTGCTCGTGCGACTGCGGATTCGGCCTCACCTCACTGCCCTCTGGCCTGCAGCTGCACGTTGCCGGGGGCCATTCTCGAGCCCTCTGGCGAATGGGCCCAAATCCGGGCTCTGAGCACGCCTACTGCTGACGATCTATGTAGCTAGTGCGGTGGGGTCTGGCGCAGGTGCGCGAGACCGTCGCCACAGGGGGGGACGCGCGATTATGTGGGCGCTCCCGAGGGGGCGAAACCGCATGTTCAAGGGAAACCAGGCGAATTGCGCCCCCAAAATGGTCCTGAGCGGCTCCCACGACCTCCCCAACACCCGAGGTGCACGACACGACCGCTTGTTCGAACATTAGTGACACAAGTAGTTATTCCTGTGGGTTGTGTCATCGTGCCTTACCTTACCTTAGTCCTTACTCTACCTTACCAGGCCGCCTTTTTATTTACACCTCGGAGGCTCATGTACCAAAATAACGATCCACTTCGCCACACTCTGCACACACCGTGCGTGCGAGCCCGAGCAGGCTCGAGACCGACGTGCGACGAGAGATCCACACCGTACTCTCTCTCATCTCCCGCGCTCTCGAAACTCTAGTCTACGCCCCGCCTCCACTGCGGTGGCAGCGCGCCACCACCTCCGGCGTCGCGCTCGCGGTGCGGTAGAATAGACGCATAACGGTCAGGGAGCTGCCGTTGACTGCAACGTTGTGGCTCCCGCTGACATCGACATAGATGCACGCGCCGACTGGACAAGCGCCGCCCAAGTCGGGGTTGTTCATCGAGCCCCAGCGGCCAGAGCGACCGCTGCGCCACCGCGCGTCACCATTGCCGCCGAGCTGCAGCGAGGAGCCGTCCTCGCACGCCCACTCCGACCCGACGAGCCGCTTGATGAGCGGCATCGTGCGCAGCTCCGTCGCGAAGCCGTTTGCGTGCCGCCCAAACCAGTCGAGCCTACGCGGAAAAAGAAACACGGCCGAGTCGCGCGAGGAAGAACAGCGCGCGTGCGAAGAAGAACAGCCTGCGGCGGCCGTAGACCGACTGCAGCGGCGGCTCGCTCGAGCCGGGGGCGGGCTGCCGGCGCGGCCACGCGGTGCCGAGCGCGCGCATCGCCTCGTTGAAGGCGCCGACGAGGAAGAAGGCGGCCTTGTTTGCGCCGGGCGGCGGGTCGGGCAGCGGGTACGGCGGCGGCTCTGCGGAGAAGTGTCGCTTGTCGAGGGAGAACTCGCCTGGGGTGAGTGGATGGGTGTGGTGAGGAGCGAGCTGGGAAAGAAGGGGGTGGGGTGGGGGGGGGGCGCTTGTCGGGGGGCGGAGCTCGCCGATCGTCCACGGCTGGCAGGGGGTGCCGTCGAGGTAGTACTCAAACTGGTAGGTGTAGTGGAAGATCCAGTAGCGGAGAGGGAAGCCGTCCAGCTGCGGGGCGGAGGGTGTGTGTGTGTGTGTGTATATTTACCTATGGTGGGGGGGGGGGAGGAGGGATGGAGAGCTGCGCCTGCGCGGCGGAGGAGAGGGCGCCCGGCTCGACCTGGAAGTCGCGGAAGACCTGATGTGTGCAGAGGACGGCCGTTGCGTGTATGGACCAGACTCTCGACCTGGACGGCGCGGGGAACCTGGTGGCGAAGCCCGATGGAGGCGGAGGCGATCGAGTAGCCCCACATCTCGATCACCCAACCGAGGGTGCGGTCGGCCTGAAGGCATCATCAATGCTGTCAGCCATCCCGACCAGCTCCTCCCAACCTCGACCGCACAGCCGAGGGTGTGGCGTGCGTGCCTGCGGGTCCGTCTTGAGCTTGACCGCCGTCTCGCTCCACGGCCCTGCCACCTCCTCGAGGTCGGCCCTGTGGATGAGCACGGGCGACGGGCCGATCGACTGCACCTGCTTGTAGCCCGCCTCGCCGCCCGCCGGCCAGACCCGCTTGATGAAGGGCGCGTGGGTCGGGTTGGGGCCCATGTAGCCGAAGAGGTACGCCATCGGCGAGCCGCGCTCGGCGCGGTTCGGGATGGGCTGCAGCAGCACGTGGTCCTAGGAGGTGTCTAGGAAGTGTCTAGGAAGTGTCTAGGTTCGGGAGGGGCTGCAGCAGCACGTGGTCCGTCTCTGCGACGAGGAGGTACTCTTCCTGCAGCGCGGCGTACCGGGCCGACTTGAGGAAGTAAGTGACGCTGCGGGGCCGGTTGATGACGCGGTAGCCGTGGAAGCGAGAGATGTCGGCCGGCTCGTACCTGCCGCACAGCGGAGGCGTCAAGGCCCCGACGAGCGACGGGAGAGAAACATCCGCGGAGCCGCACTCGGGCGTGAAATGCGACGGTATCTCCGCCTCGAGCCCGTCCGGACGGCCGCCTAGGAAGGGGACCACGCAAGGCTCGGGAAGGCTCCGGCTCCCCCTCCCTCGAGCCCGGCCAACCGATGGCCTGGCGACGCGACCAGCCGCGTGAAGCCGGTCAGCTCGGTGCAGCGGCCCGCCGGGTCTGAGTCCCGCACGCGCTGCCAGTGGTGATACATGATGCGGCACTGCCATGACTGGTAGTTGTCCGCCGTGGCGGTCAGCACCACGTGGAACGGCTTGCGCGATGCGGGACACCCTTGCACTGCCACGCCGGAGATGTTGCGACCGCTGCTGCCGCCGCCACTGCTGCCGCCACTGCTGCTGCTGGCACCACCGCTGCTGCCGCCGCCACTGCTGCCGCCACTGCTGCTGCTGGCACCACCACTGACGCCTCCGGCTTTGACCTTTGCCACGTCCGCACGACCAGCTGCTGCGTTTGTGGCGCGTGTGCGAGCAGCGATGAGCGCCAGAGTAGCTGCATCTGGTGCATGCGGAGAATTGTCGTGCAGATCCGCCTGCGGCATTGAGCGCGCCCATTGAAACAGCGGCACGCCTGCAAACGGGAGCAGCAGAAGACTGAGGTTCCTCTTCGACAGCATCGGCGGACCGTCGGCCGAGAGTCGACGGCCGCGACCGAGAGGCCGAGTGTTGAGGTGGCGGCGCGAATGCCTTCCAGCCTTGGTTATTAGAAGAAAATACCCTATATGGTGCCGTGCGCCTGGTCTGCTTGGTGAGAAACTGCGGAGAGAGATAGGAAGTGGTAGACGCGCGAGGGTGGGCGACGGCTAGCACCACACTCCTCTCCTTAAATCCCTGTGTGGTGGCGGCGTGCCGTCCTCCCATCCCTCCCTTGGGGTGTCTGTTTTCTTTCTTTCTGGTCTGCAGCGAGAATCGGCGAGGGACTGCGAAGAGAGATGGGAAGAGGCAGACGCCCAAGGGTGGGCGACGGATAGCGCACGACACCCCTCTTCTTAAAATCCCTGTGTGGTGGCGGCGTGCCGTCCTCCCATCCCTCCCATGTTTTCTTTCTTTTTTGGGGGGTCTGTGAGAGGTTGAGGTGCGAGCCCTGGAGGCCCTGGGGATACTTCACACAAAAACACAACCCCCGACCCAAGACGCACAAGCACAGACAGTCGAGAAGGGAGAGACAGCAACGACAGTCAGAAGCCAGCGCTGAATGCCTTTTCACGCGAAAAGAATTTTATCACAAACTCCTCTCGCACGACACTGGGCAGGGGGGGTGATGCACGCCCTGTGAGAGCGGGGCGGGGTGCGCACTGTGCCTCTGTGTTCGTGCGTCGCCCATCTCTCCTGGAGATGACTGCTCTTATCCTCGCGCTACCCAACGCGGCCACAAAGGATATCCACCTCGAGAACCTCGAGAGAGATGACTGCGCTATTTATTTATTACACTGGGCAGGGACTGGCGCGCACTGGCACTAACACAGGTACACCAATCGCGCCCCCTCCTCGTATTATCGTCAAGTAGAGTTTGTTAGTAGTTTATGTAAATTGCGTGGGCCGTCGGGGGGGGGCGGTGTGCAGTGCTCAAACTTTACCGGTATGGGAGTTTTTGGCTAATCAAACCCAAGGCCTGCACTAATCAAAAAGTGGTACGGGATACCAGTTGCCTCACGGAAATCAAAGCGAGTCGGAGTGCCTTCTTGGTGGCAAAATCGGCAAAATCGGCAAAATACCGGGTATTTTGCGGGTATACCTGGAAAAACCCGGGTATACCCGGGTAAGACCCGCACTTTTGCATGGTTTCGCCCCCGGGACCACACCGACAGCCGCTACAACTACTGAAAACCCCGCATACCACTTTCGCATACCACTATACCATACCACTCCAAAACTAATCAAAATATCGCCAAATACCAGTCTCATACCGGTAAAGTTTGAGCACTGGCGGTGTGTATTCTCGTATTAGAGTTAAGGCGGGGAAACACGGAACTAACCCTCGCGCCTCGGAGACCCGTGTTTACTTTGTGGCCCATTCCCCGCGAACGCGCACCTCCCCAGGGCTAGGGCTCTCTAGCCCGCAACCCGACCCCGATCATCCGACCCACTGGGGGGTGCGCTTCTTAGCCCCCCCGCGGCCTTGGGTGTGAGTGCCTGAGGCTGCCAACCTCCAAGTGCTCCAAGTTTGGCCGCGTTGGGTTAGCGCGGATTGGTGTGACGCGATCCACACAGGCGTGCCCCGGGTACTTTATAACACCAAGCCCCTCAGCAAGAGTGATCAATCAGCTCCACCCTGTCTAGAAAGAAACGGATCGGTTCCTCCTGGACCGCTGGTGCCGTCTCGGGCTTTGCCCACCACAAGCCCATTCTGCTCATCAGGCTCGGGCGCGGCTCTGACACCGCCGTCTCCTGGACGCGCCGCCTGTTCATGAGGGTGAATCCGCGCCACCCCTCAAAGGTAGGTCCAGGAGGTTGCACCGATTTCCAAATCGGGATGCACAGCGTGTACAGCCCCAGGTTTGCCTGGACGATGAGGTTGTTGCGGTCGAGCGGGTGGACTTGTGAGGCAATGTTGGAGCCCTTTCCTCCGCTCAGCTGGTACGACAACCCCTCTGGCAGCGGCTCGATGCAGCGCGAGAACCCAGCTCTGCAAGCGACCCCAGGCGAGCCGGCGGTCTTCCCCGACTCGTCAACCTGCGGGAGCTCGTACGTCTCCACAAAGAGCTCGATAAAGCCGCGGCGGAACCACGCCCCTACCCCCTTCATCCAAGTCCACACGCCCATGGCTGCGTTCACGACTGTCCCCGCGATCCGTGTGAAGATGGTGCGCGTCATACAGAAGGACCACATAGATGAACACTCCTCCGCATCTGTGTAGTAGTCGCCAGCGTCGCTTTCCATTGCTGCCTCCTCCTGAGTAGTGCCCATCAAAAAGACGTCGTCCTCGCAAGTCCCGTTCAAGGACGGCGGGATGTAGATGTCGACGAGAATGTTCCGGTACGCGCCTCCTCTCTCTGGTGGCATGATGGGGTGTGTGCAGCCTGGCGCTTCGCAGGTCAGGCTGATTCCGCTCATGTACAAGAACTCCGCCTCGTATGACAGCGTGTTGGTCACACCGCACGGGTCCCTGTTCCGCCATGCACCTGTCGACTCTTTGTCGTTGATCGACTCGTAGTAGCCCCATCCGCTCTCGAGGTTCTTGTCCAGGATGGTGAATGACCTGCCCGTCAACGACCGCGCGGACGCCATCGCCGACCGCGCTGCCATCGTCTCGAGCGGCTTCGCCAGCTCAGCCGGAGGAGGCTCGAGGGCGCTGTAGCCAAAGAAGAGCTTGAGGGTGCGATCGGAGAGGCCGGCCGCCTGTCGGCCGTCGACACAGCCAGGCTTACTGCTGGGCTAAAGCGGCACCGGCAGGCCCTGCTCGCCTTGCCACACCGTGTCCCCTTCCCAGCCAATGCGAGGGGACCAAGTGTGCGACTCCTGGTTTATGAGACGGGGCGCATGAGCCCCGGGGCAAGCTGGGGATGGTGGACTGGCGGTGTTGCCAGGAAATCGGGGCTTGGGACCAGGCGCGCGCAGCGCAGGGGCTTGCACCTCGGCAAAGGGTGCAATGGCCGCGAACGGAGTTTTCTGCACCTTCTCGGCAACCGCGCCGGTTGTCAGCAGGGCATTTGTCAAGATGGCGATGGCAAAGAAGCGCAGGCGTGCAACAGACATGGTCATGGATGGAATCGGGAGTAGTTTTCGATTAGTAATGAGTGCGGGCGTAAACAAAAGAACCTCTTGAGAAGATGTTTGGTATAACTCACATAATGGTTTTAGGTTTGTTGTTGGCAAATCAAGACACAGAGCTCACACAGAATCACAGCGGGAGGAAAGCGGCGAGTCGCAATTCCTGGGGTCCTTGTGGCGGGCCACCCTGTCCAGAAAGGCATGGATGCCAATCTGGCTGGGTGGGGTCTCTCGACCGAGTCTATTAATGGTATTGCTAAATCTCTCTCTCTCTCTCTCTGATCACGTGCGTGCGTGACCAACCTCTGCTCCCGACCGACTCGAGAGGAGACTTGTTTTTGTTGAACACGTACACGCCACACGAGGGGGGGGAGAAAGAAGGACAGGGTCCCCACCTGCACGAGCAGGAGGATCTTGGAAGGACGATCAGGGACACAGGGGGAAAAGAAAGAAAGAAAAAAGGCAAACGAAGGGATGGGAGGAGGACAGGGTCCCCACCTGCTCCAGCCTTCTTGGAAGCACCATAGAGCCCTTTTCTTTTTTGCGGGCATACAGACATGTACATGTGTGTGAGCGAGCGGCTGGCGGCCTTCGTCGCCGCGCAGCCGTCGACGCGTCGGATCGTGTGTGTCACTTCGGGAGGCACCACGGTCCCACTGGAGCGCAACACGGTGCGCTTCATCGACAACTTCTCCACTGGCAACCGCGGGGCTGCTCTCGCCGAGCGCTTTCTCGCCGAGGGCTATGCTGTCATCTTTGTGCACCGCGCCGGCTCCGCCTTCCCGTTCGCCCGCCGCCTGCTGCCACCGGCCGTCTCGCCCGAGGAGTGGCTCCGCAGCCTCGGCGACGCCGCCGCGACTGCCGAGCGCGAGCGCGCCACCGCGACATTTTCGGCGTGTGCTCCGCGCCTCCTCGCACTGCCCTTCACGGCGGTGAGCGAGTATCTGGCGCTGCTGCGCGAGGCGAGCTGCGCGCTCGCGCCCGCTGGTGCTCGCGCCATGGTCTGCCTCGCCGCGGCTGTCAGCGACTTTTACGTGCCGGACGACGCGCTGCCGGAGCACAAGATCCAGTCGGCAGCCGGCGGCGGCGACACGGCGGCGGACGGCAGCCTGACGCTGCAGCTGCAGCCGGTGCCAAAGATGCTTGGCGCGATCAAGGGGCTCGGAGGCGGCGGCGGCGCGGCCTGGGCGCCGCGCGCCTTCGTCGTAAGCTTCAAGCTTGAGACGGACAGCGCGATCCTCCTCTCCAAGGCGGCGGGCGCGATTGCAAAGTACGGCGTCGACCTCGTGTGCGCCAACCTGCTGCAGACGTACAAGCGGGAGGTGACGGTGGTCACCGTGGCGGCCAGCGATGGCGACGCGCTCTCGACCACGCCGCTCTCGCTCGACGGCGCCGCCGACGGCGTCGAGATGGAGGAGCTGCTCGTGGGCGAGCTGGCGGCGAGGCACGCGAGGTGGGCGGGCGAGGGCGAGACCTGAGAGACGGGGAGAGGTGTTGACGAGGAGAGGTGTGGCCCGCCGTTCTACAAATGGGCGACGTGGGACCCAAAAAAATCCAACGCAAGAAAAAGCTCACCCGCGCGGCACCGGACGGAAGAAGGCGGCGGGGGGGGGAGTCAGGCGGACCCCGCCAGTCCCTTCGGCGTCACCTCCCACAGCTTGCCTCCGATGGTGAGCGGAGCTCCCGCGGCGGCGAGCCGTGTCAGGTCGAGCAGCAGCAGCACCAGCATGCCGGCGCCGAGCGAGGAGAGGGCGACGCCGCGGAGGCCGGTGCCCTCGAGAGGCGTGTTGCCGGGCTCGTCGAGTGCGTAGTAGACCGGGAAGGAGACGAGGAAGTAGATGCCGTAGAAGGCCGAGCCGAGGGTGTACGCCATGTGCCGGTCCTCAAAGTCGTAGTACGGAAAGTGCGAGATCGTGAGCGTCTCCATGAAGGCGGTGGCGTACGAGAGGGCGCAGACCTGCGCCACAGCTCGAGTGGGTGAGGAGGCGCAGTCCGAACCGTGCGCACACCGCACCACCCGGCCCGCACACCACGTACGCGAACAGAGCGGTGCGCAGGTTGCCGGGCGCAAAGCCGGTCGCGACGCGCCGCAGCGCCAGGTTGGCGAAGACATGGTAGGAGGAAAAGTAAAAGTGGGTGGCGAGGTACATGCAGATGGGCACGTCATTCAGCCGCCACGCGGGCACCTAGGCCCCACGGCTCGGGGCTCGGGGTCGGGACAGCGTTGGGGCGCGCCTCTTGAGAGCAGGCGCCGTGTAGCGCGCGCGCAGCACGCAGTAAAAGTAGTGCGTGTACCAGTAGTTGCCGATGAAGCCAAAGATGGCGATCCAAAGCTGCGCGCGCGCACCGTGCCGTTCGCCCAGCGGCCGCCCGTCCGCGCCGCCTCTCGCCAACTCGCGCAGCACTAGCGGCGCCGCGAGGCCGCCGCAGACGAGAAAGTAAGTCGCCGCGGTGAACTCCTCGTACAGTTCGAGCGCGATGATGACACCGAACGCGCCCATCCACACGATCGAGTACCACAGCACCCACGTCTCGTACACGCGCTTCTCGCCGGGCGCGGGCAGCCAGCGCGCCACCGTGCCCTTGGGCGGCGGCCGCTGCGCAGCGAGCAGCAGCAGCAGGCCCGCGATTAGCGCCGCGAAGATGTAGAGCTGCTCGAACGGCGGGAGCTTGGACACGGGCTGCGGCGGAGGCGGAGGCGGCGAGGAGAGGAGGGAGGCGATGGCGTTTAGCATATGCTGGGCCGGCCAAGGCGTTCGGCCGCGAAAATGCCAGCAACCAGAGCAAACCAACGTTCCTGGGGACCCCACTGGGGGAGGGGAGCTGGCGAGAAGAATTTTCAGTGTATGTAGCTCTTACGTACATTCCCGTAGGAGACTCTGCTGACAGGGTTTGCGATGAGGAGCGACCCGAAGGGTTTCTCGGAGGTTAGTGCACCACTAACCGCCGAAGCGCAAAACAAACAAAACAATAAAAATCTCTCTCTCTCTCTCCGAAGCGCAAGCGTTGGCCTGCATATACTTTTCCGGCAAACAACAAGGAAAACAGAGGGTCCCCAGCACTTTGCGTTTCCGGAAATTTCCAGGGAAAACAGAGGGTGTTTGGTGCTCCATTCTGGAAACTCGCGAGTTTCCCTGAGTCTGATCTGAGAGCTGGTCTGGGGCAAAATCTGAGGCAAAATTGAGGAAATCGGCACGATACCCAGGCGGTCGCAGGGACCAGGGTATTTTTCAGGTATACCGGGGGTTTCCAGGTATACCCGCAAAATACCCGGTATTTCGCAGATTTGGCTGATTTTGGTAATTTTGGGCCGGCCCCAAACGAGCCTCAGACTCGGGTCTCGGCTCAGAGCCCGGAAAATTTGATGGTTTCCCCGGGAAAAGAGAGAGGAAAAGAGAGGGTGCTGTAGAGAAAAAAGGAAAGGAAAAGAGACGGGGTGCGAGAGGAAAAGTATATTCAGCTAACGCAAGCGCTGGGAGCAAGAACACTACGACCTGGGTCGGGCTCATACATTTTTCCGAGCAGTATTTATTTAAGTCGGGCACGCGGGAGGAGGTAATTGAGGAGGCGGCGGAGGGGCGGAGTCGGAGGCTGCCGGCGGCGATGCCGATGCGCGATGGCCGCGCAGGGGCGGACTAGGAGGGATGCAAAAGACCCCACCCAGGGTGGATGGAGGAGGGAGGAGGAACGACGCAGGCCGTGCCGGCCGCCACCACCAGCGGCGAGGCGGGGGGGCGAGGGGACCGGGAAGCGACACAGGGGAGAAGAGGGGTCGGCAGCGCAGCGCGCAGGAGGGCAAGAGGAGGCGGGGACGCGGGGAGGCGGGGAGGGTGACCGAGGCGGCAGGTAGGAGGGGCGGCACGGGCGGTCTGGGGGCTCTGGGGTTGGGGTTGGGGTTGGGCGAGCAGGAAAGTTCAGGAACGTGCGGGGGCGCGGGCGCGCAGAGGGCGAGGCGCAGAAGGCGAAGCCGTAGTCGCCTCCGGCACGCGGAGCGCGTCGTGGCCCTCTAGGCGGCACGCGGAGCGCGTCGTGGCCCTCATGGTGGCGTCGCCCGAATCTGTCGAAGGCGCCTTCGATGCCTTCGTTGCGTCTTTTGTCGAGCGCAGCGTGCTGACGGAGGCCAACGCCGATGGCCTGACTGACAAGGTTGCCAGCGCCGCAACGGAGGAAGCACGTGAGGTGGTCATGTGCGAGGCGCTGCGGGCCCTGCTGAAGCCAGGCATGGTAGTCACGCTGACCAGTGCCAAGTCCGAAGCATTCAAGGTCCGCGCGGGCACCGTGCTATACGTGCCGCCGGACAAGCGAACGGATGCCCGCAAGGTGCACATGCTGTCCAGCGAAGCAGATGGTTCCGAGATGTGCATCGCTGCTCTGTGCACCTTGCGCCCTGCGCAGGGCGAAACCACGGCCAATCCTCGCTGGCGCGAGGTCAGCCTGTTCTGGGCTACTGAGGCCAACGACCTTGAGGCGATGGCCGCGCTCGTCGAGGCGGCAGCAGACGCCAACGCCTTCTTTTTCAGCAACACGCCGCTGCTGCGCGCGCTGATGCATCGACACGAGGATGCGGTCGAACTCCTGCTGGGCGCCGGCGCCGACCCCACATTGGCCAGCCCGGACGGGTGCACGCCGCTGATCATGCTCGCGGAGCCGGTGCCCGGCGAACCATCCGACGCGTCAGGGGCGAGGCTCGTGGCCAGGTTGCTGCGTGCAGGCGCGGCACCAACCCTTGAGAGGCGCGATGATGACAACGGCTGCACGGCGCTCGCCACCGCTGCGCTGCGGGGCAACGTGCAGGTCGCCGCCGCACTCCTCGAGGGCGGCGCCGCTTCCGACGCCGCCGACGCGGCGGGCGTCACCCCGCTGATGCTCTGCTTTGCTGGCGAGGCGGAAATTGCGGAGGACAGCGCAGAGAGGCCGAGGCACGTCACACCCGCGCTGGTGCGGCTCCTCCTCAGCGCGGGCGCGAGAGTGGACGCCGTCGACGCCGAGGGGCGCGATGCACTCTGGTACTGCCGCTCGGTGGGTCGTACCGATCTGCTGCGCTTGCTGCAGGAGCACGACAACGACGCCAACGACGCCTTCGACGCGGCATGCGGCGCGGACGGCGTGCCGCTCGACGCCACGGCCGCCGAGCGCCTCTTCACGATGATGTGCGTGCAGCGCGAGGCCGAGAATCGGCGCTTGGGGCGGGTCGAGGACGAGGAAGAGGTTGCGCGCCACGTGGCTGCCTCGCCGCACTTTATGGCTGCTCTGGACGGGCGTGGGGAGCTGCGCGAGGACCATGTGGCGTTTTCTGATGCGTACTTTGGTGGGGCGGCCTAACCGCCGATGCCATCAGTACGGTAGCGGATTTGTTGCTGGTGTCCCTTTGCCTCTTGGGATGCCCGAGACGACAGACCGGCACGTTCGGCCGTCGGCGCTCTCTGAGCCGCTCGGGGCTGTTGGGGTTCACATGATAAACCGACTAGAACAACCCAGAGAGCTCCTTAACACAGTACGCGGGTCTCGCAGGAAAGGGCTATAATAAAGCATTTTTTTTGCTTTGGGCCTTTGGGCCTAAAACAACATCACCGTTGGATCTAAGTTACTTCTAAGGATTAAATGGGCCTAACTAAAGTAGCGAGAGGCAGAGGGTGTGTGAAGGCTTGAAGTTTAGACTGGCCAGTGTGGGTCCGCCGCAGTGGCAGTGCACAAGAGAAAAGACCCAAGACGGATCGGCAGCCGTCTCACATGTTTTTTCTCCTAGCTACGCTGATGCTCTCTCAAGACATCGGTCCTAATTTCCCTCCGTGGCACGACGCACGTCACACGACCTGAGAGTCCTCACCCGCGGCGGGCTCCCTGGAGGGGCGCCTTCCCCAGCGCCTGCCTCACGGCGGGCTGGTCGAGCACGCCGCACTCGCGGCAGACGGCCCGCAGGCCCGAGGCGCCGATCGAGCGGCGCAGCGCGACCAAGCAGAAGGAGGAGAGCACCGGCGGCGAGCGGCCGAGCATCTGCGCGCCGAGCGAGCGCGCGAGCCGCGAGGCGCGGGCGGCGCGCGCACCGTCGAGGAGCGGCCCGTACGTCCACTCGTCCGGTGAGAGCCCTTCGCGCCGCAGCCGGTCGTATAGCCGCATCGCCTCGTCGAGCTCGCCCTGGCCCGCGAAGCCGCGGATGAGGCCGTTGTAGCACATCAGGTCCGGCGCGATGCCGTCCTCCGCCGTCATGGTGCGGAACCAGCTCGCGGCGCGGGCGACGTCTCCCTCGCGTGCGAGCGCCTAAGCCATGACTCCTCCCCGGTGTCAACAGGTCGTCGTCACCCGCGACCTCCTTCCCGTGCGAGTGCCGACAGCACGATCGTGTACGAGCAGCAGTCGGGCGGCGGGCCGAGCTCGCCTCGCCGGAAGCGGGAGAGGAGCGCCGCCGCCTGGCACAGCCACACAAAGGGTCTCAGTCCACTGACTCGCCGACTAGCTGAGTGAAGGGCTGACTCGGGCGAGCCGCCTGCGCCGGCCGGCTGGCGCGAACGAGCGACTCGAGCAGCTGGTTGAGCAGGATCGTGTCGGGCGCGATGCCGCGCGCGGTCATTCGGCGCAGCACGGCCGCCGCCTGCAGAAGGCTCAGACGAGGCTCAGAAGAGGTCCAGAGAAGGCAGCACCGCCGCCGCCTGCTGCGCTAGTCTTTGGTGCCAGATCTCGGCTCTGCCTCGGCTCCATCTCCTCTAAGCTGTACCTCGTCCGGCTGCGCCGTCTTCGCGTACGCGGCGATCGTGGTCGAGTACGACACCAAGTTGGGCGGCACGCCCGCCGCCTGAAGGGGGGAGGGACAGCAGAGAGAGGGCCGAGAGGGAGGAGAGACTGGGCGCCACGCCCGTCCGCCTCCCATCGCGTCTAGCCACCCGCCAGCCATCTGAGTCTCGGCTGCGTCTCGGCTGCATCTCGGCTGCGTCTCGGCTGCGTCTCGCCTCCATCTTGTCGAGCCACTCATCTGCAAGCTCCGGCAGCCGCGCGCGCGCGCAACACGCCAGCACCTTGTTGAAGCACTGCGCGTCCGGCTGCAGCCCGAGCTGCTTCATCGCGCCCAACCACTCCGCCGCGCGCGCGGGCGCCGTCGACGCGCCCGGCGAGAGCGAAATCATCGAAGAGAAAGTGACCTAGCCTCGGCTCGGCCTCGGGCTCACCTCGACTGCACCACACCTCGGCTCGATCTCGAGCGAGGTCATCAAGGAGAAACAGACCGTGTCTGGCGCCACCCCAGCCGCGTGCATCGAGTGCAGCAGCGCCTCCGCCTCCGCCGCTCGGTCGCGCCGCAGCAGGCAGCCAATCACGAGGTTGTACGCCAGCGTCGAGCCGCCTCCTCCGCCTCCGCCTCCGCCTCCGCCGGCCGCCTCCATGCGGCGCAGCAGCGCGAGCGCCTAGCCGAGATGGAGCCGAGATGGAGCCGAGATGGAGCCGAGATGGAGCCGAGGTGTAGCCGAGGTGTAGCCGTGGTGTAGCCGAGGTGTAGCCGTGGTGTAGCCGAGCTCCGCCAGCGCGGGCGCCTCGTCCGCCTCGCCGGCCCGCCCTAGCCCTAGCCCTAGCCCTAGCCCTAACCCTAACCCTAGCCCTAGCCCTAGCCCTAACCCTAACCCTAACCCTAACCCTAACCTCGTCCGCCTCGCCGGCCCGTGCGCAGACCGAGAGCAGCGCGTGGAAGGTTGGCACCTGCGGCAGAGGCTCAAAGCAGGCTGCGCGGAGCACCTCGCTGCGTGGAGCGGCTCCTTGCTTGTGTGCCGCGTTCGGCGCCGCCTCGCCCCAACCGCCCGAGTCTCTCTCGCTGGAATCTCAGCTCCATCCCGGCTCCCTCTGTGCTCCCCCTGTGCTCCCTCTCGGCTCCATCTCACGTTGGGCGCCACCCCGTCCGCCTCCATCTGGTCCAGCACGCCGCTCGCCGCCTCGTACTCGCCGCGCATCGCGTGCCCCTTGGCCACAGACGCGTACGTCACCACTGTCGGCGCGAGGCCCGCGTCGCGCGCCGCCTGCAGCGCCCCCGCCGCCTCCGCCACCCGCCCCGCCACCGCAAACGCCTCAACCAGAGCCGAGTGGGCGCGGATGTCGGCGGTGATGTTCGGCGCCAGGCGCATCTCCGCCATCACCGCGGCGGCGCGCTCGGGCTCGCCTTAGGGGACAGCTCCACGAGGCTCCAGCAAGGCTCTGGGCGGACCTCTCACGCGCTGCGCGGCCGCGCCCGCGCGCGCGAAGCCGGCGATGGCGCTCGTGTACGAGCACGCGTCTGGCTCGATGCCCCAGCCGCGCATGCGATGGATCCACGCGGCGGCGCGGTCCGGCTGGCCTACGGAGCGTCCGAGGAGGCTCCGAGACGTCTGATCCTGGAGGAGACGACGCCGCGGCCCGAGCTCGCCGGCGTTGGCGTGCGCGGCGATGAGGGCGTTGAAGGAGCGGAGGTCGGGGCGGTGCTCGCCCTCGCCGACCATCGTGCGCAGCGTCTCCATCACCTCGTGCGGCAGCCCCGCCGCGCCGTACGCCGCCATCGCGCGGTTGTACTCGGAGCGGCGAGGCGGCGCCTTTGAGCGCCGAAGCAGCAGCTGAGACACCGACGGCTCGACGACGCGCCGGAGCCAGCGCGCGGCCTCGCGCGGCCGGCCGGCGGCGGAGAGGGCGGAGACGACCAGCGCGTAGCTCTCGAGCGACGGCGTCTTGCGCGCGCGCCGCATCCTCCGCAGCAGCGAGAGGCACTCCTCCACCAGGCCCGCCTCGGCGTGCGCGCGGATGGCGCGCTCAAAGAGCTCGGTGTCGGGCGCGGCACCGCTCAGCTCCTCGACGGCGATGAGGTCCGCCAACAGCACCTGGGCGTGCTCGGCCGCAGAAGGCGCCACCTTGGGCACGCCGGCGGCCGCCCTTTGCTCCTCACTCAGGTCGCGAGCCAGGCTGCGCTCGGCCGCTGTGCAGACAACGGAGGATACCGCAGCGCGGCAAGTGCGCGGTGGCTGCCGAGGCGGCAGCAGCTGAAGCGGCTCCACGGAACCGGCGAGGAGGGCGAAGGCGCACGCTGGACGCAGCATATATGTGTGCATATTGTCGGTCTGTAGGCAAGCGTGGAGGCCAAATGAAGAAATTCTGTCTTTTAGAAAAACGAACTATAATGATACTGGAAACAAGAAGACAGTGAGCCACCACAGGCGTCGTTGGCGCACATACTGAGCGGCAGCTGCGCTGGAAATAAGGAAGAGGCGCGTAACTTCATGCGGAAGCTCGACAAACACACAGCGAGGGCGACAGCAAGAGTTGAACGGGAGGCGCCGGACTCAAAAGACACCGCCACATTCCTGAGACGAGCGAGGGCAGCCTCCTTAAAGGCGAAAGGGTCTAGATTTGGGGCGCTCGCCGAAGAAGAGTACGACAAAATAGCGCCCGTGATTGCCTGCACGCTACCCGCACTCACGGACTCCATACCCGAAAGAAAGAGAAGGGAGCTCGCGGGAGAGGTGACGAGTGAACTACAGGTGGTGGGGAAGGCAGCCTCGATTGCCATACAGACATGGGTGCGGAACAACGACAAGACCAAGGCACGGGCAGAGGAACGAGAGAAGAATATAGGGTGGATAAAGCGCCTGTTCACGGCATGGAGGGTGAGCCACGCCGAACGTACCGAACGTAGAGCCGAGCGGAAGGCAGCGGGGGAAGACGACTCCGAGGAGGACGAACCAGTGGAAATTCAGTTGTCAGATGTCACGATGCATCCGAAGGGGACCCCAGCGCCGGCATCATCCGTAGAGGCACGAGTGTTCGAAGAGAGAGTGGACCTGAGCAATGATATGACTTGGAGGCAAATGCTCGGAGTGGGAGTCAGAAATGTGGTCCTTGCGCGAGGGGAGCTCGATACACTCGAGGGGCCAGGATACGCCGCGAGGAGGACGGAGTTGCGCCGAAAGGCGAAAGAAGCCGCGAGAACAAGGGACCGGCAGGCGGCGGCGTCGCAGGACGAGACAGAAGAGAACGACGCGACAGAGGAGGAAATGACAAGGGAGAGAACGACGAGAGTGGGACGACCGCGAGGTGGCATGAAGGCTGCAGCGAGAAGCGGCGAGAGACTGCGAAGAGAGATAGGAAGAGGCAGACTCCCTAGGGTGGGCGACGGCTAGCGCATCACACACCTCTCCTTAAAATCCCTGTGTGGTGGCGGCGTGCCGTCCTCCCATCCCTCCCTTGGGTTGTCTGTTTTCTTTCTTTCTTTAACTATAATGATGTATTGGTTTTTAGATTTTACGCTTATATAGTGGCATGGACGAATGTATGGTTGTATGCGGGCACAATCGACAATGGCAATCTGAATGGCGATGATCTCATCACGAACATCATGCCGACAAGACTCAGACATTGAAACACTGCCGCACACACGGACATCAGCCGGAAGTGAGGGTCGGGGCGGATCTGGATGGCGCGCTGCTCGGCGGGTTGGGTTGTTGGGCGGGGGAGCGCGTCGATTGGGCGGCAGCGCGCACCTACATGGCCTGGCCAGCGTCGCGCACGAGAGCGAAAGCGGAGGCCTGTGGAGAGGCGCTTCAAGCGAGGGTGGCCTCTTCACGGGCGTCGTTTCGCGGGACTGAGGGTGAGGCGCCTTTGGCGCGAAGTCAACAGTTACAACAGGCTCCGTCTCTCCGGCGCCTGAGATGAGATCTCGAGGTGCCGATGGCGGCAGCTCAAGATCTCTATCTTCAGTTAAAGCGATCTCTGTACTCTGAGTTTTGTGAGAGATGCTGTGTGTGGAAGATCTCTGATCGGCATCTACGATCTCGCCACTCAACAAATCTACTGGTGTCCCGCAGAGATCTCGATGTGTATGCAGCAGATTGAATGTGGCCCTACCATGCTAAAACATGAAAAGACTCATGGCCGCTCAAGACGCCCGCGCCCAGCCGTTCTGTCGCCCAGCGCAGCTCTCGCAATAGCACACAGCACTGCTCGTCCGCGTGGCAACGCACCCTCGAGCGGCTTCCAGCTTGAGTGCTCAGACGCGCCTCCGGAGCCGGCCGTCGTCGTCGCTCGGCCCGTACTTTGAGGCGGTGGACTGGAACTCGGCGATCGGCGCGGGGCGGTGCATCGGCATCTGGACGGGCGACAGCTTCATCCCCTCGAGCGTGTCGCGCACGGACTTGTAGACGAAGCGGTTGAGCTTGGCGGAGAAGTGGTACCCGTCGGGGTGCTCCGCCTCGTGGTAGTTTGCCAGCTGGTACTGCATCATGTAGTTGAGGTTGAGCACCTGCGCGACGCCGGCAAGTCTTGGTCCCGGCCTTGCCATCACTCGGCAGAGGTCGGCACGGCGCACGAGGCTGGCGTGAGTGGTCTGGGGCTGGGGATGGGGGGTATGTCGCTGAGCACCGCGCCACGAGGGCCCTTGACGGGGTTGACGCCCGCTGTGCCGAGGCCCGCCGCCTCGCCCGCCTGCAAGCGGCCACGTCCGGACTGGGGCCGGAGCTTGTGTGTGTGGGCAGCACTGTGCGGGCCCGCGCTGCGCCATGCCCTTCTCGCTGCCCCACTCTCTGCCCCACTCTCTGCTCCCCTCTCCTCTGCCCCGCCTCTGCTCCCGTCGCTGCCCCCCTTGTCTGCTCTCCGTGTCTGACCCCGCCCCGGCTGCCTCGCGCCTCGCACGCGAGCGCGACGTACTGCTTGAGCGCGCTATTCGAGCCGGACGACCCCTGCGTCACCACGCCCGTCAGCGTCTCTCCGCGCCCCGCCCCGTCGAGCCGGCCGTTAGTCACGCTCGAGACGTGCTTCGCCCACTTCTCCTAGAGAGCAGAGCCGCGGGAGCGTCGGCGGCGCGTCGCGGACGGGTCGAGGGACGCGCCTCGCAGCTCCTTGTTGATCCGGCCGGGCGTGATCAAGATGATCTTTGCGCTCGGCATCGCCTCCTGCAGCGAGCTGAGGACGGCGGCCATGTTCTCCTTGAACTCCTCCTTCGGCACGCCGCCCGGGGAGGCGGAGACGTGGTCGTTCGAGCCGAGGCTCAGCGTGATGGCAAAGACGTCCTGCCGCCCGGCGGAGCCGATTACTCTGCCGAGCTCGCGACCGCCCGAGGCTACCCGAGGCTACCCGAGATTGCCCGAGATTGCACCTGCCGGTTGATTGAGCCGAGGATCTCGCTGAGTGACGCGCGCAGCAGCCTGTGAGGCGGAGGGAGCGCCGTGGGAGCTCGCCACGTTGGTGCGGGCGCGTGCGACGAGGCCCCGCTCCCAGCAGTGAGCTGCCAGCGCCGGCGTGAGTGTGCCATGGCAGCGTGAGTGGTGCCATGCGTGCGTCTCATCCGCACACCGCGAGTTGCAGCCGGAGTAGCCGCGGTTGAGCACATCGGCGGAGGTGCGCCTGCCCGCGCCACACGCCGCGTGAGCGGCGCCTCTTCACAGCTCCAGCCGTGGCAGACGAGCTGGCGCCACGAGTAGTCGCGCTGCAGCAGCGTCAGCCAGCCGGGGCCGTGCTCCGGGATCGCGATGTCCATCCCCTGCCGCTGCAGCACGTCCGTCGCGAACGGCGCCTACAGGACACGTCCATGACACGTCCATCGCACGCCCATACCCTGCCGCTGCAGCACGTCGCACGAGGCCTACACAGGAGAAAGTGTGTATCATTTTCGGGGTCCAGCCGCCGCTGCAGCTCGCTTTTGGCAAAGGGCGCCTTCTTGTCCCAGGTCGGGTCGCACACGTGCTGCCCGAACTCAGTCAGAGAGTCGCCCAGCGCCAGGAAGATGGGCCGGCCGGAGGCGACGGTGTCGGGCGGGCCGAGCTCGCGCGGCGGCGGAGGAGCCGCCGCCGCCGCCGGTTTCGCCGCGGCTCCGTTGCCACCGCTGCCGTTCGCAGGCAACGTCTCGCCGCCAGACTCGAAGTAGGCGCGCAGCGCCTCCGCGTCCCAGCCAAAAGCGGACTGCGGCGGCACCACGTCATCGCAAAAGTACTCCTCCTGGAGCGCCTTGATCAGTGCCGCTTGGGTCGAGGCGAGCTTCTCGATGAGATCAGACACGCTCATGGTCCCTGCTCTGGGTGAGGCGACAATTGGGAGGGAGGCGGGCAAAAGGGCGGGAGAGGAAGGAGAAGAGATTCGTGGAGGCGCACCGCGGCTGGGATCGAGCTGGATAAAGAGAAACCTGAAAAACTCAAAAGAACACATCTCATGTCATGTTGGGGAGGACAAGAAAGAGGGAATGCTTAAACCCTCAAATCTACCCTTATAAGTCTCTCGTGTCGGCGCCGACGCTCTTTTAACGTAGAACGTCCCAGCCGAAATCCGCCCGCCACGATCGATCAGTCCACAATCGTCGGCCCCCAGCGACCCGCAGCGATGGATGCCGCCGCCCCCCCGCCCCCTGCGGCTGACGCGCCGATGCACGACCGGCCTCCGTGGGATGGCTCTCCGGCCTCTCCGGCCGCTGACGCGGCCGCCCATGCTGCTGCCGATCCGGTCCCTCTCACGCTCAGCGATATCCGCACAAGCTACGACAACTTCGAGGTCGCCGGCTTTGGCCAGGTGCAGCCACCACCTGCTTGCCTCCATGTTCACGCTTCGCGCCCCTTCCCCCCCTCTGACGCCGCCGTATGACCGTAGGTGAGGGGCACGACTACCCGCCTGGAAGGCGCTCTCATCAGCAAGTCACCCAGGCACCAACTCCTGGGCGTTTACGCTTGACTACGAAACCATGCAGTGGATGCAGCTCGATCAAACCGGCGACGCCAACAGCTGGTCCCTGGGCGAGTTCCTCGCCCAGGATGAGGTGCGAGTCATGATGCTCGACCCAGCGTGCACCAAGTCGCTCACATTCCGTGAGTTCGTCAACGGGCCGATCATCTCTCCAAGTCGACTGCGATCTCGGACTCCGACAACTGGACCGGTGCACCAGCCGCGGAGGACGATGGCTCCCTCGACGACATCCCTTCATCGACGGACGCCTTCACCGCCGCCGGCCCTGGGCCATCCAGCGCGGCCTCCGACGGCCTGCACGTGATCGAGCGGGTACAGAAACGGTGGCTGCCCAGCTCACACCCTAATCGATCTGCCTTAGGCACGGAGCCAACGGAGCCATCGCGCATGCCCGCATCGCGTGCGGCTCCGAGGTCTCCCGCCGAGACCGGCTCGGCGCGGCGCGTGGCCGCACGCCGCCGTTGAAAAGGCGAGATAGGACCGAGGGGAGAGCGCCGGCCACATCGAGCGAGCGCTGACGTGTAAGGTGTCTGTGCTGCTCCGGTGTGTGTGGGATTCTGCCTCCCCCCCATCTGTGCGGCGAGTTGTTTGCGGCGCGATGCCCGATCGTGCGCGATAGCCTCCCATTGTGCGTGGTGTGTCGGTGTGTCGGGGTCGTCCGGAGCGTGTGGCGGCGCCGTTGCCATCAGCGACTGCTCCACGTGCCACGACTGCTTTGACTGACGTGACTGACTGTGATGAGACATGAGAGCTGATGCGTGATGGATGATCTCCGACAACCCAAAACCAAAATGCAAATGCGGAGTGGCCCACTTTGGCGTGCAGATCCTGCGTCTCTCACTGCCCGAACAACAGAGACGGGTACCGCCGTAGGTAGGTAGGTAGAAAGGTGAAGAACAGCCAGGCTCGGACTGGACACCAACGCGGTATGGGTGGACGCGAGACAGATGATGACGACACGCACGAACGACACACAGACACAAACAAGCTCACAAGACACACAGCCAGCTGGCTGCCACACACCCTGAGTTGGCGTATACATAACTCAGGGCCACATTCTTCCTGTCGCCCCCCCCAGCACTCCAAGGTGCCAAGAGAAACAAACAAGGGCACAACAAACAACAGACGACAGGAAGCAACGTGCGAGGCTAGAGCAGGCTTGCTCGTCCTCTAGCAATCTCCGCCGACCGCGAGGCCGGACTAGACCGTGTGTGGGGTCATGTGAGGTGTCTCTGGTCACTCTCCTCAGGGGCTAGCCGCCAGCGGCCAGCCCCATCTCGCACTCACTGGCGGTGACAATTCTATGGGTGAGGGTACGCGAGCAGAGGTGCGTGAGCCGATTCTCGATCGCACGCCCTTGGCATATAACTTGGCTTGGCGTGCAACCTCAGCGCGCCCGCCGTCAGCTTGACGGGGCGCGCATGTCAGCGAGAGCTTTGCCGGTAGAGCGATCCCGGTCTTGTCGAACACGAGCCCCGCGCCACGGTTGCCAGCCGTGCCTTCGCGAGAGCCGCCCTCGAGCCGCGTCCCGTCGGCACTACCCTCGAGTGCGTGTCGCTTTGGTTGGCGACACCCACTCGTCGAGGGCAGTCCGGCCGACGGGAGCCTGTCGCGCGCCGGCGACGAATGCGGCGTTTCGAGTTCGAGGCGACGATGGCACGACCACCGCCCTGCTTCCCGACCGGGCAAGGAGGGGCCTACTCCCGTTCCGCGAGGAACAGGAGGTCTCCCCCCCCTCCCCCGGCCTGGGCAGCGACGGGTGGACGGCAGCCCCTTCGGGGTTGGCAGGCGAGAGTCTGCGGGGCTCACGAGCCGAGTCTCAACCACACGCCCCCCGCGCCTGTACTCCACCAGGTCGAGGTGAAAAGATCTTATCAGCCAGGCGGGCAGGGCAGGCGGGCAGGCGGGCGGGGTCGTGGAAGACTATTCCTAGCGGGCGATCCCCTCCCGACCCACCTTCCGAACGGCCTACACCCTATCCAGGCTCCGAACATGGTTGGTTTACGGGTCAGTCGGGGGACCCACTAGGGGGCGGCCCCTCACACGACTGCCCAGTGGGCCCAGGGATGGCGGTGGCGAGTCACTCCGGAGCAGAATAGAGGTGCGCACGAGGCAGGTGGCATAGCACTGCCCACCCCCTTCCACCCCCCCTCGCCCTTCGCAGCCTCTCCCCCCTTCCCCTTCCCACTGCGCTCTGTTGGTTCCTCTGTCCATCTACAGCGTGGGTGGTGGTACACTGCGTACCGCCGCAGGTCCCACACTAGTTTGAAAAGAAAACCGCGCGACGCACCAGTCCAAGCCCCGAGCATCGGCTGCGCGGGCGGGCAGCTGGCGGAATGGGCCGCCTCTTTCTGCGCTACATCGAGGCGGAGAGCGTGCACTGCTGCGCCTTGTGTGCGACGCACCTGGCAGCTCACGACCAGGTGGTCTCCCGCCAGTTCCGCGGCCGGCATGGCGACGCCTGGCTCTTTGGAGACGTGATCAATGTGAACGACGGTCCGCCGGAGAAGGTGCGCGAAGCTGCGCCGCCGCCCCTTCGCCGCCCTCCTCGCGGCGCCAGGCCTCGGGCCTCTCGCGCCCTCCCTCCGCACGGCCACGCCGATGCTTGACCCTAACGCGCCACTCCGCCCACTCTGCCCACTGCTCCTCGGCCCGGCCCGCAGCGGCTCCTTCTGACCGGGTTGCACGTGGTGGCGGACATTTATTGCAACGGCTGCGACACGCGGCTCGGGTGGAAGTACGTCGAGGCCTACGAGGAGCAACAAAAGTACAAGGCGTGCAACGGAGCCGCGGGCGCCGCGGCCGCGGCCGCTGGCTCCCTCACCGCACCCCGCCCGCCCCTTTCCCCGCACAGGAGGGCAAGTTCATCCTGGAGATGAACCGGATCCTCAAGGAGAGGGATCTTCGCAAGCGAGAGGCATCCATTCTCCCCTCCTCAGCTCTCGCTGCGCTCGCCCGAACCGCTAGCGCCGGACTCTCTCTGCAGGCGGAGGCGGCGGGCGGCGGGGAGGCGAGGCACCGGCTGGCTGCGCTGGAGGACGAGGAGATGCTCACAGACGGCGGCGAGGGCACCGACGACGAGGCCGGCCAGGACAGCGATCCTCAGGCAACGCGGCGGGCGGCGCAGACAGCGCTGCAGGCCATGCATGGTGCAGCCTCAGAGCAGTGGGCGGCGGCGGAGCGGCCGGGCGGATAGAGATTGGCGGGGGGGGAGGGGTCATGACGCTGTGCTCGGGAGGCTGCGATATCGGAGATGCGCATTTTGCGCGGGGACTCGTCGCGATCCCTCTGACTCGCCGAGAGATATAGTGGAGTTGTACTCTACGTCTCGGGCGTTGTGGTGTAGTCGCTCCTGGCGGTCCTGCGGCTGCGCTCTGTCGCTTGTATTGAATTTTACTGAACACGCCTTTGACCCCTCACGCATGCTTACTTCCTGGACGCTCGAGATCACGGGCGCGCACCGCGCTCAGGCGCTGCAGCTGCAGCGCAGTGCATAAACTGCATACTGTCGGGTCTCTATTTTAAGATGAGGAAACAGCAATAGATCCGGCCCTCAAGCGGCCTAATCGATACCCGGCCCTCACGGAATCGGTCCCTCGTTGTACAGCAATCGATCCTTCACACTGCCCGCGCGCTGCCAAACTTGGGGTCGAGAATCGGTCCCCAGGTTACCTGTGGCGCGAAGCTGATATGTCTCCCGCCCTCGGCGCGCCGACCGCGCAGCGGCGGCAGACCACCCTCCGGTTCGAGGGGCGCCTGGGGCTGAGCGGGCTGCCTCCGCCAGAGTTTGGCTCGCCCACCGGCGGGCTGTCACCCTGCCACGGGTCGCAAGCCCTCTGCCGGCCGGAGCGCAGGCTGCGCAGGCTTCCAGCAATCTTGGTCCCTTGGCAAGTGCGAATCGGTCCCCCTGGCTCCAGGAACTGATCCGGCACTACACCCGGATCTATTGCTGTTTACCTCATTTTAAAATAGAGACCCGACGGTACACGACCCCGTCGCGCGTCTGCCGTCTCGGTCTCGCTCTCTCTCACTCCCCTTGGACTGTCTCGCTCTCTCCGGCACTCCGGGCGGGCCTGCAGCTCCGGCCCGCACGCGTACAAGCCGGTATGCCCCGCGCGCTGCGCGCGCATGGACTCTCCGCTCACGTACACACCTCTCTTTCGGCCCCTGAAAGAGAGGTCACACATGCCCCGCCACACGCGTCCCCGTCTTGTCGAAGCTCGTGGTCTTGCGAGTAGCAGCCTCGGCCGGGGGACACAGCTTGCGAGCTAGGGAGAGCGCCAGCAGCGCAGAGAGGATGCCAACGGCGAACCCGCCGGCCGCGGCCAGGACGATGGCAGCAGCCCTCGAGATCGTGGGCTCCGTATCCGTCGAGTCCTCCTCCCCCGCAGTCAGCCCCTGCAGATCCACTCCAGCGGCAGCTAGTGCTGCGATGACGCTATCGACGTTCGCGTTGCCGGACTCCTCCAAAAAGCCGCTCTCGACAAAGCAGCCCGCGATGCAAGTGAACAGGTCCTGGTATTCATCTGGCTGCGGCACTAGCGGTGGCGGTGGAGCGGGACTAGGTGGCTCGGAGCCCGCAGGTGGCGATGGCGACGGCGGCAGACTAGGCAATGACGGGGTGCCCGACGGCAGTGAAGGCGATGGCGGCGGCGGAGGTGGAGGCGATGACAGCGCTTGAGGCGGAGGCGACGGAGGCGGCGGCGGGGGAGGCGACGCGTCCTCGCCCAACGGCGGCGACGACCCGCCCATCGAGCGAACCAGCGGTGCTAGAGACGAAAGGTCGCCGCTCAGAGTGGTGGTAGCGATGGCTACCCAACAACCACTGTAGTAGTCTGTGACGGACATTGTCTGGATTGTTGCGGCCAAGTTGTTGAGGGCCGTCTGCTGTTCAGGATCGGCGAGGCCGCTAGCTACGTGGCCAATCATCAGGCTGGTAGCGATCGGACCCACCATGAAGCCGTTCGACTGCCAGCCCGGGTGGATGCTATCGACTTGGCACCCGGTGTCGAGCGAGCCGTCCGTCTCGAGCGTCACCTCCACGTGAAGCGCCATCTTCTGGGACCACGCGATCGCCGCTGCGTCGTCGTACCAGAGCGCCGCGAGCCCCACACGCCACGCGGTTCGGGCCGCCTCCGAGCCAAACTCGGCTCCAGGGGTGCCGCTGCCGGAGCAACCCGGGGTTCCCGGCTGGCCAATGCTGCTGGTGCCTTCGGACGGCACCCACCAATTGGGAATTAGCCCGGTGGCGTCGCACTGCGCCTCGTCAAGGATGAGCTGGCTCGTCTCGATGAGAGCATCCCAGGTCGGGGCTAGTTCGGACCCTTCCGACGCGCTCGAGCCAAAGTCGGGGGCGAAGGCCGCCATGTAATCGCGGAATGCCCGGTAGTGTGCCGGCGCGTGGTACGACGGGTTGCTGCAGTCCCAGCCGCCCCAGCAGGAGCCGAGCTTGAGAGCACGCAACGGCTGCCCGTTGGAGGCCTTGAGCGACGGGTGGTCGTCCGAGAGGTGGTGGAGGAAGGCCCTGCAGCTCTGATACGTCCACCGCGCAACCTCGTCCCACCATGACGGGCGAGGGTCGTCGCCTTGCGTGCCGAGGACCAGCAGCAGCATCCCAAGGATCGCATCCTCGTCGCCATCGGGCGCCGAGCCGGTCCCCGCCTCCGCGGTCACCGCGTCGTCGAACTTCCACGAGGGGAGGCACTCATGCGACTCGTCCTCCCCGCAGAAGTGGCTAGCCTGGCACGAGTCGGCGACGGTGCGCTCGCACATCAGCCGCCAGCCGCGAAAGAGCTCGTAGCCCGCTGACAGCAGCTCCGCCCGATCGGCGCTCGAGCGCGGCATCGCAGCGACCAGGCTGCCCACGAGAAGCAGCCCGTAGCCCTGACCTTCCGAGACGACGCCGCCCGCAGCGCCGCCAGAGCTGTGCACGACGCGCGCAGTCAACGAGCCGTCCACGTAGGTCTCGAGCGTGGTCAGGACATCCAGCACCGTCTCCACGCGGTCGAGGCTGAGCGAGTACGGGCTCGCGTCGGCCCACGCCGCCAAGCTCGGGGTCAAGTAGCTGCCGCGAGGCGGTCGTGGCGGCGATGGCGGCGGCAGTGGCGATGGCGGTGGGGAGGGAGGCGGGTGCGGGCGTGGCGAGGTACCGGGCGAACTTCCAGAGTAGGTGGCCACGGCCGGCCCGATCAGCCACTGCGCGCCCTTCTGCTTGTTGTAGGCGTTGCGATAGCCCGTTTTTGGCAGGTGCTCGGCGTTCGTGACGACCTGCACCTTTGGGCTGACCTTGTCGAGAAACGCCTCGACCGGCTCGTCAGTTCCCACGACTCGCACGTCGGCGCACGTGACGTAGAGCTCGATGTTGGCGAGAGCCTGGACCGCGATCCACTCCCAGCGTAGAACGGCGTGGTCGCTGGAAGGCAGCCAGCTCGGGAGGGCGATCGTGTACCGATTCACCTCGAGCGGGTCAGTCCAGCTGTCGTCTTGGAGGTAGTCAGCCAGGCTGGCCTGGTCCATACAACCCACAAAGTCGTAGAGCTTGATCCAGGTGACGGGTCGGTCCTTGTCGGCGTCGTAGGAGATGTACAGCGCGCAATCTCCCGGATGCCGCGCCTCGAGCTTCCACTCCACCTCGAGTCCGCCGCCTGCCGTGATGGTCGTCGAGGGACTCACGGCGGCAAAATCGTGGCACCGGAACGAAGCCTCGTTGTAGTGGAAGGATGGGCCGTTTTGCACGGTGTGCGTGGGCTGCCGGTAGATGTGGGTCGTGTTTGTGCTGTACAGCTGCGGGTGCACGCCGACAAACTCGCTCACCCACGCAGTCGGCCGAGGCGCCGGCATCGTCATGTGCCCATGGGCTCTGGCGCCGACGGCAAGGGCCGAAACGAGCAGAGCTCTCATCGGTGTCGGCTGAGGGGGTTGGTAGGGGTGGGGCACACAATCGCTCTCGCTCTGCGCGCTTTCCCAAGCAGGTGCTCGTTGTTCTATCACGCCGTGGGCCGCCGCGATGCAATGTCGGAGGAAAGAGAAGAATTTTACAACGAAAGGCGGTCGCACGACACGATTAAAGAGAATATTTTTCTCGCAGTCTAGCGGGCCAACTGGGTCACGAACAAGCAAACGGCAAACGGCTTCTTACCTGACATCTTACGCTCGGCCCAGTGGCGGGTGCCCGCGCCGCCTAGTTCCGCGGGACGGATGGGCCCTCCACCCTTCATTTACGTACGGATCATGTCGTCCCCACCCACAATCGCTGTCGTGGCTCGTGGGATCGCTTGTCATGTGGGAGAGCGCGGTAACTGCGGGATGTGGCAACAAAGTTGGGACAACCAAGCATGTTAGATATTTTGTTGTTGAAGCCTGAGCGGGGCAAGCACACACGCGGGGAGACTGCGAGAGTATCAGCATGCCTGACTGTGGTGGCCATGCTTGGCACACGACGCAACCCCCACTACCTCTAGACAGGCTTGTGAGAGTTTATAGAGCGCGATGGGGATGGAGGGTGGGAGAACCTCCGCGCCGCACTGGCGCCTGTGCGCGCCCCGGGCGGGGCACACGCCTGCGCCCCCGCCCTGACGCGGCCCCGCCGAAGAACGGCGAGAACAATGGACGGGGACGTCCAATATGCGGATTACCATTGGACCACCGCCGTAGTAAATCCGATTGCGATTGGACGCCCGTTGAGGATGAGGGAGATCACACTCCCTCGACTGATCTGAACTCTGCTTCCCCCATTCCCACAGTCACCGGCGCTCAACACTTGGGTGTCAGAACTCAGAAAGAAAGAAAGAAAACAGACAACCCAAGGGAGGAAAAGAAAGAAAGCGAGAAAACAGACAACCCAAGGGAGGGGTGGGAGGGTTCACTTGAGCGTCAAAAAAAACACAGACAACCCGGAGCACCCAAGGGAGGGTTACACTTGAGCGTCAAAAAAACAAACAGACAACCCAAGGGAGGATGGGAGGGTTACACTTGAGCGTCAAAGAAAGAAAAAAGTAAAAAGAAAACAGACAACACAAGGGAGGGATGGGAGGACGGCACGCCGCCACCACACAGGAATTTTAAGGAGAGAGTGTGGTGCTAGCCGGCAAACCTGCTTTTTCAATGTATGTGGCTCTCTCTCCCCCCTCTCTCCCCCCTCTCTTACGTACATACATTCCCGGACGGAGGAGGACTGCTGACAGGGTTTTTCAGTGTATGTAGCTCTTACGTACATTCCCGTAGGAGGACTCTGCTGACAGGGTTTGCGAAGAGGAGCGATCCGAAGGGTTTCTCGGAGGTTAGTGCACCACTACCGAAGCGCAAGCGCTGGCAACCACGTTTTCTTTTTTGTTGTATTCGCCGTAGCTAGGGTTGTGACGGGCCACCCTGTCCAGCTCCAGTTGGGCTGGAATGCTCGAGGCCAGTGACCGCCGAGCTCTCGCCGCGGGCGGAGGGTCCTACCTCGCCGTCGTCTGCGCCTCGCAGGCGGTTCAGCTCGTCGCCGGGATCACGACGGCCACTCCACTCCTCCCGACGCTGCTCGGGGCCTGCACCGTCGGCGGCGCTTCTGCCGTCGCTCTGCGTGCCGCAGACGCTGCTGGCGGCAGACGCCGCTCGCTTGCGTCGACATACGCGTGCCACAGCGGCGGGTCGGCCGACGCGACGGCGGCGCTGGCGGGCGCGGCCCTGCACGTGTGCTTTGGCTTGGGGGTGCGATTCTGGGCTCTCAGCCCGTCGAGCCTCGCCGCCGAGGGCGCATTCGCCTGGGCGGCCGCCTCGCTGCCGGCGGGCGAGGGATACGCCTCCACGCCCCAGAGGGAGGCGCTGCAGCGATTTGGCCGCCTCGCCGGCTGCCACTCTTGCGGCACCCGCTTTGCGGCGCAGTATGTCGGCGACCACGTGCCTCCTCTCTCGGTGGCGAGCCGCCGCCCGCGGCTGCTCAGCGCGGTGCTCGGCCGGCCGGCCTTCCGCTTCTACCCGCAGTGTCGGGCCTGCTCCGCCCAGCAGGCGGCGACGATGAACCGCCGCGCGCGTGACCTGCCCTCCACCCTCGCGAGCCGTGCCGTCTACCACCTGCCGTCGCCGCTGCGCGCCACGAGCTACGTGGGCGTGGCGGTCGTCGCCCTCGCGCTCGCCGCCGAGGCCGACGTCGGTCCCGCCCGCAGAGCTCTCTCCATCGCGTCGGGCGCCGCGGACGCCACTCGGCAAAAGCTTCTGTCGGCCCGTGCGACCTGCGTTCGCGCTTGTGTGGCCGCCCGCAGCGCGCACCTTCACGCTGAGCCTGCCTTTCATTTCTGCGCAAGCGGATCCCGGCGGATTCTGAGTAAATAAAAAGTAGAATACTCAGCCCGTCCCAAATTCAGCAGGGTCGGGCGCCGGAGGAGGCGCTTCTACACAGTGCGGCTCACCGCGGACAAATGTGTCTGCAGGCCCTGGGTCACATTTTCGTCGTACTCCTCGCCCTCCTCCTCACCGTCGCCCCAGCGCCGCTTGGAGGTCGATCCTGAGCCCGCGAGCTGCGCTCGGAGCAGCGCGACCGCCCGGGCGGCCTGCTCCGCCGTGAGGCCGACGTCGCTGCGGGTCTGCACGACGTGCCCCTCAAACATCGCCCTCCGTTCGGCACACTCCTCTCCGTCGAGGAGCTCCTCGTCGTCGAGGCACACCCACGCAGCGGGAGCCTGGCCCTGCGCGCGCCTCCGCTCTAGCCAGCTCGCGATCTCGTGCTGCCGTGCGCCAAAGTGTTCGGTGGAGGTGGCGTCTACGAAGGCGGTCACGGCGCCGAGCGGGCTGCCATCGTTGGCCGCGCCGAACCGGCGGAACTCGTCGAGGATGTCGGCGACAAAGGCCGGCTGCGCCCGCCAGGTGGAGGAGAGGACGAGCCGCGGCTCGCAGGGCAGCGGGGCGGCGAGCAGCGCTGACAGCGCGGACAGGCACGCGTCGTCGAAGAGGGCGGGCGGCTCGACTGCAGCCGCATTCGACCCGAACGGCAGCAGCACTCCATCGATGTCGAGGAAGACGATCACTCCACCGGAGCTCGAAGCTGACATGAAAGCTCAGGAGGCGGAGTTTGGTGCACACGTTTTTGTGTGCAGTGGGCTTCGCGGGCTCGGCGCGTGCACATACAGTGGGTTGCGGGCATTAAGAAAACATGACCGCGCCGTTTCTAATCTTTCCACAGCGCTCATCCACCCCACGCCGTGGTTTCTTAGCTCCGGCCGGGGCACTCAAGCCAGAGCGCCGGCCCGAAAGATTTTTAGGTAATAAGAGGTAAGCTGCGGTCCGCCCGCGAGGGCGATGCCAGACAGAGTCTGCCGCCGAGTCGGCTCTCTGTCTGGATGACGGGAAGACGCACACGCCTCCGTTCACTCCATCCACTCAGAACACCGCAGACTTGGAAAGTGACAAGTGCGCGCGCCCGCAGGCGAAGAGAAATTTTGAGCTGCAGCTGGGCCTCCCGTTCACGTAAACGCACACCCGTTCACACTCGCGTCTGGCCTTTTCTCGGGGCCGCGCCTGCGGCGCGCCGTGGTTTCTTAGATTTTTGCGGAAATCGCTTGGTAGGGTTTCTTAATTGGACGCTTTCTTAATGCCCGCAACCCACTGTAGTGTCTGTAGGTGTGGGACTTGCACGGGGAGAAAAGAGAGATTCAGGCCCCTAAGGGCCCTAGTACGCGCGGCGTGAGAGCTCGGAAGCGAGCTTTGCACGGCGATCGAGGATGGCGCGGTTCTCCCCCTTCATTCACCGACCGAACGAAGCGATGGAGATGTCTCTCCAGTCCTCCACAGTGTGTATGTATGTAGCTCTTACGTACATTCCCGGAGGAGGACTGCTGACAGGGTTTGCGATGAGGAGCGACGCGATGGGTTTCTCGGAGGTTAGTGCCACTAACCGCCGAAGCGCAAGCGCTGGGAGCAAGAACACTACGACCTGGGTCGGGCTCATACTTACTAGCACCCCACCTCGCGAGCCGACGTTCTGGCTCAGCGAGGTGTTGCTGCGGAGCACTCGCGGACCGGTTCTTCTGGTCCAGCGAGGCCGCTGCGGGGCACCCGGCGGCTCGGGTCACTTCTGTCTTCTCATCGCAAACTCGGTCGAGCAGGAGGTAAGGTGTGTGCGTGTGGGAGGCGGCGCGGCACTGTGGGAGCGGCGGTACGGCGGCGGCAAGGGTCGGCGGTAAGGCGGCGCGGCGGCAACAGACGGCAGGCAGGGCATCGGACGGCGGGACAAACGGCACGGCGGGAGCGGCAGACTGTAGGAGAGGAGCGGCGGTACGGCGGCACGGCGGTAACGATCCCTATGTAGTCTGGCCGATTCTTTTCGCGGTATCCGCGGCGGGATATGGCGGGATATGGGGGGATATGGCGGGATACGGTCAGATATGGAGAGATACATCAAGATACCGCAAAAGACTAGGGCTGTAACGGACGGCAGGGGGGGCGGCAGCAATAATATCGTTGGCCGAAGCCTCGTTGGCCGCGGCCTCGGTGGCCGAAGCCTCGGTGGCCGAAGCCTTATGTTATTAATCGGGAGGTGTGGGGAGATGTGGGGAGGTGTGGGGAGGTGTGGGGAGGTGTGGGGAGGTGTGGGGAGGTGTGGGGAGGTGTGGGGAGATGTGTGGGGAGATGTGTGGGGGGATGTGGGGAGATGTGGGAGGTGTTGGGAGGTGTTGGGAGGTGATGGGAGGAGTTGGGAGGTGTGGGGGTATGTGGGGAAAAGTTGGGGAGATGTTGAGATGTTGGGAGATGTGGGGGAGGTGTGGGGAGGTGTGGGGAGGTGTGGGGAGGTGTGGGGAGATGTGGGGGGTGGGTGGGGAGGTGTGGGGAGGTGTGGGGAGGTGTGGGGAGGTGTGGGGAGGTGTGGGGGGGTGTTGGGGTGTGGTAGCAGGAGCAGCATCAGCAGCAACAGCAGCAGGAGCAGCAGCACATGTTAGGTCAGCCGCACAGAGGGCCGCGAGGTTGAGGTCAAAGAGCAGCAAGATGTTGAGGTCAAAAAACGGTCGATTTCGAAGTTGCTCGAGACGGCCCGGAAAAAGGGAAATGGCCCCGCGCCGAAGCCCCGGTGTCGGCGCACCGCATCTCGGCCGCGAGACCCGGTTCCGCCGCCCAAACGAGCAGCAGGAGCTCGGGCACAACTTTATCGACTAACAGGTTGAGGAAAATTTCGGCGAAGAAGCGGCACCGGCTGCACGCCGGGACGGACCCGGACCGCTCCCATTGTTCAGAAGCGCGGTGGTGACACGAGTGGTGAGCCACAACGGACCCACACAAGGAGCCGGATAGCCGGGGAGTCGTCGCGGGGTGCACCGCAGACCCGCAGACCGCGCCGCCACGAGCGAGGCGAGAGACGAGAGCGGCAGCAGCCGACATTATCGGGGTCTGCGTCCGTCCACTTTTGACCATTTTTTAGTGAGCGCGAATCTGGAAAAAGAAAAGGGACGCATAGGACACCTCCTCACCCTCGGCCTCGGCGGCCGACCCGGCCGAGTGGGCGTGCCCGCTGGCGCGTTCCCCGCACAGACTACCCCCCTGTCACCACCACCGCCGCCACACCACCACCACCACACACACCACCGCCCAGCTACGCGCGCGCCCACCATCAGCTCGTCTCGTACACGTCCCTCCCGTCGGTCCAGTAGCCGTCTCTGGTGACGGTCTCACCGCGCGCGGCCAGCATCTCCTCCACATTCTTGTCGTCGCCGAACCAGCCGAGGTTGTCCGCGATGAGGTGCAGCTTGCCGTGGCAAGGGCAGCGGGCAAGCACGACGCCCTTCTCGTACGAGCTCCGGCTGATCTGCTTGACCACCTCGCGCTCCGAGTCGGGGATGCCGTCGTCTGGCGCGTGTGTGCACGTGAAGCGGAGGAGGAGTTTCGGTCCGGCCGTCCTGACACCGGGCGCGGCGGCTGCGTCCCACCCGTCGCCGCGATCGGCAGAGGCCGCTCCCGAGGGCCCGCCCTCGGCGGGCAGCACCGCCGCCGCCGGGTCGGCTTTGCGGATGCGCTGCGCGGCTTGCTGCAGCGCCGCGGCCAGCGCGCTGTCGACGTCGGTCGAGAGGCCTCTCCGCTGCAGCAGCGCGCGGCACTGCGGCCACGCCCGCGGCGGCGCTCGCGGCCATCGACGGAGCATCGCGGGCCCAGAAGGCCGTGGGGCGGAGAAATCTAGATGCGCTGTCTGGTAACCAACGAACCCTGCCCAGCCCCCCTCCGTGTCGCGATGCGCTCCCCGCTCCCGTTCCCCGGTGTCCCTGATCGTCCTTACAAGATCCTGCTCGTGCAGGTGGGGACCCTGTCCTTCTCCCACCCCTCGTTTGGCGTGTGCGTTGTATTTATTTATTTATACGTAAGGATCCCCGTGTGGCGGCGTACCGTCCTCCCATCCCTCCCTTGGGTTGGCTGTTTTCTTTCTTTTTTTAGGATCCCTGTGTCGTGCACGCCCTCCGAGCGGGGCGGGGTCTGCCCGTCGGGTTGCTGCCCTAATCCCACCAGGGGTTGTCTGCTCTATTTAATATACACACACACTGGCCTCTTCACACCGTCGTCGGTTTTCACACCCACACCTTGCTTAGGAGCCGAACCAGGTACCGACCCAGTGAGCGCCGGCGTTCACTAACCCCGTTGGGGGGCGACTGTTGGCTACCAGGTCCAGGGGGCCCACAGTCCTGCCACCAGTACAGTCCCTGGCATACCAAACCTCCAGGACTCCTTCCGCCCTCACAGGCCGCGCGACAACGGCACAGGCCTCACGTTCGGCTGCCGCGCCAGATTATGGGGTGAGCCCACAGCCCACTCAGCCCACAACCCCGCAGCGCGCTCCGGACGGCTCGAGGGCGCGACCCTCGCCGCGATCTCCGCCCGCGCGCGGTCTGTGTGCTGATCGCCACCATCGCCTATTGATTGCCGCGACCGTGCCCCGCGTGGCGACAGTTTCTTCAAAAAGGCCGAGATCGACAAGAACTATGACATCGAGAAGAGCCAGCTGGGCTCTGGCAACTTTGCCGTCGTCAAGCTTGCCACATACAAGGCGTGCCACATACGGACCGACGCCGCTCGCCGCACGCCTGATCCGCATCTGATGCCCGGCCGCCTCGCACCCTTCGCACCCCTCCCACCCCTCCAGCGCCCTCCCGCCCCTTCGGCGCCTCGCCACCCCGCGCGTGGCGGTCTGCCGCCGACCCCGCGCGCTCTGCTGCCAGGGCCCGGAGAAGAGCGGGGTTCCCCTCAAGAAGGGCGACAAGGTTGCCGTCAAGCAGATAGACAAGGCTAAGGTTGAGGACATGAATGATATCACGGTGCGGGACTCGATTCCCCTGCACCGCCCCTGCGCATCAGCTTCCCCGCAAATCGCCTCCCCTGCGCGTCACTCCGCTGCGCAGCTTCTCCCCGCGGGCGGCGCCTCCCGCACTCTGCCCGCCCCGCCTCCTCCTCCCTCCCCGCCCCGCCTCCTCCCTCCCCGCCGCCCCGCCTCCTCCTCCCTCCCCCGCCACCTCCTCCCGCCCCTCACTAATCATCAATAAGAGGTGATCGCATGCGCCACCCACCGCCTCCACCGCCCCCACCGCCACGCCTCTCCTCGCCGTCTCTGCTCTCTCCTGGCCTCACCGTACCTCGCCCACCTCCTCCTCCTCCCCCTCGCCCACCCCCCCTCCTCGCCGCGCGCAGCGCGAGATCGAGATCATGCAAAACACAAAGCACCCGAACGTCATCACCCTCTTCGAGATCTACGACGAGCCGAAGCGCATGTGCGCCCCCCCTGCGCTCCACCGACCAGCCCAGCTGCTCGTGCGAACGTGCCTCTCCCACCCACCGCCAGCCCTCTGCTGCCCTCTCTACTCTCTCTCTCTCCTCTCTCTCTCCTATGCGGCATATCAGGTCCCTCGTGATGGAGCTCTTATTATTATTATTATTATTATATTATTATTTGCATATCAGGTCCCTCGTGATGGAGCTCGTCACGGGCGGAGAGCTCTTCGACCGGATCGTCGCTAAGAGCCAGTGCGCCTCGTAGCACACCAAACTAGCTCACGCACGCACACACGCACACACAGCACACACAGCACACACAGCACACACAGCACGGGGCAGCCGGAGCGGCGGGGGCGGCGGGGGCGGCCTGCGCCTGGACGCGTCGCCGACACGTCCTGCGCAGGTACACCGAGAAGGAGGCTGCGGACTGCATGAAGCAGCTCTGCACCGCCCTCGCCTACCTGCACAGCCAAAACGTCGTCCACCGCGACCTCAAGCGCAGTTGCAATGAATGGTGGAGTGACGAGTGATGATCAATGATGACATAGGTCGTCCACCGCGACCTCAAGCCGGAGAACATCCTTTACGCGGCGGCGGAGGACGACCCGTCCGGCCACGGCAACCTGATCAAGGAAGCCGCGCGCCACGAGGGGAGGGGGCGGGGGGCTCGCACACTCACGCTGCCAACCCACGCTGCACCGCGCCTGCCGCTTTGACAGCCGCGGGGCGCCTCTCCATCTTGAGATGCGGGCGAGAGGCTGCACATTCCCCACCGCGCGCGCGTGAAGAAGCGTCGCTCACTTCGCCTCGCCCCACCTGTCCTCAGGTCGCTGACTTTGGTCTCGCGCGCGTCGTCTCTGGCGCGATCCGCCGAGAAGAGAGAAGGCTCCCGTCCCCGGACACGTCCACGACGCGTCCCTCCCTCGCCGCAGGCTCGACCGTCATGAAGACGGCTTGCGGGACGCCGGGGTACGTGGCGCCCGAGATTCTGAAGAACAAGGGCTACGATTCGGGCAAGGCGCGCGGGGCGGCAGGGGCGGGGGGGCAGGGGCAGGGGGAGGGGGAGGGGGAGGGAGAGGAGGCAACCGGGTCTACCGGCGCGAGGACCTCCGCCCGCTCAGGTGGACATCTGGTCGGCGGGCGTGATCCTCTACATCCTACTGTGCGGCTTCCCGCCCTTCTACGAGGAGGAGCTGCCCGCGCTCTTCGACCAGATCCTGCACGCGCGCTACGACTTCCCCTCGCCCTGGTGGGACAACATCTCGCCCGACGCCAAGAACTTGGCGCGCCGCCGCCCCGCCCCGCCGCCGCCCCTCGCCGCTTCCCCCCGTCTACACCTTCTCTCGTGATCGGTCCGGGGGGAGGCGGGATTTGCGGGAGTGGAGGGTGGGGCGTCGCCCACGGCGAGGGGCGGCCCCGCAGGCAGGCTGACGGGTGGTCGGGTCGCCGCTTCGCCGCCGCAGGTGAAGGCGATGCTGACGCTGGACCCGCTCAAGCGGATTAGCGCCGACGATGTGCTCAGCCATCCCTGGATAAAGGGCGGCGCGCCGGACACGGAGCTGGAGGGGGCGAAGGCGTCGCTCAAAAAGTACCAGGCGAGTAGGAAGCTCAAAAAGGCGGCGCTCGGCATCATCGCGCAGAACCGGATCAGTGCGATGGCGGCGCAGATGAAGGAGCTGCAGGTTGGGGGGGACGGGAAGTAGCCCGCCACACGCCCCAGCCTCGGGAATGGCGCCGCTGCTCCTGCTCTACACCTCGCGTCTCGGCACGATTTGCGCTCGCACCTCGCCGTGCTACCAGTCAGGGGAGCGCAGGGTCTCTCCAACTCTCCCCAACACGGTCACCGACATGCGCCCCCCGGGTCCGATAACCGCTACCTAGCAACTGTGTTCGATGTACACCCTCTTCTGTCGCCATACAGCTCGTGTGACAGCGGTGGGCTCGCCCTCACAGCTCACTGGCCCTCAGTCACTTGTGCTGCGGCTTGTGTGAGCGACACTGCTCGGCTCGACTCGTGCCGTCTGCCGGCACACTGTCACTGACATCACTGTGTGAGACCATGGGAGAGAAGGTAAAATCACGCTACCCCAGCGCTTCGTTACACCTTACACTGGGGCTCGGCGACACGTCACACGACGGCGACTGGGCCGCCGCCGACACTGATCACTGTTTGAGATTGAGTATTGAATCGTTGAGACCATCCATGGCGGGGGTCGGCGGGCTGGGGGCCGGGCTACACCCCCGTCGGCCAGGTAGGAGGAAGGTGTTAGAGAGGTGAAGAACAGCCAGGCGTTCGAGCCCCAGGCTCGGACTAGGTTGTACTTGTAGAGGGGTCTCGTATGTGGCCCACTGTGCCACACCCAAGTACCGCGACTCCACAACAACAAGCGTCATTCGCTGAGCGCTTCCTCAGCGGACGGGGACGAAATAACACAAACGGGATTCGTGGGACTCCCCACACTTACCAAGAAACGGGTTAAAACTCAGTCAAGACTTAGCTGCCAGCCACCGAAGCAGCAGCTCGTGCTCAAACGCCTCCTTCTGCGCGCGCCATTTCTCACTCGCGCGACGCTTCACAGTGTACGCCCTGTTACACTCCCAGCAGCGACGATCGAGCCCGTCAGCCGTGCTACTGTCACGAGTAAAGTCCTCGATCGACTTCACAGCCTTGCACTTAGTGCACGTCTTAACTGCAGTGCCGTCCATTTCCTATACACATCATGGGAGGACGGCACGGGGGGAACTAGACACTAGTGTCGTGAGGCATTTGTTCTAAAATTCTTCTCTGGGGAGTGGTGGTGTGACTGCTCCTGTGGTGCGGGCGACGGCTTCTGAGGAAGCCGTCGCCCGCGCCTCGCCTGTCGCGTGAATCGTGTCGTGCGACCGCCTTGGATTCTAAAAACTTTTAAGAATTCTTCTCCGCGACCGACCCGACACCAGAAGTGATCTGATCTCACTGGGCACCGACGCTCCTGCTCGAGCCACAGAGGCCACGGTAGTGGACGTGGTGAGCTCCGGACGACTCTGGCACGCGGTGCTCCGCGCCGATCCTACGGCGGCCGCGGCCGCCGTGGCGCGGGGCGCCGAGCCACTGCGCGTTGTCCTGCTGCACGGGATACTGCAGAGCTGCTCATGTTGGCTCGAGGTGGCGTGTGCGCTGTCTCTACGGGGCCACGAGGTCCTCCTGCTCGACTGGCCGCACCACGGACGCTCGCCCACCGCCGCGCAGATCGGCGTCGCGATGAGCGCCGACGGCTTCCTCCTCTCGCTGGAGCGGCTTCTCGCCGCCGTCGGCTGGGCGCACGGGCCGCCGCTGGCGCTGGCCGGCTGCTCGCTCGGCGGCGTGCTCGCGCTAAAGTACGCGTGCGCCCACCCTGCCCGAGTGGCGCGGCTGACGCTGGTTGCGCCGGCGGGCCTCAGCGAGCCGGCGTGGAACCTCCCCTTCCACGTCCTCAGCCGGCTGGTCGGCTCCCTCCCGCACAAGCTAGCCGAGCTCTGCCGGCAGACGCCGACCTACGGCGTGAACGAGGAGGAGGTGGTGGCGATGGCGGAGCGGCTGCGGCCGGAGGGCGGTCTCAGGGTGGTGGTCGCCGGCTGCGACCTCGTGCACACGCCCCACGAGGCGTTCTGGACGTCGCTCGTGCCGCCGTCCAACTTTTCCCTCCACCGGCTCACATCGCACTGGTGGCTCTGCAGCCACCTCTTCGGGCTGCGGCTGCACGAGGAGCCCGGGTGCTGGGAGAGGAGCGCGGCGCAGCCGCGATCGAGACTCTGAGACGCAGAGCTGACGCGTATGCCCCAGGTAACTGGATCCTGCCACCTCACCCCCCTGGGGCCCACGCCCTGCCCCCCTCGTCTCACGTCTGGCGTACGTGGTGGAGTGGTGGTGCCAGTTGCTTTCAGGCGACCGCAGGCGGCTCTCACGTCTCAGAGCTCTCCGTCGTGTCTCGACCCGGCACCCGCGCCGCGCGCGCGGCCGAGAACGCAGAGCAAAACTCTTGTGGCCGTTTCGGAGCCTCCTCGAATCAAGACTGTAAACTCAACACAAGTGTAGTATATGCGCACACCCACACATGCGCCCCGCACTACGTTATCGTAGCACACGTCAGCTGGGCACAAAACCCGCGTCGGGCATGAGACGCAGCCATCGCCCTGAGTCCTCAGTGAAGGCGTCGCATGCAAACACGTCAAACTCGGTCGTCAGGTCCCGCAGCATCTCGCCCGCCACCGCAGCCTCGCCCGCGGCGGGCACTGCCGCCGCGCCGCTAGATTGCGGGGGCGACGGCGCGGGCGATATGGGTGAGGGGGCTGGCGCGCGCGGCGGCGGGGGAGGCGGCTCCTCCCGGATGAAGACCTGGATCTGCGGGTCGACCGGCTCAAAATCGGGCGCCGCGGTCACGTGCTCCTGCTCGTGCTGCGTCTCGACCCAGTGGTACGTTTTGCAGCGGTCGACCCACTTGCAGTTGATGCAGATGCAGCTACGAGGCGGGGCGCACCGCGCGCCGCCGAAGACCCCCGCCGCCGCGGGTCTCGCCGCGACGGCGAGAGAGGCGGGGGAAGCGATGATTCTCATGTTTATGCGCCGAAGCCCGAAGGCGTAGGGCGCGCAGCCTTTCACACTTTCATCACACCGGCGTCCTCACTCACACACCGGAGTGGACTGTGTTGACTCCTCGGGTTTCTGGGACTCGACAGAGGTGTGCTAGTCGCTACAGTCGGACGGCTCCGGCACGTCTGATAGGCAGTTCGGGCTCGAGTGAGGGCCGCGGTCGCGGTCGCGGGGCCTGGCTGGGGCTGCCGGGGTGAATCTCGATCCACGCGCCGGAGCGCGCGTGGTGCTTGAGCAGCCGGGCGGTTCCTTGTGTGAACGATCTGCGTCTTGGGTCGTGGTAGTGTTGTCTTTGCTTCTCTTTTTCGCCCCCCGTTGAGTGTCGCGTTGGCCGATACACACATGTCCGGCGTGCGCGTCATGGGCGCCAAGGCCGCCGCCGCCGCCGACGGCGGCGGCGCGGCCTCCTCGTCTGGCGCGAGGCTGATGACGCCGCAGCTGGAGCTGTGTGCCGATGAGGTGCGGCCGCTGCTGGGGGAGAACACCGACTTCACGGTCGTCGGCGTGCTCGGCTGCCAGGGCGTGGGCAAGTCGACCATCATGTCGCTGCTGGCCGGCGCGGGGTGGCGGGGTGGCGGCAGCGACGCCGCAGCCGACACCGCGGCGGACTCGATGGCGGGAGGCGGCGCCGAGCTCGCCAACCCGCCCTTCCCACCCAACCCGCCCGAGGCGTGGGCGCGCGGCGCGCACGGCACGAGCGGCGTCGACGTGCAGGTGACCGCCGAGCGGCTCATCCTCCTCGACACGCAGCCGCTCCTCTCTGCGTCGCTGCTGCTCTCTATGACCGGCTCACCGGTGCCTCCGAGCGTGCACTCGCACGAGAACCTGCTCGAGGTGCAGGCGCTGCAGCTGTGCGCGCTCCTCCTCTCCGTCTGCCACGTCGTCCTCCTCGTGCAGGACGCGGCCGCCGACGTGCGCTGGTGCTCGCCGAGTAGTCGGGGAGAGAGTAGTCGCCGTAGCCGGCGTGTCGCGCGTGGGCCTCTGCAGGAGGGTCTCTGGAGTTCGGCAGCGGCCGGTGAGCGAGTGAGGCGGTGGTTCGAGCGCCCAGCCGTCTCTGCTAGGTGGCGGCTGCTGCGCGCGGCCCAGATGGTTGGCCACCGGCTGCCCGACATCGCAACCGCCCTCGCACCTGCCGCCGGCCCGCCGCCGCCGCCGCCGCCGCACGCCCAGCAGCCTCCTCCGCCTGGGCAAGGTGGCGGCGCCGGCGGAGGAGGGGCCGCCGCCGCGGCCGAGGTGACCGCTGCGCCACCGCCGGGCGGCGGTGCGGGCGGGGGAGGGAGCGACTACCGGCCAACGCTCGTCTGTGTCATCAACCGGCTGCCGTTCGCGAGGCTAGGTGCGAGATGCGCCGAGATGAGGCGAGATTGGCCGAGGTGTGGTGTGCGAGCCTATCTCGCGCGCGCCCGCCTCCGCACGCCTCCAACGCGCCAGCTCTCCCTCTCCCCCGAGGAGTGCACCTCACCTGACGCTAGGCTGCGCGCCCGACCGAGCGGGCGTGCGCGAGACGCTCGCGGCGCCAGATGCTGGACACGCACCCTCGCACTCTAGCAAGCCCTCCAGACGACACGAGCTCGGCCGTGAGCGACACAGCTCGACCCGCCAGCGCTGCACTCGTCGGCTCTCGCACTCACCCAGCCTCGTCCGCGTGTGTCGATGTCGCAGGCTCGCCTCCCTCCTCTCCGCCTCCGCGCTAGGGATGCCGTCGGCGTCGGAGCCGCCGCTCGTGTTCGCGCTGCCTTGCGCCAGCGAGCGAGCGCCCACCTCGTCGCACGCCGGCTACCGCCACGAGGCCGAGCAGCTGAGAGACGCCGTCCTCGGCCTGCCCCGCCGCCCGTTTGCGAGGTCCCTTTCCGAGCGCGACTGGCTGCGTGGCGTGGTCAAGCTTTGGGAGCTCGTCCGCCGCTCGCCCACGCTCGACGAGTACAACCGTGCGACGCACAAGCTCCACCAGTGGGCGTGATAGTAACCAACTGGCTTTCATGTCGAGCTCGGCCCGGCGGTCGGGGATGGCGGCCCACCGCACCGCAGAGGGAGAGGCCCTCCAGAGACCAGACCGCGAGCGCAGTCCTGCAGCAAGTCCTGCACAGCACTCAGCAGCACACGCTGCCGACCCAAAACGCAAAAGCGCTCTCCAAGTGCTCCCCGACCATCCAAGACCATAAGTAGAGCAATCCTACTTCCTAGCAAGAGCCAAGACACCTCGCGCAAGACCCAAGCGAGCTCCGAGCAAGGTCTAGTGATCTAGGCTCGTCACCAGATCAGTGTCGTCACGGAGAAAATGAGACTTTTCTTCCATACATGGATCTGCGGACAATACATCGACAGTTCGACAGACATTGACCAAATCTTCACATCGCACACAGCCATGGATGTGCACACACAGAGGGGGGGCCAGCTCGTGCAGCCGTTCGACTGGCCAGGGCCTCACATGCGCGCGGCTTCGTAGAGCGGCATCCGACACACGCTCCGGCTCCGCGAGAACGGCGGAATCCGGACGATGCCTATACAGAGAGGTTCGGGGAGGGGCGCTATCCCCCCCCATCCGAGCAAGCACACTCATGCGAGGGTACACATACTTTGCCAGATCTGCATGCACGAGCACGCTTTGCCAACGTCTCTGGGTGTGCCCCACAGCACCTCCCGCGGCAGGGCGGGCGGGGGCGAGCAGAGAGGTCATCGCCTCTCCGCGGCACACCGGCGGGTCGCGCTCAGCCCGCCTTTGCCGCCGAGCAGGCATTCATCAGGAAGGTGAAGAACTGCACCTTCTCGCCGCGCGTTCGCAGGTAGCGCTCCTGCAGCCGGAAGCAGAGGCTGGCGTAGTCGGAGAGCTCGATGTTGGTCTCGAAGCTGATGAGCTTGAGGAAGTTGATCTCCCAGCGCGAGATCTGTCCGACCTGGACGTTGGAGATCTTCAGCGCGCGCAAGAAGTCCTCGTTCCAGACCGGCTCGTCGAAGCACAGCTTGGCCGCGACCACAAAGCCCGACAGGACCGATGGCTGCCAGTTGAGCCGCGTGAGCTCGAAGTTGTCGTTGGCCACGAGGCGCTCGAGGTAGGTGACCATCGCGATGATGCACGAGTTGGGCAGGTTGAGCTGCCGGCAGATGGTCTCGATGTACTCTTTCATCTCTGCTCTCGTCGACACGTGCGGCTGCGGCGAGCCTGCCGGAATCTCCGCCTTGGTCATCGCCTGCAGGGGCGGGAGAGGCGGCAGTGAGGGGAGAGGCGGCAGGGAGGGGAGGAGCCGGCAGCGGAGAGGAGGGAGGGGAGGAGAGAGGCGGCAGGATTTGCGCCTCGAGGTGCATGGCGCAAGCCTCGCAGACGAGCGAGCGGCTCGCCTCCGTCTGAGGCTGCTCCGCCTCGCGCGCGCGCAGCTGGTGCAGCACGGCAAACGACTTGTTCTTGGGCAGCCGCCCGCCGCACCGCTCGCCCGCGCCGCCGCCGCTCCCCTCTGCCTCGCCGGCTCCCAGGCTCTGCAGCGCCGCGGCGGCCGACTCGTTGCGGCGCATGCGGGAGAGAGACGACGCATCGGGCGACCGGTTGAGCAGCGCGAGCGAGGCGTCCTTGCTCGCGCTGGGCGCGCAGGCCGACGCCGAGGGCGACGGTTCTCCAGATGTGGACGGGGACGACGTGTCGCACCGACCAGCCTTTGCCTGCTGCTGCTGCCGCTGCTGCTGCTGCGTGGACTGCTCGGCGTCGGCGCCTGCACGCCAGCAGAGGCTTGACGGCTTAGCCAAAGGTGGGACTGCGCGGAAAGGGGCGCGCGGGCACACAGATAGAGCGTCCCACTCTCTCTGTGCGCGCTCAGAGAGTGGCCGTTTCGCGCGCGGCGCACCGTGCTTGTCCGCTCCGCCGAGGCCAAAGATGCCTTTTCCAGACCCGTACGCCTTGACGGCCGCCAGCATCGTGGGGCGAGACGGCCCGCGAGCTGTGGCGAGACGCTGCAGGGCGACGAGGCCGCGGCTAATCGCGTTGGTGCCGAAGTGTGTGCTCTTGCGTTTTGTGTCTTGACGAGGCTAATGATGTAAGCGGGTTTTCTTTTGAGTTACCCCAGCCGGACGTCGCACCGGGCACGCGGGTCTCCCCGCACGATATGCTAGCACATACAGATGTTAGATGCAAGGTGGGCCCAGGTAGCTGCCTAGCTGGCTCCGCCACCTCACTCACCCCTCGTCATGCCACCTGAATGAAAGCCAAGCGCGGGCTCTCTATGACCACATGAGGGCTCAGGTGCACCCAGCCAACAAAAGAAATGGTTTGGTATTGCTAAAAATGTCTCTCTCTCCCAGCCAAAAGGTGGCTTCGACGCGGGCGAGGCTGCAGGGGCGAGGACCACTCCATCGTCCATCGACCGAGGCTACCTGCACAGCTCCCTCGCGCCGCACCACGTGGGGGCTGTGGAGCACGTGTGCCCACGGAAACGGAAATCCGAGCCACCGAATATGTCTAAATCAATCGGACACGCCAAACGAGCTACCGAGGGGTGGGAGAAGGACGGTCGCTCCCTCTACCAGCACGAACAGGATCTTTCTTGCGAAAAGCGCGAAGGACGACGTCAAGGACACACATGGGAACGGGAGCGGGGAGCGCATCTCGCGACACGGAGCGAGGGGGGCTGGGCAGGTTCACCCACGACAGGGTCCCAGGGATTCCTCTCTCGTATAGGACAGGTTGCACCCGCGGCGGCACGGGTCTCCCTCTAGCTCTACACCGCTCTCCTAGTTAATATCTCCTGCTCCCGACAAAAGGGACAGCGACGGTAGCACACTAGCGACCTTCCTCCAGCTTCTCATCTCTCACTACCACCTTCCTCCACGCAGCTATTTCTTTTCCCCCACTCCCCCAACGCTTCGTGCCCGTCGCGCCTCACGCACGGATGGGGAACTCGGAGAGCCAGCCGATTCGCAACTCCGACAAGCGGACCGCTCGGAGGGACAACGCGGAGCTATTCAACGCTGCCATCTGGCGCTATCGAGGTGACGTACTCGGTCCGCTGCCGCAACCGTTCGAGGGCCCGAGTGGGGACGATTGCGAGTCAGAGCACCAGAGGGTGCGGGTATGTGTGCGGAGGCGGCCGCTGTTTCCGCACGAGCGGCGCGCGGGCGAGTTTGACGTGCTTTCCCGCGCCGGCAACGATGCGATTGTCGTGCACGACTGCCGCATGCGGCCCGATTGCCGGAACCTTCTCATCAATCACCACAGCTTCACCTTCGACCGCGTCTTTGACGAGGAGGCGACGACGGACGAGGTGTACTCGGCCGAGGTCCTCCCGCTCGTGCGGCGCGCGGCGGCAGGCTCAGTGGCCGCGACGGTGCTGATGTATGGGCAGACCGGGTCTGGCAAGACGTTCACGATGGCCGGGCTGCATTCGCGGCTCTGCGACGACCTCTTCGCCAGCCTCAGTCCGGCGGATGAGGTCACCGCCACACTCACAGAGCTGGGCGTCGGCGGTGCGCGCGACCTCCTCCGCGGCGGCGACGTGTGCCAGGTCCTCGCAGACCCGGCCACGGGCACGGTCGAGCCGCTCCCATGCGCCGAGGTACGCGTGGACGGCGCCACAGGGCTGCGAGCTCTCTTTGAGTACGGGGCGAGCCTCCGCGAGACAGCGGCGACAGGCGTGCACGACGCGTCGAGTAGATCGCACGCCGTCTTTCGTCTCCACGTCCAGCGTGCGGGCGTCCCCGGGGGCTCGCTCACACTCGTCGACCTGGCCGGGTCGGAGCAGCGCATCGACGCCGACAGCCACTCTTCTGAGCGAACGCGAGAGAGCGCGGCCATCAACGCCTCCCTCCTCGCGCTCAAGGATTCGGTCGCTTCGCTCAATGGCGGCGGCGAATTCCGCTCGGCGGCCGGCGGGCGTCACCCGCTGACCCTTCTGCTGCGCCCCTCCTTCGAACGAAGCAGCGAGGCCGGCCGCCAGGGCTCCGGCACGGTGATCATCGCCACCGTGTCGCCGGCGAGCAAGGACACGGAGCACTCGCTCAACACGTTGCGGCACGCGGCGGCGATGCATGGGCAGAGGGTCGACGGCCCGCAGCCCGGCAGCACGCCCACTGACGGTATGCCGCTGCGGAGCGGCGCCGTCTACACACGAGGGGGCGATGTGCACTCGGAGATTATTGGCGAGGTTGACGTGACCGCGGCTCGCAAGCGGCTGCAAAGAGAAGAGGCACAGCGCGCTTCGGGAGGCTCCTTCGGCCAGCCGCCGCCTAAGAGCGAGGCGCAAGGTATGGACAAGCGTCGGCTGGAGCGTGCGGCAGCCGCAGCCGCGCGGAAAGCGCGGGGTGCAGCAGCCAGGCTGCTCAGCGATGCGAGCCCCACGCAGGCCGCCTTACTGGCCGAGGCGCGCGAGAATGCTACTGTCGGCCTCTCACTGAATCCCTACCAAGAAGCTCGGGTACGCAGCCGGCGCCACGCGCGGCAAAGGCGGGAGACGCCACCAAAGCCCAAGAGGTGTGGATGCGAGGCGGACGAATGCTCCTCCTCGCCGCCAAGGCCCGCGGCGCAAGCCGCCATCTCGCCCACCACCGCTGCTTCGGTGCCACGACCTTCTACTCGCATGGAGAAGGAGACCCCGCCAGCCACAGCCACGGAGGAAGCACGAGAGGCGGGAGCTCCCCTACAGGTGGAGCGAGAGCGAGACGCGTGTGCTTCTCTGCACGGGAGCCCCATCGAGGAGAGCGACGCGGCCATTGCCGAGCTGAGCGATTACGAGGTAAAGCGCCTGGCAGCGGCCGCCCGACGGGCCGCTTTGGACGCGGCCAGGCGAGCATCGCTCGAGAGCAAGCGGAAGGGCAACGCACCATTGTTGAGGCCAGTGGCGTTGACCGAAGAGGAGCTCGACGCTCCGACTGCAGCCGACGAGCGGCGCCAGGCAGCAGCCGCCCGACGGGCGGCCGTGGAGACAGCGAGGCGAGAGAGGCTCGAGAAGAAGCTGGACGCGAAGCACGGGGCGCAGGCAGCCAACCCTCTCGCCTCCAACCACGCGGATGAGGCTGCCCGGCTCAAGTCGGTTCTCGAGTCCTTGCCGCCCGGATCGACCTCCGCGACGCGGCTCGGCCTGGCCAAGCAGCTCGCGATCCACAGGGCGGCGCTGGCGCGCGAGGCAAGGCGCAAGAGGGAGCAAGAGGAGCGGATTGCGATGGAGGCGGCGGGGGAGAGCCAAGGGCATCCTGTCGTGAGGGCTCTGCTGTGATGTGCTGAGCTGCGCTCTGCTCGGCTGGTGCCGTGTAGCGTCTTCTTGAGGGGGAGAGCTGTACTGTGTTGAAATCTCAAAAACCTCCCCTTCAACACAGACTCGTCGACTCGGCACGACTCACACGACTATAGACGCGCCACATTCTGGCCCCCACGTGCCACGACTCACACGAGTCACACGAGGCGTCGAGGGGCGTCGGCACACGCGTTTCTTGCCGTCAGCGTTCAAGCAGTAAAATGGGGCTCCTGTGAAGAGGTTGCGGCGGTTGCCACTGCAGCTGTCGCCACCGCAACTGCTGTCGCGGCCGTGGCAGCCATCATGGCAGCGGCCATGAAGTTGATTTGGGTGTCAACGGCGTCAGCTTCGATCTTCGCCACCGCAGGCGCCGCTTCAGAGACTACTGAGGTGTCCGCCGTCGAAGGCTCGGCGTCAACAACGCTGCTAGTCTCCATATGCTCGGCCGGTGAGTCTGGCGCGATGAATTCGGCAAGCGACTCGAGCGGCTCCCGCGACCGCCCTGCCTGCGGGTGGTGAGCGACATGAAGCGCCAGTTCGGAGAGCAGCGAGCGTGCCTTGGCGTTCAGCAAGAGCGCGCGCTCGATGGCACACGTGCTCTCCCGATCAAGTAGGGAGCGAGCCTCGGTTGATAGAGCCGCAGCCCTTGCGCGAAGGCTCTCGATGCTTTGTTTGGCGGCGTTGTGAGCGAGCGACGGTATGGCCTCGGTCACGAGCTGGTGAGTGCGGCTCGCGAGAGCGAGGGTGTCAGAGGCGAAGGCGTCGGTCTGAATGTAGTCGCGGTACTCGGCCACCTTGTCGTACTGCAGCAGGTCGAGTGCCGTGGCTTTGAGCGCGGCTGCTGTCTCAGCCGGGTGCTCCCGCGCAGCTTGCAGCGCCTGCAGCGCGCAGGTGAGCCGCTTGTCGGCGAGGGTCTTGTTCGCGAGGAGCGCGGCCTTCTTGTCGGCAATCTTAGAGAGGTATGGCGCCGCCACCTCCTTGATCACAAGCTTGCCCTCCGCGATCAGCTCTGGGCGGCGGTCGGGGTTGCGGGCTTGATCAATCCGCGCGCTCACCGCCTCCTTGGCACCCACCACGATTGGTGCGTACGAGTCGTACTTCTCGCAGAGGGTCGGGCAGTACAGCAGCACCTCTTTGATCAGCTCGGTCGAACCGCCCTCCTTGACCAGGCCTGTGAGCGCGGAGAGCTGCGTCTCGGAGAAGTATCTGTCTGCGCCGGTGGTCTTGAGGGTAGTGCCCACGAACTCAGCCCGCGCCTCGCCGTTGTGGTAGACGTGGAGTAGTGCTTCCTTCGAGGGAAGGCTTTCAAACATCGAACTCAGGCCCGCGGAGGACGGGAGCGAGTGGAGTGCGGTGCACATGGCTCTGACAAAAGAGGACGCACGACGCCGTGCGGAAGTTCCGACGTCCTTCTCGAGGGCTACGTTCCGGTCTCCTCAGTGTCAGTGTTAGCTGAATGAAGAAAGGGAGAGAGTTTGGTCGAGAGGGCGCGGTGAGAGAGGGGGGGGCGGGCGGGGGGGGGGGCATATGTGCATGTGCATGGGGGTGCATGTGCATGTGCATGTAGTGTGTTTGAGGATGTTTGTCGGGGCGGGCACACAAGCGACAAGGGAATTCACTACCTACACACTAGCGCGGACGACCTAGGTCCTGCGAGAGAGGCAGAGGGACAGAGAGCTTTGTGAGATCTCTCCAGGTCCCGTGGTCCCCTTGCTCCTGGGGGTGTGGGGCTCTCCTCCGCTCGTGTCCTTCACCCAGAGCCGTGTCCATTTACGCATTAGCACCATAGAGGAATGCGAGCTGAGCGAGGACCGAGGTGAGTCGTGAGAGCGATGCGCGCGTGGGTGGAAAGATGATGATGCGCCACATCCGTCGTGTTCTTACGTACCAAGCCCCCCTCCACTTTCGCACTCCCCCAGCCCCACGATACCGTACCATGTCGATCCATGAGGACAGGATTCTAGTCAGGCTGTAGACGGATTCACTCTCACTTCTGCTTGCCCGCCTCGGAAAAGATGCGCTTCCAGTCGCTCGAGGACGCGCGGCCCGCCAAAGTGCGGCGCGGCTCGCGCCCTCCTTTTTCGCGGTACGGCGCCTTGCTGCGCGGCGTGTCGGCCACCCAGACCTCCACCTCGCGGAGGCGCACCTGCGTTCGCCGACCGCCAAAGAGCGACACCTCGTAGGGAGGCGGCCCGCGGTTGTAGGAGGATCCGAGGAAGGAGGAGGCGGATCGCAAGCTCCCTTGCTGCTGCATGCTCTCGGTGTCGGGGCCGGCGAATCCTCCCATCACCGGAGCCATGCCCGCGCCGACGACTAGTGCATCAGACCCAAAGGTGGGCCCAGATCGTGCGTTGTCGTAGATGGCCGCGCCGCCTGTGGTGCCCATTCGATGCCAAACGCCGCTGCGCTCAATCGCAAAGACGAATGCGCTGGTTGAGGAGGAGTAATCATCGGTGGATGCCCACCCAGACGGGTTGTAGCCTCCCGCGACCGCGCCGCCACTCGCTGCCACGACGAGGGCACTCCCGCAAAAGTCGACACGGTCGTGAAAGCGTTCCGCTCCCCAACCATCGCGCGAAGCCCTGTAGGCGAGCCTCAGCGGCTTGCCGTCGAGATTTGTGCCGGCGAGCAGCGTCGGCGGCGGCTTGGGGAGCGAGCCGCCTCGCCAGGCCAGCGCCAGGCCGCCAATTACCGCTCCGAGAGGGAGCATGAGCGGCTCCTCGCGGGCGACATTGAGAGCAGCGTCATTGTCGCCTGCCACGTAGTAGTCGCCAATCGTGTGGAGAGAGTTCGCCAGGTGCGAGAGCGCAGGCAGCATTTTCGGCGGCAGCGTCGGAAGTATCATGGCTAGGTGGAAGAGCATATTGAGAGCTCAGGTTGTTGCTGTGCATTCACTCACACCACCTGCACACACCACCGCAGTACATGTACAATCGCTTGAAGTCCGGGTTTTTTATGCGTATGCTTGTAAGGGCGTAGGGACCCGCCCCAGGACAGGCTCTGGCGTTCTGATGGAGCGCTCTGGTGCCGAGGAGAGCCGCTGGCACGAGGTAGATGTGAAGCCACGACGGTCGGTACAGCAGGCCGACCAGAGAGTGCAGAGTGAGCACTGCCCCTCCTCCAAGATCGACTCCTGTGGAGAAGCCCGCCTAGGACCATCAAGGGGAGACCACGTACACTTGACCCGCGCAAAGAGCTAGATGCAGCTGTCACCATTCTACGGCCTCAGAGCGTATGCCTTGCCGCCGGACGGTGGCGGTCGTGTCGGTGGTTGGGCCGTTTTGCAAGACGGCTGTGGCGGCGCTCTGGAGGGGAGGGCGGCCACTTTCGGGGTGGATGACCGGCTTTTGAGGTCTTGCAACCCTAGCTGTGACAGCTTCGGACAGCTCGCGCAACCCTAGGAACAGCGGGCCGGCTAGTGTTGATGACACTCAGCCCGGGACAAGACGCCGCTAGACCCGGGACAAGACGGGGGTGGTGGAGGTCCGAAATCACGCCGCTATGCCTCGGCTCCAGCGAGGCCTCTCAGGCCCTAGCTCAGGTACATGCAGTAGCCGGAAGCAGGGACACCCACATCGTCGGGAAGGTCGAGGAGGGTGGGTGGATGAGCGAGAACCTGACACGAGACTCACGAGGCCTGTATATTTTTTATGTGCGCAGAGTAAGTGCAAAAGATGAAAAATTTGTGGAAAACAGGCAAGAAACCAGCCGAAATGCGTCCAGATGCTGGAAATCACATAGGCCTATCGTTTCCCAATGCTCACGCCTTGTGGCGCGCCCGCGTGCGGCGCTCCGCCGCGCGCGCCACCTCTGGGCCGGCGGACGCGGACGCGTCAGGCGCGGCCGCACGGCCGCGACGGCGCGGCCGCTTTGGCGTGGGCACCGCTTGCTCTTGCGGCAGATCAACTTGGCCGGCACCAGCGCCGTCGAGCCCCACCTCCCACTCGGCGACGTGCTCCACCGCTCGCGACTCGCCCGCCGCCGCCTACAGCAAGGCTCCGAGATGCCTCTGGGACGGCTCTACCGGCTCCACACCCAGCGGCTCGCCGCCTTCTCGGCCGCCGCGGCGCGGGCCGACTTGATTGGCCGCTGCGTCGTCGCTGGCTTGACCGCCGGCTTGGCCGCGTGCGGCGGCGCGGGTGCGGCGGCTGCGTCAGCCCCTTGGAGGCGGTGCGCCTCGAGGCGGCTCACCAGCTCTGCCTTCTTGCCGCCGGCGTCGAGGCCTGCCGCCGTGAGCGCCTCGCGCAGCTCCGCCACCCGCAGCTTCGCAGGCTGGGCGAGTCGCGCCTCGAGGCTCTCGCCTGCACAGGAAGGCTCCAGGAGGCTTCAGGGAGGGCTCTAGCCGGCCTCGCAGGCCGCGCCGCGGGCCCTCGCCGGCGCAGTGCGAGTTAAACAGCTTGGGGGGCGCAGCCGCCTCGGCCTCCTCGGCGCGACTCGGGTCGAGCGGCTGGCACGCGGCGCACGCGTAGCACGTGCGCCCGGCCACGTCCCATGACGCGACGCGCCCGTTGCACCGGCCGCACTTTGCGCTGTTGTAGATCCAGCGGCGCAGGCCCGGCCTGCCGAGCGCCAGCGCCTCCGCCTTGTCCACGGTGAGGATCGATCCCTCCTCGTAGCCGCGCCGCATCAACTTGACGGACGCCGCCCACACCCGGTCGAACTCTGCGCGGCTCAGCGCCTTCCCGGGCGTGTTCGGGTGCACAGAAGCGACGAAGAGGATCTCGGCGCGGTAGATGTTGCCGACTCCTGCGAAGAAGCCTTGGTCCATCAGCAGCAGCCCAATGGTCTTCTTCGACCTGGAGACGCGTTCCCAGAGCGCCTCCGCATCGGCGTCCGCTCGGATGGGGTCCTCGCCCAGTTCCGCCCGCTTCTTCTCGAACATCTCGACGCCGCCGTGCTGCACGGTCATCGCCGAGAGGCTCGAGACGATGCCGTGGCCCTCGAGCTGCAGACGCGTCGTGTCCTTGGCAGGTGCAGCCTTGGCGGCGTCCTCGACCGACCATCGGCCGCTCATGCCGAAGTGGACGTGCATAACGACGTCAGGCTGGCCAGCAGCGGCGAAGAAGGCGAAGAGGTTCTTGCCGACAGCCTCGATCCTCGAGAAGCTGCGGCCGTTGATGAGCCTCGCGCCCTCGGCGAAGCGGCCATTGGGCGACGAGGCCTTGTACGAGCGGCCGCACAACCTGCGCGTGTGCTGTGTGGCGATGCGATGGACGCTGTGGCCCTCGACCATGCTCGTTCTTCCGGTCTCGATGATAGGGTGTCGGTGTCGTTCCCGGAGAATTCCTTTCCCATTCACAGCCTTGTTATTGAGAAGAAAATACGTCCTATGGCGCTTTGCGCTGGTCTGTGAGAGGTTGAGGCGCGAGCCCTGGAGGCCCTGGGGATGGGGTGAGACTACCCGCGGGCCTAGAAGGCCCGCGCGCACAAAAACACAACCCCGGACCCTAGCCCGGACCCAAAGACGCACAAGCACAGACAGTCGAGAAGGGAGAGACCAGCAACGACAGTCAGAAGCCAGCGCTGGGTACCAGGAAGGCGAATGCGATGACGGCCTCTAGTGTGAGCTCTAGCTAGTGAGCTCATACGCACGCCGGCAGATCGCGAATATATATACAGGATACAGCTAGTTAGTTAGGAGCCGACCGACCCTCGCGTCCGGTGCTCATCGGCCAGGCGGGCCGCCCGCCCACGCACCGCCTACGCGCAGCGCGTGCGCCGCAAACTCCGGCCCGCCGAGAGCGCCGGCCAGTCGCCATCGGCCGTCGCGAGAGGCCTGCCCGCGGCTGTCGGCGCGGGGCCCCCACGAACACCACGCGTCGGAGGCGGTGCCGCGCGAACTCGCGCGCAAAGTGCACGCCCCACGCCCGCCGCAGCGTCGTAGCGAAGTAGGACCGCGCCTCCCTCAAAGTTCCCATTCACGCTCCCGTTGAACGCGCAGCCGCTCTCGCAGGCGAGAATGGCTGGCTGCGCGCACCCATATTGTGGTAAATAAATAAAAACGGTCAAACTCTGAGACGAGATGGGATTTAGGGACATGTGTCCCCGCCCTGCACGATCTTGGTGTGAGGGATCTTCAATCCGTCCCCTCACCCCCTGGTCACTACCCGACACTAGAAGAGCAGCAAGAGTTGGGGCTGCGGCTACGGCTGCGGCTGCGGGAGGGGCTATGGTCGCGGGAGAGCCGCTGCGCCGCGTGGGCGCGCCTACACCGCGCTTGCTCCGCTCGCCACCTCTCGCAAAGGTCCAAAGTCATATTGTGGTCAGTCGTCAGTGTCTTCTTAATTTTAAGCGTCTTACGTGATCAATAGACAATGTTCTTAAAACCCGAAAAGAAAGAACGTGGAGAGAAGAGGAGAGAGAGAGCCAGAGAGGGGGGGGGGGTGGAGAGAGAGAGCGAGGATCCGCCCGGCGTGCCCAACATCAGGCATGTACGGCACAGGCTCTCTCTCTTGGTGTGGCCATCACGCGAACGGGAGGAGGAAGACGTGGCGCACCGAGTCGCCGTGGCCTGTGGCCATCGCCGCCGCTATGCAGGCGATCTGAGGACCGGGCACGTTGAATGCCAACTCGAGCGCCTCCATCACGTGGTTGGGGCGGAAGAGGCCGTCCTCCAGCGGGTGCACAAACTTGTAGGGCCGGCTGGCGTCTTTTAGGCCGCGGAAGCGCTCCTTCTGGATGAGCGTCCCCACAAAGGCCTCAGACGCAGGGCCCATCACCAGGCCGAGCGCCATCTGGCCGGCAAAGGCGCGATCGACGTCCGAAAGGTCGGAGAGAGCCCCCGTGGCGGCGCCCGCAAAGTGGACGTACACGCCGAACGCCATCGCGCACCAGCCGAGGCTGATGGCCATTGCGAGCTTGACGACCGGCGGGGGAGGGAGCTGCAGGCGGAGGGATGTGACGGTCGGCACGATGTTCCACGGCTTCTGGTCGACAACAATGTCCACGCTCTGGGCCAACATCGACGCGACGATGAGTGCGTGGGTCAGATCCGCCGCCGGCAGCTCGCTTGGATCGAACACACTCGCGGCGACGATCAGGCAGAGCGTGGCCGTGCTGAGCATCGACGCGCTCATCTGCTTGGCATACGCGCTAAACATCCGAGACCGCGGCATCATCGGAAAACCGCTGATGGAGACGCCGACACCGGCGGCCATGGCCACGAGGACGGGCAAGTGCATGCCGTGCGCGAGTGCGACCGGATGGCCTGGGTCTGCGAGTTCCGAAGCGAGCGAGTCGAAAAGGAGGCCGTAGGCTGAGACGAACCAGGTGGCGCCGACGAGGGCGTGAACGTGTCCCTTGTCGGCCTTCGTGATCAGCTTGAAGTCGACGCCATCGTTGACTGCAGTGCCCCATGCCGGGAGCCGACGCGACACTGACGGAGGGAGGTCACCGTCGTGCTTGAAGTCGACGCCATCGTTGATCTCAGTGCCCCATGCCGGGAGCCGACGCGAGACTGACAGAGGGAGGTCACCGTCGCTTTCGACCGTGGCGCCGCTGGAGATGTCGCTCAAGAGTGCTTCGGGTTGTGGAGGCGCGGGTGCGAGTGGGCCCGCGCGCTCGACGAGCGCACGCTGCGGGCGCGCCACAACGGCGAGCGCAGCGGTGGCAAGGACAAACATCTTTCGTCGGGCTTTCGACAGGTCCTTGAGAAGAACGCCTTGTTCCGGCCGTGCGACTAAGACCGACCGGAGAGGGGAGAGCGTGATAAGCCGGATCCGCTAGCGTTTTTTTATTTTTCTGACACCACGTGCCTCTAGACATCCGTTCACGTGCACGAGCTTCTTGAGCCCCCCACCCAACCACCCACCTCACGGCGGCCCGGCTGAGGCTTGGAACCACCCACCCACCCCACCCACCCACCTCACGGTGAGGAAACCCACCCACACCGACCGACCCACCCCCACCCACCACCCAACCAATCCTCCGGCCACGGGAGACACAAGCAAGGTAGCAAAGCACCCAGCCTCGCGCGCCTTATACAGCACACAGTCTGACCCACAGCCGAGGGGTTAGGGTTAGGGTTAGGGTTAGGGTTAGGGTCAGAGAGTTCAAGCCGTTGTGCAGCTCCTAAGAACGGGCCGCTTCGGGTCGGAATGGAAGAACCAGCGGTCCGTTGACGCGAGCTCTCGGTGAATGCTCCGAGAGTTCTTCGGGTTAGGGCAGGGTTAGTAGGGTTAGGGTTAGGGTTAGGGTTAGGGTTAGGGTTAGGGTTAGGGTTAGGGTTAGGGTTAGGGTTAGGGTTAGGGTTAGGTAGGTAGGTAGGTAGGTGTTACCTCACACGGTCTATTGCAGAGACAAGGAGGGCCCACAGCACACACACCAAGAGTACATGTGCTGCACTGGACATCAAAGGGCCAAGGGTTGGATCAAGCAGTGGGAAGGGACTCGAGGTGACGCGCGAGCAGAGACCTAACCTCCACACGCTCCGCACGGTTAGGGTTAGGGGTAGCTTGTCGTCGTCCCGCCGATAAGACAGAGACACGGGCAGCGACCCAATCGACGCACCAGAGCATGGTTGGGCGTGTGAGCCGCCATCTCTTGGACAGTGAGGCGAGTATTTGCAACCGGGAGCTCGCCGCCGCCCCTACACCGCCGCCGCCGCCCTCCCGAGGGCAGATAATAGCCCAAGTCGATGAGTGCGCCCTGCCCTCGGTATCTGGGTGGCAGGCGGGACTAGAGAGGCATGCTGGTGCACGGTTGGGGGCGCTAGCCGCCATCTTGGACCGCGAGGCGAGTATTTGCAACCGGGAGCTCGCCGCCGCCCCTACTCCACCGCCGCCGCCCTCCCGAGGGCTGGCGAGGTACTTCCAGCCTGCTGTGGGAACAGCTGACGCAGTCTCGCCGAGGCTCGCCCCAGCATCTCGGGTTGACTCGGCCAGACTAAAACCCCGAGAGGCGTGGGAGTACCTCGCCAGCCCGAGGGCAGATAATAGCCCAAGTCGATGAGTGCGCCCCGGCCTCGACATCTCGGCGGCGGCAGAGGAGAAGCGACGCACCAGAGCACGGCTGGGCGTGTGAGCAGCCGTGTTTGACTGTGAGGCGAATATTTGCCATCGGGAGCGCGCCGCCGAGCGCCGACTCTACACCGCCGCCGTCGCCCTCCCGAGGACAGGAGATAATAACGGCCGCCTCGTCATCGAGCTCGGCGGAGAGCCTCGAGCTGCTAGAGAGCGGCGTCGCACTCGTCGAGCGTAATCAGCAGTCCGCCCTCGGATGACTTGTTGAGCGCGCCGTAAGCCGCCCGTAAGGCACGCGGCAGCCGTCGGGGAGCGCGATCTCGGTCAGCTGGTGCCGTCGCGTGGGCACGGTGCGAGGAACGACATCTCATGCTGTGGCAACGACGAGAGCTGTGCCTCGAAGACGCGCGCAAAGGAAGGGGAGAGAGAAACGACCAAACCTCACCCACCCACCCACCCACCCACCACAGTCGGAGTGCACGCACATGGGAGCACAGTCACACCACCCCGACCCCCACCCCCACACCCACCCACTCACCATCCGGGGGCGGGGCCTACGAAGCGTTTACCCACCCACCCACTTTTTCAAGAACGGATGTCAAGAGGCACGTGGTCTGAGAAAAAACTCAACGCTGACTCGTCCACGCCGGCTGACTGTTTCTTCTTTCTCTGTACATCCCCGCCCCGCCTCTGGAATATTTTACTTTGCGAGGAACTCCTCGTACGCGCCCCCAAAGAGCAGGCCGACGTCGCGCTCGACGTCGGCCTCGCTCAGCGGCCAGCCCGCCTCGAGCAGCTTGCGGTACTGCGCGGCGAGCACCGGCGTCACCGCCTCGCGCGAGTGCGCCCACTTGTACACGAGCTGATCGAGCACCTGCGCGCGCAATAGCCGGCGGCGTGAGGGAGCGGGCGCAGTGCCGGAGGGTCGCGAGCTGCTGTCTCGCGCCCGCGCGTCCGAGTGTTGGCAGGTGAAGGCGGTGCCGAGCATCTCGAGCCGCATCCGCGTGGTGGTCTCGATGATGGAGGGGTTGTTGCAGAACCACCAACAGCCATAGACGTGCAGGTTCCCGAACTTGCGCGCGAGCACGCACAGCTCGTGCTGGTTCACCGCCGAGAGGACCGTCACCAGGAACTTGACCGACGGATACCCCGCGCAGAGAGTCCGCAGCCAGTCGAGCCGCGACACCTGCCCGAGATCAGCCGAGATCAGCCGAGATCTCCCGAGATGGAGTGGGCTTGTGCAGAGCCGGCCGAGGCGGCGACACCTCGACGCCGTCGCCGCCAGCCTGCAGCGCCGGGTTCGCGCCGCGCACCGCGCCCACCTAAGGCCAACGCAAGGTGAGATTCTCCGCGCGCTAGTCTCGGGCCGGGGAGCATGCCCCCGCATCTCCACGTCCTGAGACGAGCAGAAGCCCCGCGGCGTTGCAAGCGCGCGGCCCGGTACACGCATGGGTGGGGTGAGTGTGCCGCACCTTGAGCGCCAGCGGGAGGCCCTCCTCCATCGCCACGCGCAGCAGCGCCCCTTCGAGCAGCTCCGCCTAATCTCGTGGCGATAGCGGGTCTATCTCGAGCCATCTCTGCGAGCAGCGCCCGCCGCGAGCAGCTCTGCCGCGCTCGGGTACGCGCCGCCAGAACCCTCCTGCCCGCCCCTCCCCTCCTCCGCCGCCGAGCCGCCGCCCGCCGGCGGCTGCTTGCGCACGGCCGCGGGGCCGGCTGCGGTCGGCGTGTACGTGAAGCCCGCCGGCGTCGACGCCATGAGGTAGATCGGGCGGATGCGCCGCACCCACTCCTTGAGGTAGGCGACGCAACCCTCCATGGAGAGTGGGTGCGGCGGCGAGGCGCGCCGCAGGACGGAGCAGATGCCGCGCCAGTCCCCGACAAGCCTGGCAAGCGGGAGGAGGGGCGCTGAGCCGGAGGGACCAGCGGGCAGTCACCGCGAGTCGAGTGGCACTGCGCACATCGGGTCGACCCGCAGCGCCGTCTTGAGCCGCGGCGTCAGCGGCGGCTGCGGCGACGCCGTCCAGTGCTCCGCCTCCTCGGGCGCGAACGGGATGTTGGTCATGACTGTTGGAACGCTGGTGTGTGAAGATGCGCCGTTCACAGGCTCGCGCCTCCGCTCCGCCGCGCCCGCGCCTGCATACTTGAGCTTGGACAGCCGGAAGACGCGCTCGAGGTGGTCCGACGCGTCTTGCGCGGCGAACCAGTCGCGCAGCGCGGTCAGTCGCGGCCGCGAGGGGAGCCGCACCGCCGCGCGAAGCTGCTCCCCGCGCCCGAGTCGGCTGAGCGTCGTCACCACGCCGCGGCACGCCTCGCTGAGCGGCGTCCGCTTCACAAATAGCTCCTCAAAGACGAGCTCCGCCTGCCGCGGCTTTGGCCAGCCGTAAAAGTCGTCCGGCGAGGGAGCTGCGTCGCCGACGGAGACGGAGTCCTCCTCAGAGACGCATGGCATCACCATGAACAGCTCGGCGACCAGATAGTGGTAGGTGAGGAGCTCGTCGATACCCCAAAGGAGGAGGTTGCCGTGTGTCGGCGGGAGGAGGTGCGTGTGCACGTCGATCGCCTCGACGTCGCGCACACAGCGCGCGACCACCGCGTCAACGGCGTCAATGCCTAGGAGTTTGGCCATGGGACGGGCGGCGATCCAGCGCCCGACAGCAATCACCATTTCTTTCTCCTTCCAAGAAAATGAGTTCACCCTTGGGTTCTTGCCGTCGTGCCTTGAGCTGGGAGGGGGTCCCAAGGGTGAAGAAAATGAGTGGAATCAACTCACCACAGAAGGGGCAATAGACGGCTCAAAAGACAGTAATCTCAACAATAGTCGAAGTCGGACAAAATTCCATAATCTTCATAAAAGAAGAAAAGCGCGGGATGGGAGGACGGCACGCCGCCACCACACAGGGATTTGTGTGTGTAATTCTTCATAGACCTAGGTTTTAATTCTTCTCCTTGGCGATGATGGAAGAAACCGCTCTGCGGCTCTTCGACTTTCGTGCCTGGCGCAACGCTGAGGGAGGGTGTAGAGGATGTAGAGTGTAGAGCGCTGTAGAGTTGTAGAGATGTAGAGCGCTCTGGAGCCCTGTAGAGCTGTAGAGCTCTACATCCGCCGCGGGACGAAGCGCCTGCGTTGTAGAGCGATGTAGAGCGCGATTTTGTTGTAGTTTGTAGAGCTTGTTGTAGAGGCTCTACCAGCCAAACCGCCGGGAAGGCAGTGACTCAAAGAGGCCGAGTCGCACTAATGGGGTGTCTCCGAGCTTACTGGAGCTCTGATGGACGGCCCTGACTATCCCTGACACACAGAGAGTCACTCTGATGGCACACAACACCCTATAACTGCGTCATGACCAGCCTGCCATGCGTCGCCGGTGCCGCATTCGTCGCAGTGCTTCTTTAGCAGGCGGTGGACTGTCGGCTGCGAGGACGGTCGCATTTGCGCGAGGCGAGGCGAGCATTCAGACGCGTTGCATGCGCCATGACTCGCGCCAAGCGCGTGTGCGGGAGGCGAGCTCCTGGCTGAGCGTTGAGTCCAGGCGAGTTGCGCTGGCCACTATCGCTACGCCGAGCCGAGCTGACGCGCCGAGGCGCCGGCCAGTCGCAGCCGTGAGGCATGCCACAGCAGCAGAGGCACCTCCCACCCATTGGGCGGGCAGACAGAAGGCCAGGGCAGCACTGGCAAGTGCAACGCGCCTCATGTCGGAGAGCGACCGTGCCTCGTTCGCCGCTTATGATGTAGAGTTTGTTGTAGAGATTTCACGTTGTAGAGCGCCTCTACATCGCTCTACAACGCACGCGCTTCGTCACGCGGCGGATGTAGAGCTCTACAGCTCTACAGCGCTCTACAGCTCTACAGCTCTACAGCGCTCTACACTCTACATCCTCTACACCCTCCCTCAGGCGCAACGGCTGGCTGGAGACGTTTCTGGCTCGGATCTCGTTCTTGGAGCAAGCGTGGCAACAGCAGGGTTTTGCCATTATTTTGTGCGTGCTCGCCGGCAGCGGCACTACGTCCAAAGATTGTGGTTTGTGCGGGATTTTGCGAGCGACTCATGGGCGACCCTAGGCGGAAAGGGGGTCGGTCGGTCGGTGCCGCACTCCGCGCAGTGTCTCGACTCTGTCTGGAGTCCGGGAAGTCGGTCGCGGTCCGGGTCGGGCGTCGGGGTCGCCTTCATTCACACCGCACAGACCACAGCGCGCGACTTGGGTCGGCGACTTGGTAAAGCTGAGGTGCTGCACGTGTGGGGGGCGTGGCGGAGCGCCGCGCGATCCGCCCGCCCGCGCGGCTGCGTGCGCCGCCTGTGGATGGCGCGTCGTGGCGCTGGCGGCGTTGAGGACACACAGCAAGCTCATCGGAAAACGGGTAGCAGGCAGGCACAACGAGCAACGAGGCGCGAAAGACCCAATTTTCGCGCCTTTTCAGGCAACCGGGAAAACAAAAGGGAGCCCGGTCCTACACAAAACCGAGACACCTGCACTGCGATCCGCTTCCCCTCCGCCAGCGGCCGGCTTTTCTTCTTCGGGTATGCCGGGTCTGGGATCTGGGTGGCAGACGAGATACCAACCACAGCGCTGTCCGTCTGCGGCAGCTCTCAGTCGCGAACTCCGCTGTCGCGAATGCACGAAAGAGTTGACGCGGAACAGACGGGGGTGCTGCGGGGGTGTACACGTGCTGAACTCTCTGTCGATCCGGGCGTAAAAAAGAAACGCAGACTAGCAGCCAGCTGGTCTCTCTCTTCGGAGCATCGATCACTGCCAGGGCGCCCTCATCACATTTACACAAAACCCTCCAATGGTCGCCTCTCCCCACCCGAGGGTGCTGACGGTGAGCGTCTCGGGCGCCTCGCCGTCGTGGCTGTGCACTGCAGCCATATCAACTCGACGCTATACCTACAACTCGAAAGGCGGCCGGCGAGCGGCCGAGCACCGGCTGCCCCTCCAGGGTAAGGAACGAAACTCGTCCGTCCCACTGGCAATGCCCACATGTCCATGTCTACCTCCTCCAATCGTGTGGCATGCCCGCAGCCACATGAACTTGACGCAGAGCCGACGGGGCCCGGCCGGCGCACCCTTTTGAGGGAACTTGCCTCGCTATCGCAGTTCTCGCAGGGACTTCAAACCAGAAACGACCAACTCTCGGAGCAGCGGCGTGCCGACCAGGCACGGCCCTTAGTCTCATCGGCACACCCGGTTCCTACTCAGGCGCTTCCGACGCCACTCAGGCGCTGCTAGCGGAGAGCGCGGCGCGGCACCAGCACGATCGCCGCTTGCTGGCGGAGAGTGCGGCGCAGCATCATCGTGACGTGGATCGGCTCAGGCAGCGCGGCACCATGTACGGCGTCGAGCTGATCTTGCTCGCGCTTGCAAAAGTAACTCGCTATATCGCGCTCCTGGTACTGTGGAGCGGCCGCTCCCTCGCTCGGGCGGGGATCGCCCTCCTCGCCGTCGCCCTCGCCGCGCTCCCCGTCCAGATGAGTGCTGACGACCTCTTTGAGATTGCCGTGATGGCCTTTGACCCTTTGACGTGCGCTCCCGCCCCTCCGTGATTTAGCACCGCCCACGTGCAAAGTGTTAGTGCGCAGACGGGCTGCGCTTGTCACCCCTCACCCGCTGCCAATCGCGCGCAGGCGCGTTGAGCTCGTTGAGTCAGGCCTAAGAGCAATCGGGGTGGACAGACTCCTCGCTCCCAGGCCGTTGGCCGCCCTTGTCAGATGCAGCACCGCAAGTGGGTTGGCTGGCGAGCTGCTGCAGGTAAGCTCTATCTCCCGACCTCCCAGCCCATAGGCGCCAGGGAGCCACGATATCCTGACATCGGCACCTGCAGGCAACGACCGTCTTTGGCTGCGCCCTGCACCAGGCCGGCTCCGCTGTCTTCATGTCACGACGTTGGGGCCAAACAACAGAATTACGCGATGCGCCCTCCGCTATGAAGCTTGCATCTCCTCGGCAGGGTGCTGCGCCGATGTCTTCCCAGCAACCCCAGAGTTTCCGTGCTGATGGCTGAGCGCGGAAGGCGCGTCGGGAGAGTCGAGAGAAAAGAGAAGAGATACAGATATAGGTTCACAAGATTCAAATCAGGCGGCAATGGGGCTGGCAGGGCTCGCAACCGTAGGCCTTAATAGAAGCGCCGGAGAGCCCTCATTTCCGACTGACACAGTGCAGGGCCACCCACACATCGTCTGAGCCACATGAGAGAGAGGATAGAGAGTAGGTGCTAGGTCGTCCCGCAGCGCGCGCTTTAAGTGACCAGTTAAGTGACATGTGAGTCGGGGTACGTGCTGACGCTCGGCTGACACAGACAGGCCTGTGACGTGTGTGTGTCCCCGCTGGCGCGCGGCGATATCTGCCCCGACGCGGATATCGCGCCACATCGTCTGAATAATGCTGCCGACACACACACACGTGTAAAAAAAACACAACGAACGCACGACTTTCCTCTCCTCGTAACGTCGTGGGTCGTGAGCCTCGTGAGAGTCGGACACCAAAGCGATAAAGCGAAATAAGCTATGGACTATGGGGACTATGGTGGTTGCAGCTAGGGCTGCAGGGGTTATTGATTGCGTCCATATTTTCGTGTGGGAAGCGCGGGCGCAGCGTCCGCCCTGGCCCAGCTGTGGCATGAGCATGTGGGTTATTTGTCAAATGATTCGCCAAGGCCAGCTCTCAACTAAGAAAGCTACACCGGCGCAACATGAACAACAGTCTCAAGCGTTCTCCCACAGACGAAAACTCTCCTCGGACAGGCCCAAAACAAGCAAGCTCACCTCCACAACCGAGAGGCGACAATGACAGGCAAAACCCAAAAGGTCTCACAGTCACACCCGTGGAGGGGACCGCGGCGCCCGGTTCGACCTACGCCAATACCGGACGGGCGCGCGTGCTCCCGCCTCAGCGGCTCTGCACACAAGTCACTTGTGTGCGGCCATCAGTTGACCGTTTGCGGCAGGGGCCGGCTATCGCAGGGCGGCGGCCCCTGCGCCCTGGCTCTCACATTCCTCGCTTCAATACACGGCATTCATACACCCGGCCACGCCCTCGCTCGCTCGCGGCGGCGTGGGGTCAGAAGGCCCGCCGCGACGAGGAGCGGGTCACGGCGCGCCGCCCGACGCGGCCCTTTGCCTCCTTGAGGGGCGTCGCGGGCTCGGCGGAGGCGGACGAGGTTGCGATGAGTTGCAGCATCGGGCGGGCGCCCTGCAGGCGGAGGGGAGAGGGGGAGGGGGGGGGTTGGGGTGGAGGGGGCGAGGGGCAGAGGGGGGAGCATAGGGGACGGAGTGATGAGGGCAGAGGTTGGCAAGAGGGCCGAGGGCTGGGGGGGGAGGGGGGGGGGGGGGCCAGGGCCCCGTCTTGCGGGCGCACCTCGCAGACCGGAAAGTCGGCGGGCGAGTGTCGGAAGAGGGACTCGACGAGGAGGCGTGCGCCGGAGCGTGGCTCGAGGCCGCACTTTCGCCAAAAGTCGACTGCGTGGTTGTCGGCTTGCGTCACCACGAGCGCACGCATCGTCCGCACGCTCGCGTGGGTGACGAGGAGCGCACGGAGGTACCGGACCAGGCAGGAGCCGAGGCCGCAGCGCTGCGCCGTCTCTGCGACGACGGTTCGCGAGACGTGGAGGACAAGGAGCTCGGGGGGCGAGTCGTCGCCCGGCTGGGAGAGCTGCACCAGCCGAAACGAGGCCCCGCCGAGCATCTTGCCTGAGGCGTGAGGGGTTGGGGGAGTGGGGGGGGGGGGGGGGGGCCCCCCGGAAAAAGGGAAAAAGGGGGTTTGGCGGGGAAAGGGGGGGGGAGGGGGGGGGGGGGGGGCTCACCATTGGCGTCGCGCACCAGCGCGTGGTAGCACCCCTCCGACGGCTCGAGGATGTCCTTGTGAGGCAAGTTTGGCAGCAGCCGGCTGCAGACGCGAGAGTACTCGCTCAAGACGTCGGGCGCCGAGCCGCTGCGGGAGCTTCCAGCGCACAGGACGGAGAGCTGGACCCCGGACGCGATGGGGACGTCGCACGGAGCCAGCCCGCTGTACGGCAGGTAGTTGCACCGCCGGAGCTCCTCGCCCAGCAAGAGCGGCTCCTGCTCGGACGACTGCAGCCCAGAGAGCTCGCGAGGCGAGCGGACGGCCGCGGCGCGCTCGATGCGCAGTTGGCGGGCGTCGACGACCGAGGTGCGTAGCGACGAGCGGCGCCCGCCTGCAACGACCGCCTGCTGGGGCGCCATCTTGTCGATCGCGTGGTGGGGGACGCCAGCCACTCTGAAGGCGACACGGCACGCCGGGTTGGCGCACGACTCGCCTTTCGAGTTGATACGGCTGCAGGCGGTGCACAGCCACGACGGCGAGGCGCCCGAGACGCTCACCGTCAGCACCCTCGGGTGGGGAGAGGCGACCATTGGAGGGTTTTGTGTAAATGTGATGAGGGCGCCCTGGCAGTGATCGATGCTCCGAAGAGAGAGACCAGCTGGCTGGGCGTCTGCGTTTCTTTTTTACGCCCGGATCGACAGAGAGTTCAGCACGTGTACACCCCCGCAGCACCCCCGTCTGTTCCGCATCAACTCTTTGTCTCTTTCGTGCGTTCGCGACAGCGGACGGAGTTCGCGACTGAGAGCTGCATGCAGACGGACAGCGCTGTGGTTGGTATCTCGTCTGCCACCCAGATCCTAGACCCGGCATACTCGAAGAAGAAAAGCCGGCCGCTGGCGGAGGGGAAGCGGATCGCAGTGCAGGTGTGTCGGTTTTGCGCAGGACCGGGCTCCCTTTTGTTTTCCCGGTTGCCTGAAAAGGCGCGAAAATTGGGTCTTTCGCGCCTCGTTGCTCGTTGTGCCTGCCTGCTACCCGTTTTCCGATGAGCTTGCTGTGTGTCCTCAACGCCGCCACGACGCGCATCCAGGCGGCGCAGCGCGGGCGGATCGCGCGGCGCTCCGCCGCGCCCCACCGCGAGTCCGCGCCCTGGGCACCCGCGACGCCTCCCAAGCCGCTGGCGGCGGACACCTCACCGTCGCTCGCATCGGTGCTCGGCGGTTGCAACCCGCATGCGGCCCTCGCGCCGCTCGGCTCTCACGTCTTCGGGGGCGCCCCCTCGGCCGGGAGCGGAATCCTCCCGCCCCCTTTTCCGCCCCCGCCGCCGGCGCCCCCTCCGGCGCAGCACAACCTCGCGCCGCCCGCCGAGGCGCCGCCTCCGATCCAGATCCCCGGCTTCCACGCCTCGTCGCCGCCGATGACGCGGGCGCTGAGCGACGGGTGCGTGCCGAGTCCGCACACCGCGTACCACGCGAGGGCCCCCGCACTCGCCGAGCCGCACCACCACCACCACCACCACCACCGGGCGCCCTCGTTCCCGCACAACGTCTACAACTCGCAGCCGAGCACGCCGGAGCAGCATCGCGAGCAGCTGCTCACGGCGATCGTCATCGACCGCCTCTGCGCGTGGGGCGAGCACCGCGCCGCGAGCGAGTGGCCCGCCGGCCTCGTCGGCCCCGGCCCGATGCCGGCGCTGGTCGACGCCCTGCTCGCTACGCGCGCGCGCTCGCTCACCCTGCCGCAGCTCATCACGGCGATCAAGGAGCGGACGGGCGGCGGCCCGGCGGGCAGGGCGCTCGACATGCTCAACCTCAAGGCCTACGTCCGCTGCTTCCCCTCCCTCTTCTACCTCCACTCGGGCCGCACCGCCGCCGGCCGGCCGCTGGACGCCGTCGAGCTGCGGCCGTGCGCCGGCCTGCCGCCGCTCCCGCCCCCGGGGCTGGCGATGTCCCGGGCGGAGCGGCACCGCGTCGCGATCGGCATCGCCGCCAGCGCGTGGTCGCCCACCAACGGCGGCGCGGGCGGCGGCCGCCCCCACCCGCACCACCACCAGCCGTGCGCCCCGGTGCCGCCGTCGTGCGCAAACACCCTCTACGACCGCCTTCAGCCGCTGAGCGCCCACGGGCAGCCGGTGAGCCCGCTGCAGCCCAAGGACCTGTTCGGCGCGGCCGCGTCGCCGCGCGCCGGCTTCGCGCCCTGCGCCGCCCCCGCCCCCGCCCTCTCTCTCGGCCCGCTCGGCGACGCCCCCGGCGCGGCCGCGGCTCGGTGGCCGCCGCACTGCAGCCCGCCGAGCTTCAGCATCTTCGACGGCCCGGCGGCGCACGCGCCCGCGCCGGCCGCGCCGGCGGACGCCGACGAGCAGCAGCCCGCCGCGCTCCTCGCGCAGCTGTCCGAGCTCCTCACTCCGTGCGGCGACGAGCTGGCGGCCGAGGAGCCGCTGCTGGCCAAGGAGCCGCTGCTTCGCTCTCTCGACTCGTCGCTCCGCACCGACTCGTCGCGCGGCTCCCCGCCGCCGAGCTGCCGCGCCGAGGCGGAGGCGCGCCGCCTCTTCGTCCAGCGGCACGGCCTCGGCGCCCTCTTCGACCGCGCCGTCGACCGCGCGATGCAGTTCAACGTCACGTCGCCCGTCGAGTTCGTGGCGCAGGAGCTGCTGCGCTCTTCGGCGGCGGCGGCGCCCAACGGGCTGGCGTACGCCTGAGTGCGCGCCTTGGCTGGCGCTGGCGGCGGCCTCTACACGGCCCCGCCCCGACGCTCGCTTCTTCATGGCCCGGCGCGGCGGCGACGCCGCCCGGACATCTCCCGCTCGCCCGCTCTCGCCCCATAACGACGCGCGCGCGGGCCGGCGCCGTGCCGCATAGCACCCCGGAGAAGGGGTCGAGCACGCGCCGCTCGCGCGCGCGGGCGTGGGCGCAGGCGTCGGGTGACATCATTCTGTGAACTTGCGACCAGCTCGCTGGATGAGTGGATTGCACCAACATCGGAACGGACAGGGTAAGTGCTGCTGTGGGGCGCTGATCTTTGGGCTCGGGAGTCGGGACTGCTTGGCTTGACACTGTGGCCGCATGCATGGACTGTGAGTCGATAAGGGGGGAGGGAGCGACGATAATAGCGTGTGGAGATCTGGGGCGTTGTGGGGGAGGGAGGCAGTGATTATAATGCGTCCGTCCGCGTATTGTGAGTCGAGTCCCGTGGCACAGGTGGCTTGTATCTACTATCTTGTGTTGGCTATTGCATGTTTAATCATACTTTAAAGCATTCGGATTCGCAAAAGGGGCGCGGGCCCGCTGGGCATGATGGGGAAAAGAAAAACAAAAAGGCCAAAACGCAAAGATAAGTGTAGAGTGTACACCCGAACACCCCTGACGCCTGAGGCTGAGCAGGTGCTGAGCAGCCAGAGCCACCTGTGTGTCGCTGTACCAAAATAGTAGAGCCGTACCATGAGCTGTGTACCCGGGTAAGCTGTGTGCGTGCACAGGATGGTCGGAGAATGTGTGCCGTGCGTCCCGGCGGCCCCGCACTCTCGTATTCGGAATTCGCGTCTCGTCTGAGTTTTCTGACTGTTCCTCAGCGAGTGTGTCAGATTGTGTTGTGGTACTTTAATCTTTATCTTTAACACTCGTTAACCCCCTACTCCCCCGAGGACCACACACGCTGGCCAGCGCTGAGACGGGGGGTGTGCAGTGAGCAATGACCACTTCTAATCTCCGAGAGTCGCTCTGATCGATCTTGACTCTGTTCAAAAAACGATCAACAACAGTCAAGTCATGTGTCAACGCGGGGCCTGCTTCGGTGGCGCGCACGCTTCGACACGCGCGCCGTATTCAGTCTCCTGCGCCGCTGGCAGGTCCTTGAAGGCGGCAGCTGCGTAAAAGTTGCGCGGCTTGAGCGAGAAGCCGACGCCAAAGTTGGACACGACGGGGACGTCCTCAGCCTTTGGGTAGTGCTGCCTGCCGACGGTGATCCACGTCACCAAGTCCTGCTTGACGATGGGCTCACTATTGAGAAAGGCGTCCATGTTGTATCGCTCGGGCGTTGGCACGCCAATGTTGAAATTGGAGGGCACGGTGGCAAGCTCTTCCTCATCCTTGCGAACCGTGACCATGATGTTGTGTTTCATCCAGCCACCGGCCGCCATGAGTGGGTGGTCGTCTGGGAGGACCTGTCGCGCCGTGGTCGAGAGAGGCACAATCTCGTACCCGCGCGGGACGCCCCATGCATTGAGCGCCTCCTCGTTGATCACGGCGTAGCCATCGTAGTCCTTGGCGTGCACGCCGAGCTCGGTCGGATGGATGATATTCTCCGCATACTTGATTCCGTTGTACGAAATGTAGGCTGGCTTTGTCTTGCCTGTCGCCTCCTCATACGTGCCGTACTTGATTGAAGTTGTCTGGAAGGAGTTGGAGGTGCCCGCAATGTCGAGGTCCACCTTGTAGCCCACGACGTGGTCGTGCAAGACGCCGTTGGTGTGCGGGCCGACTGGCACGCCAAACATCGGGTACTCCTCGTTGTTGCTCGCCGCGTCCCTGGCATAGGAGGCGAGCATGTAGCCGCCAAAGTCCATCTGGACGGATATGGTCCCGTCCTCATCCAGCACAAAGTTGTTGATGTAGTCGTAGTTGCCGGGCGTGGTGATGGAGCGTATCACCAGCTGCGACTTTGCGCGCCCCATCGACGTCTCGGCTGGGCCAGAGAGCGAGCCGAAGCGGCTGTAATGGCGGTAGAGCGATCCGCCTGTTGGGGCCTCGAAGATGCAGATTGCGCGCTCTATCCTCTCGGGGCCGGCGTCTGAGGCTTGACTGGTGATGCTGAGGAAAGAGGCGGTGTGTGGGCAGTCGAGCCCAGCAGCGAGCGGCGACGCTTCGCCGCCGATGCGCCTACTCGCGAGACTCCGATGTAGCGACGTGAGCCGCCTTGAGATGGCACGGGGGCGATGGCCAACGCCACAGCGCGCGCCACTGCGAGTCGTGATAGAAGACCTGGTGCGTAGACCCGACGCCCGAGTAGGAGGCAAATACCTCCATCGTCGATATTTCGTATGCAACCGTCTCTCCGCGGAACCTGACCGCGTGAGCCGTGAGTCCATGCCAGTCGTCTGCGCTCACGTGCAGCTCCCAGCCCATCCACTCGATGTTGCCGCCGCTGGTGGCAAATCGCGAGCCCTGTGGCTCATAGACGGAGGGCATGCTGAGGGCCGTGCCCGCTGCCGCGCGCTGCGTCTCGTCAGGCTTCATCTGCGTCCAGCTGTACTCGCTGATGCGTGCCGAGCACACCTCAACCTCGCCTGCGCCAGCGAAGGAAGCTGTGAGCTTCAAGCGCGCAATTCGAACCGATGGTTGATAGGCGTGGGGTGGCGCCGGCTGAGAACTGCGATGCCAGCTCCGCGGCGCTCGCGTATAGGCGGTAGCAGTACTCGACCTTGTCGACCCGCCACTCTGCGGCCGGCCTGTCCGGGTCCTCGTGCACGCTAAAGGAGAGGGGCAGCGCGAGCAAGGTGCCTCCCTGTGAGTCGCCTTCCGCTTGCGGCGGGATCGACATCATGTGGACGTTTATGATGCGGTCCTCATCAGTCGACCCCAGGTCGGGATAGGCCCACCAGCTCAAATACACATAAGGGTTGCCGTCCACGCCCGCAAACTCGCCCGAAGAGGAGGAGGCTGCTATGAGCCGCGACAGCGTGTTCATCGTCACGCCGACAGGCATCTGCCAGAATGCCTTCTCCATGGCGTTATTCTCGGGCCGGCGTGCCCACTTCCACGAGCCAGCGGCCAGCATCTCTGTCGCCGCCATTGACGTTGCCCCCCCCAGGGGCCCAACCTTGTACTGCATCACGTCGCGAGGCGAAGCAGCACCTCGAAAGACCGTAACCTTTGCGAACCGAGCCGGCGGGATACCTGACTCGCCGGAGAGGAACGCCGCCGCCTCAGCCTTGGCCGGGGCTAAGAGCTGATACTCGATCCCCACGTTCGAGTCCATGATGACGCGACCGCCGTGAGCCCGGAGGTCCTCATAGACGAGGTCAGCGAGCCCGGAGGCAAACCTGTGGTCGACAAGACCTGCGACCTCTAGGTAATCGGCAACCGTGTGGATCTCCGTGATCGAGAGCTGGTCGAATATGGAGGCCTTACCGTCACCCACAAAGGGCACGGTGCCTTGAGGACACGTCGGTGGGGGGTCGGCGGGCTTCTCTGGCTCGGCGTGACCTGTCGAGCCAAAGAGGAGCGAGCGCGACCTCATCATCTCCTCTGCCTCCCTCCTGTCAATAACTTTAATCTCAACACCCGCTCCCCCTGTGAGCAGCAGAAGCAGGGTGAGCATCGCGTTTTGCCAGAAGTGTCGGCTGCGCTCCGGCCTCCGATAAGGCCCGGAAGGCACGCACACAAGTTTCTAGTTTGTTCAACCTGAGCGTGACAGGATGACGGACGGACCCTCCAGTCTCTGGTGCGTCTCTTTAGTTTTCGGCGCGTATCTCTGTAAACATACGAACAGAACGCAGGAGAATGTGATTTTATCACTTAGCCGCACCTGCGTCTCCTTCATCGCGGCAACGCCAGCCTTCCGACGAGCTGCGTCCCCCTGCCCCGGTTTCGGGGGCATTCGAAGCTGGCCTCCTCGCACTCGGTCTGCATGTTGACGTACGCGAGGTACTCGCTGTAAGCGTCAGTCCTCTTGCCCGTACCGTCAACGACCTGGCGCAACGGGTAATGGCAGGCGAAGCCGGAAGCTGCAAAGTCGCCGTAGCCCGGTCCGAACTTGGCCTGAACCCAATCAGCTAGGCCCGAGTCGATAGAGGCGGTCTTGAGAAACTCCGTCAGCTTTGCGGGAGCGTCCGGAATCGTGGTGACACGGTCCCATCCCCAGCTCGTCCGAACCATCGTAGCGAACGTCGGCAGCGTAATCTCGCCGAGCGCGTCGTTTGTAATTTTTGTTCTCACATCGATCTGGTCAAAGTCATCGCTAGAGAAGCAGAACTCGTACTTTAGGATCCAGTCGGCGCCGCTGCTCCACGGTTTGCTCTCACCATTCCCAGACTCATCGAACCAGGTCCAGTGGCCAGAGAGCGGGCCGCCGCTGTATTGCCGCACGCCGGAAGCGCACCGCGTCTCGTTGTCCCAGGACGCTTCCCCAAACGAGATGAGGTTCTCCTCGGCAGCTCCAAGGCAGACCTGGGTGTACTCCGGATCCGACGGATACGGCCCGTCCTTCAGCGAGACGCCACGCTGGTCCATCCACCACAGCCCGTGCAGCGCCTCAGGGAATACGGAGCCCGCCTCCGCAAAGAAGAGCTGCGTTTCAATCGCATCATTCTGGATGCGGCCCAGCGCGAACCTTGCCGGGTCGCGCGACACGTCCTCAAACTGCACGCCCACACCGCGTCGACTCGCCACCCGCACCCGGCTCACCATCTCTGCTCCAGTCGCATGGTACCCGAGGAGGCGTGCCGACCGCTCGCCGGGTGACGCCGCCCAAGGGTGCCAAGGGAACTGTTTGGCTGCCAACAGCGGTGGCAGCTCCACGGGCTCTTGCCACGCCAGCGCACAGCCCTGTGTCGCCGACTGCTCGGCCGGGCAGTCTGCCAGATCGTAGCGGGTTGTGAAGATCAGCTCGCCAGGCTCCTGCCAGCTGCAGTGGTCGTACAAGTTCACGGTCACCGCCGAGCTGTCGGCGGGCAGGTAGACGTGCAGATCGAAGACGCCGCTGGTAGAGCCGTAGAGCACTTTGGAAAGGTGCGACACCTCGGGCCTTCCCGAAGACATCTTTGGCTCGACGATCACCTCGACTTGAGCATCAGGCGCCTTGGTGAGGCCGCCGATCGCAAAGTCGGTGATGGCAAAGACGGCCCAACCTGTGGTGTTGACGCCCGTGCCCCAGACGTCGTGAGCCTGGGAGGTCGCGGCGGCGGCGGCGGCAAATGCTGCCAGCATGGAGGACCGGCGGCAGCCAGGCTCAATTCGAGGCCGCCTTTTTCGGTGGCAGCCAAGGAGGACTCACTTCAGCTGGCTGTATTTTTCTTTCTCTCTCTACATGTATGTGCTTACTTTTTCAATGTACGTGCTTTTAGCTTATCTCTCTCTCAATGTATGTGGCACTTACGTACATTCCCGGAGGAGGACTGCTGACAGGGTTTGCGATGAGGAGTGACCCGAAGGGTTTCTCGGGGTAAGTGCACCACTAACCGCCTCTCTCTGCAAGAGCACTGCGACGGATCGGGCTCATACTTTTTTTGAAAAATATTACTCGCCTGCCCCTGGCGTGGCGTGGAGGGGTTGAGCATCCTTCCGGGGCGGCCTTTCCGCCGGGGAGGCGTCGTCCGTCGCGCTTCTAAGGTGTTGCTGCGCAAAAGCCCGGTACACGGAACTAACCCTCGGAGAGTATTCTTTAGCTCCGAGTAGAGGGGGCGGTCTGCTGCTAGGGGAAACCCGGAGCGCGGAGCCAACCCTCGGAGACCCGTGTTATGGCCCTGCGAACGCGCACCCCCTGGGCTAGGGCTCTCTTGCCCGCAACCAGATCCCGATCATCCGGCCCGCTGGGTGCGCTTCTTTCTTAGCTCCCCGGTCCTGGGCGTGAGGCTAATGACTGCACTCCAAGTGCTCCAAAAGGGGGTCGGACACAGGGCGCAGCTCATGCTAAGAGCAGAGGGCGAGCTTAGAGAGAACAACCATCCTCTGTGCCGTTGTTGCGTGCACCAACACAACAACACCACAAAAAGCTCTCTCTCTCGACTCTCCTGTCCTCATTCAGGCGGGTCGGCCAGAGGTTGCTGGAGCACCTCCAACTCCTCCTCCGAGTCAGACACACGACAACGACTGCACCCTCCTCCTCCCATTCGTCGACTGCGCCCTCCTCGTCCTACAATTCATCGACTGCGCCCTCCTCCTCCACGGGGTCGATCCGAGATTCCGCAGCGTGTCGGCCCCCCCAGCGTCGGTGCTGCGCGGGAGGAAGCGCGGCCGGCGGGCACGCTGGGCTCGATCACCGGCGGTTCTCTCAAGTTGCGTCGAAAGCAGGGATTGGCTTTATAGCGACGGCTTTGGCTCAAGTATACAACTTTTAAGCTCTGGTTTTGCACCAGAGGAGAGAGGTCGCCCCTCTCTCGCGCGCCACGGCCCACCCACACGCCCACGGGGTACGCGGATTTTGCTATTTTTGCTCGTCGCGTGGGGTCGGTATTCCGGAATTGCCAATGGTACCGCATCTGCGACGCGGGCGCCTCGCGGGCAGAGCCCTTACGTGGCTGGGTTCACAGCGATTGTAGGAAAACGAAGGGACCAAATCACGGTCGCGGCCTTCCGACTCGCGCCTCCGCCTCACTGGCACTATTGTAGCCCTGGCCGGTGCGCGTGCGGAGTTGAAGTTCCGGAGTGAAAATTCGAACGCGTTCTCTCACGGTGACCAAAAAATGTCCACCTCAGAGGCACCTCCGGAGGCAGGCCGCCGCACGCCGGCGACACAGCTCCAGCTGTCGAGCTGACCCTCAGCTCCTCTCAGAGCGGGAACTGTGACAAAAGTTGACTGAGGCGGTTGTCAGGAATCATCATACGGATCACATGGTGGCTCTCTCATGACGGGAGACCGCCCGACCACTCCTGGGTGGCACTGCCACCGGTGTCGCTCGACGTCCTGTCGACAGCGTGCCGACAGCGACACAGATCATGTGGGACGCGTCGAGTATCGACCTCTACTGCTTACCCAGCCTTCGAGTGTATCCTGGCTGTGGTCCCACACCCACTGGTGTCCATCTCAGAGACCGCAGGAGGTCATGAGGGTCGATGGGAGTGCCAACCCCACAATGCCTAAAAACCCAGCCCAGTAGCCACCCTTTATATCTTGCGCAGTCAAAAATCCTCGTCTGGAAGACAAGTTAGAGAGCGAGAGAGAGAGAGAGCGCGAGAGCGAGAGGGGGGGGGGGGGGGCTATCGAACTGTCGAGTCAGGCAGGGCCGAGGGCCGCGCCGGGGATGGTGTGTTAGAACTCAACCAGTTGAGGCGGCCCCAGGGGTTTGTCCGGCTCGCCGCAGGGCGCAGGCCGACTGAACGCAGCCCTGCCGAGCTGCCGAGTCCCAATTTTGATTACTAACAGGAGGAGGCAATTTCCTGGACTGCAGCTGCCATTTGCCAGCGCCTCGATTGTCGGGCGACACCGCCGCTCGTCGCGTGGGCCAGAAGGCGCCTGCTGAAGCGGCCTGTGCGGGAGGCGACAAAGCGTGCACCACTCCGCATGCTGTCAGCACTTGATCCGTGCTCTGCTCGTTCGCCTCGGGTAGCCTCGACTCCAGCGCATTCAGGGCCTGCTGGAGCTCCTTCCAGCTGTGCTTCCGCGCATACGAGGGCCCTTCTCCCGCTTCCTGCGGACCCGAAGCCAGTGCACTTTGCGTGCCAAACAAAGCCACCGGCTCGGCTGTGCTGCGGCTCGCGTCGCTTGGACCTATCCAGCCCGAGAGGTATTTGGCTCGAACGACGGCCACGCGCGACGCCATATGTGTGTGTGTGTGTCACGGGTGCTTTGAGTCAAGACTCCGTCGGACGTACGCACGTGTTTAAAGTAAGAATGCACGGTGTGCATATCTCGCGGACGCGCAGCTTGACAATATGAAACCACAACACACAACACACAACAAGTGCTCGTCTTTTCTCCTGTCCTATAAAGAACATACATTCTTTTCTCGCGGAGTCGCTGGGTTCCAACTTTTTCCGGGGTATATGGTAATCTCGGCCAACCCACCTCGAGACCACATACCCCCCCGCCTCTTGCAAGACCTGCTTGGGGTATGGTAGGGCTAGCCTTGGGCGGTTAGGACCTTACCCCCCCCCGGTCACCATACCATACCCCGGAAAAAGTTGGAACCCTGGCGCCGGATAACCCCTTTTATGTACATACCATGAGTCGCCTGCTCAAGCGGGCCCTCCAGCAGCAGCAGCGGCAGGAAGCGCCGGGTGACGCGAGCGGCGAGTCGAGCGAGGAGGACGCGCCGCGTGGGCAGCGCAACAACGGCGGCTTCTCCTTTCTGCCCGCCTCTGAATCCTCGGAGGTGTCGGAAAGCTCTGAGGAGGAGGAGGAGCTCCAAAGAGAGGAGCAGAAGGAAGAGACGGCTGCACAGGCGGCCGCACAACCCGACACAGTCCTCGAGGACCCGCTGCCAGCAGTCGAGGAGCCGCGCCCGCCGCCGGCCGCAGCTGCGCCAGCCACAGAGCCGTCAGGCGTGCCAGACATCCCCACGCTCTGGCTGCTCGAGCCGCGGCACCTCGACAGCGCGAACGAGCTCGGAGCCCGCTTTGGCAAAAACACGATGCGCTTGCTCGCCGCCGCCGGACGGGGCGGCAAGCCGAAGCGCGGCGCGGGCTGGTCGGGCAGCAGCCATGAACAGCGCCTCTTCACACGTGCTGGTGCGAACAGGCGGGGCGGCGGAGGCGGCCGGGGCGGCCGCTACACGCGCGCGGCGCTGCTGGCGAGCGGGAAGGACCACTGGCCTCCGCTCGGAGGAGGGGTCGACATGGAGGCCGGCACGTATCCACAGAGTAGACGACTGTAGAACAGAGTAGAAGACTGTGAGGGTCGAGATGGGAGGCCGGCCTAGCACGCTCTCTCCTCCTCCCTCCTCCGCCGCACAGGTCGACACCGACGAGCCGGCGCAGGGGCGCGGCCCCTCCGCCAGTGTAGGCGCCGACCCGCCGATGAGCTTTGTGTTTGTGCACTCGCGCTCGTACCGGGAGCTGCAGGTCGAGGTGGAGAAGAGGCGGGCGGCGGCTGGACTTTCTCGGACCTCTCTCTGAACCTTCCTGCAGGTCGAGGTGGAGAAGAGGCGGGCGGCGGCTGGACTTTCTCGGACCTCTCTCTGAACCTTCCTGCAGGTCGAGGTGGAGAAGAGGCGGGCGGCGGCTGGACTTTCTCGGACCTCTCTCTGAACCTTCCTGCAGGTCGAGGTGGAGAAGAGGCGGGCGGCGGCTGGACTTTCTCGGACCTCTCTCTGAACCTTCCTGCAGGTCGAGGTGGAGAAGAGGCGGGCGGCGGCTGGACTTTCTCGGACCTCTCTCTGAACCTTCCTGCAGGTCGAGGTGGAGGAGAGGCGGGCGGCGGCTGGACTTTCTCGGACCTCTCTCTGAACCTTCCTGCAGGTCGAGGTGGAGAAGAGGCGGGCGGCGGCTGGACTTTCTCGGACCTCTCTCTGAACCTTCCTGCAGGTCGAGGTGGAGATGGCGACGGCGACGGGCGACCCCGCAGCACTGCAGCGCGTGCTGGCCGCTTGCCCGTACAACACGGACGGCCTCGTCCGGCTCGCAGACAGCTCGCTACAGCGGGCCGCATGACTGAGCCGTCTCTGAGGCTTGGCCGCGCCTTCTTCCTGTAGGCTGGCCGACTACTGCTCGCACACCGGCCAGCACGAGCTCGCAGGGGAGTGCGTCGACAAGGCCCTCCGAGACGCTTCCGAGACACTTTCGGGGTACATCCGAGACACATATCACTTCCGGGACACTTCCGGGGCACACATCCGCTGTGAATGCGACCTCAAAGAGCACAGTCTCGAGACACTTCCTAGAAGGCTCCAGCCCACCGCCGCCTCACCCGCCGCGCCGTCGCCGCGGCCAGGCGCTGCATGCGTGCGAGGCCGCCTTCCACCCGCAGATGCGCAGCCGCTGCACGCAGGGCACGGCGCGGCTGCGGTGGCGCAACGCGGCGAACCGGCCTTTCCTTCGCGCGCTCTTCCGCCAGATGAAGCGCGCGAGTCGGGAGGGCTGCCATCGCACGGCGCTCGAGCTCGGTGAGGGAAGAGAGGAGAAGAGAGGAGAAGAGAGGAGAAGAGAGAGGAGTGGAGAGGAGTGGAGAGGAGAGGAGAGGAGAGAGGACCCCGACCCTGGGACTTGTCTGGGCCTGCCCCGCCCCCCCCCCCCCCCTTCAGGCAAGCTGCTCTTCTGCCTCGACCCGGAGGGGGACCCGATGCACCTCCTCCTGCGGCTGCCGGGCCTCGCCCTCGCCGCCGGCGAGCACCGCCCGCCTGCCCCACCCCCTTTCACCCACCCTCCACCCCCCATCCCACGTTTTG